AAAACTCCGACTTCGGTTTGACAGGGGCACTCCTTCCGGAAGCTTCCAAGGTTCCACCAACAGAAGCGAGAAAAAGAGAAGGTTCTAGAACTTACCATGCCTGGACCACCCTTGGGTCCTTCATACCTCACACACAGAACCGTATTCTCTTCAGGATGGATTTCTCCCTTTTCGAGACTCGCAATCAAAGCCTCCTCGCCGTTATACACTCTAGCCTTTCCAATGAATGATTTGCCCTCCTTGCCAGTAATTTTAGCCACCGCCCCACCTGGGGCCAAGTTTCCTTTGAGAATTCGGATATGACCGGTGGCCTTGATTGGATTGCTGAGCGGTCTAATGATATCTTGCCCCGGGTCCAAACTTGGTGCGGACTCGACGTTTTCCTTCAAAGTTTTTCCTGTGACTGTTAGGATATCCCCGTTGATGAGGCCAGCGTGAATCAGGAACTTGAAGACAGCGGGCATGCCGCCGATATCGGCTAGATCGGCCATCATGTATTTTCCGGAGGGTTTCAAATCTGCCAGAACCGGAATCTTATCGGCGACTCTTTGAAAGTCGTCGATGGTCAAGTCGAGATCAGCGGTGTGGGAAATTGCGAGAAAGTGGAGAACAGCGTTGGTGGAACCACCCATGATCATGGTGATAACCATAGCGTTCTCAAACGACTCCCGAGTAATGAGATCGCGGGGCTTGATATCCTTCTCTAGAAGGACTTTGATAGCCTCAGCGGCCCTCAAACATTCTCTGTACTTTGCAGGGGAGTCGGCCGGGGTTGAGGAGGATCCAGGGAGAGTCAGACCCATGGCCTCAAGTGCAGTGGCCATGGTGTTTGCTGTGTACATTCCTCCACAGCCACCGGGGCCGGGACAGGAGTTCTTGATCACATCGTCAAGGTCGTCAGTGGTCAACTTACCATACATCATGGCACCGTGTGCCTCGAAGCAAGTGGAAATGTTGATGGGCTGGCGAAGGCGCTCGGAATAGCCGCCCTTTATAGAGCCGCCATAGATCATGAGTGATGGTCGGTTGTGGCGCGCCATGGCCATAATGCCTTGTGACCGATTAGCTCATGAGACAACAGCAAGGCAATAAGAAGTTGGTAAAGAAGGTATGTAACATACATCCAGGCATGTTCTTGTCACAACCAGGAATCGAAATGTTTGCATCCTAAGTAGGAACAAAGTATTAACATGGCCGAGTGATAGGTTGAGATGGAAAGATTAAAATACATGATGTTGAGCACAAGTTGTCGTCTCGATAGAGTCGGCGATGATGTCTCTGCTTTGCAAGGAGAACCTCATGCCTAAAAGCAATAGCGTGCTCACTGTCAGCCGCACATGTCACGCATTGGATTCGTCTCTAGGGCATCCGCTGTTAAGGTACCTTGGTTGCTCATGGTTATGGCGTCCGATACCTGCGCGTGGAGCAAACCTCATGGTGAGTTGTGATGTTCCCGACAAGAATAGGAGACACCAGAAGGGAGGAGAAGCCGTGTGGCATATACACACTCCAATGGTATTGAATTGCCAACCAATCATTCCGTTCTTCTCGAGACCTTCTTTCACGGTCTTGCCGAGGTCGAGCACTGTTGGTTTTTTGATGGGCGCCAATCAGAACTCATTAAAGTGGGCCAATTGACGTATGTATATACACGGGAAAGGGTAACAAACAGTGCATGCTGCCGTTTCAGTTAGAATTTATTCCGAATTATATCAATACGTCGTTTTCCAGCGACGGGAGGGGAGGGAAAACATACTTGCACGGGTTGCCTTCCCACCATACTGAAGCGACGCCTACATACAGCATACATGTCAACACACAACAGGTTGATCTTTGTAACATTTTTTTTCCTGCAGTGCAGGAATAGGTTTCATACCAACTTGCGGTTTCGTCCTCATGTCCTCCTGGTTCTTGATTCCTGCAGCATATAGCATTGCCTGGGCACCGGGGAATTCGTAGCCGTTGGTCACGAGGGACGAATATCTGTTTAGCACGAGTTCCCCATCCCTTTTGGTACCATATGGGACAGAACGAAACTCCAGAAAACGGGAATGATTTTCAGGTTGTGGCTGATCCATTTGTTCAGACATGTTTTTTTCTTGGTTTGCCTTTTTGTGTTTTGAACTGTCTTGAAAAGTTTCCGGAGATTGATCAAATAAGTTTATGTACCGGTAGCCAAAAACCACAGTAAATGTAGTAGAATAAGTAACCGGAAGAAATTGAGGGGGTGGAGGAGGGGTGTGGTGAAGAGAGGGGGAAAGAAGCAGACGTACAGAGAGCAAGGTTAGGGTTTCAGTAACTATAGTCAGCAGTACAGCAGTACAGCAAGCAGCAGCAGCAACAGCTAGCACGACAACAGTAGCAGCAGTAGCAGTAGAAGCAGTAGAATCAGAAACAGAAGCAGAAGCAGAAGCAATGGAGAGAGAAAAATAAAAAGAAGTTTTGCTTTTCTTTTCCTTCTTTCTACGCAAAAAGGTACATACAGGGTAAAGCGGGTGAAATGGAAGAGGGTACGCTGTTAAGTAATGTAGGTAAGTTATGATATCCTCACAAGTAAATTCTCAACAGTACGGCGGGCGGATATGCTCGCGAGATCACCGGCAGCACGAGAAGCGGTAGCAGCAGGTGGACCTCACAGCGTCATGCTACTGCTCCTGCTCCTGCTGCTACTGTATCCACGCTATCTACCCCACATCTGATGTACAAGTTCCAAATTTACCCCACCTCACGCTGCAACGAAAAAGGAATGACAAGAAAAAAATAAATAAAAAAGGAAGAGAAGCTGCTGCCCCTCCGCTAAGAATGCGAGTATTGAGCAATGTGCCGAACGATGAAAAGACATCATCCCTCTTTACCATCCTTTCCCCCACCACTCCTACCCCCCGTTCCCGTCTGATGTTCCGTATGGCTCTCATCTGTGGTCTGTGTGTGAGTGGGGTAACTACGCGTGGGTGGTGCAATTCTTCTTTCTGTGTAAGTACCGCCCCTTCTCCCTCTTCTAGAGTATGTGCTAATTCTTCTTCCTCTTCTTCCGCTGCGCGGTTGCGAGGTGGTGTGTGCTGCCCTGCTACTGCTGCTGCTGCTGCCCGGAGCAGCGAGAAAGGTTGTTGTGTGGTGCATCATCAGCATATCAGGGCCCCATATGCACCATATGCATAGCATAGCAGTAGTAGTTTTCGCTCAGGGCCGCCCGCATGTTTCTCGGTAATGCAACCGTTTACCCGCGCTCTTTACCCGCGCCCCCCCCTCTCAGCAGCAGCAGCAGCTGTTCGCAAAAAGCCAATGATTGGTGTCGACTGGTGGAAGCATAGTGATGTAGGTAGCTCTAGAAGGCACCTACATAGAGCCTCCTATGTAATGATACCTCGGCGGACCACCTTTAGAGTAGTAGGCACTCGATTTCTTAGCCTCCCCCTGGCAGCTGGGGAATCTGAATAAATAAATGTTATGTATGGATCCACCTTGTACCGGTACTGGGTTGGGAATTTTTGTTATATCTCATATTTTCCGCAACGCCTTAATTGAGCCAGGAGATAAGTTTACAAAGTAAGCTTTCCTACACCCTCCCCAGAAACAAAAAAAAAGAAATAAAAAAAGGAAGTGGTAATGGCGTCCACAAAGCCAAAAAAGATCGGATCGCCCGTCGGTACAGCGACCGGAATGATCTATGGAAAAACATGGGGTGAAATTGTATGGCGAAATATCTGTGCACCATATAACTGTTTTTTCCATAGATCATTCCTGTCGCTGTACATCACGATGTCTTTTTTCTTGGCACCCAAGAGGTCCTCAACACTAATACTCTATTTCCTTAGTAATAATCCAACTAACGAGAATTGAACTTTTTTCTTAACACACGCACCCATCCCTCCCCTCCCACCACCACTGTCCCTACGTGCGTATGGTATGGTACCGAAGGGCTTTCTCGTTGGTCCGACCGGCTGCTGCTGCACTGCGAGACGGTTGCGTCAAATCTCGGTTCCAGCATTTCATACATGCCTCTAACTCTACTCTACCGCCTTACTTAACCTGCGGGAGAGCGAACGAGCTCTATGCCTGGCCAACCACCTGGAAACGTGATAGCGGGAGAAACACCCAAGAGGTTGAACAAACAAGAAAAGAAAGGGAAAAAAAGGCGTGATCGATGAGGGCTGCTGCTGATGCCTTTTTATTATTATTATTCATCTCAATGTCGGGGGTACCATTACATAACTCGCCCGCTGTGTTGCCTTGCAACTTGCCTGAAGAGCACTCAGGGAAGAGGATGCCGTAGAGTACGTGTATGTACCGGTACTTACATAGAAAGTTTTTTCTCAAACACCTTTTTTTTTTTTTTCCCTCTCTCGTTGCGGCTGGGTTTGGTCCAATTGGTGTCTCGATTCAGATTGCATGATTCAGCAGTGGATCGTTCTCTTTCATATTATTGAGCCAGCCAGCAATCAATCAAGCAGGCAGCACCCAGTACCGGTGCTCTAATGATTACTTGCCTACATTCTCTACATAGAGTATGTACCTAGAGTAACGAGAATACTTTCTTAGACAGAGTCCCCCCTCCATCCATACACATTCAGTCCGTCTCACAGCTCATCCACCGACTCGCCCATCATTCGTTCTCTCTCCCAGTCCCATCACGATCCACGTACATACGCAGCGCAGCACAGCAATAACAGCCCAATTTTTCCCCATCCGCGCTTCCCCCCCACAGCCAACAGAAACAGCATACAGATTAGAGAGAGGGATTGAGAGTCCTACAGTGCCTACGTTGTAATACCCAGACCAGACAGATTGTCCGTCCGTTTTATCGCACCCCCCCCCCCCCAAAAGGCGCCGCCCAATCCAATCCCTGTATTGCTCTGCGTGCGCACATCTAGAGCACTAGAAGGGCCTACCAGGCTACCACTCATTCTACTTACCTTACTTACTCTGTTCTGCCCTTACCCTTCCAGACAACTGCAACGCACAGGACAGGTCAGGACAGCACAGCACGGCGGAATAAATAAATGGCCTGGGCTTCCTTCCTCTCCTGCTTCTCCTTCTGGGGAGAAGAAGAGGAGAGGTGCTCACCGTTGTTTGCTACTGCTGTTTCTGCTACGAGAAGTTCACTGACACGGACATTGACGTCGTTGTCGACGACGCTCCCTACTAGTGCTACCTCCAGAGTATACGGGCTGCTTGTTGAGCGTACAGGAACGACAAGGGGAGTGATAGAGGTAGGAATGGTTGTCGCATTGTGTGGAGCGGTGCCGTTGGTAGTGGGGTGTCTACAGGCTCTTCGCAGAGGGGGGAGGAGGGAGGTTAATGATAATAATAAGAGCAATCGGGATATCAAGTCGAAGAGCGTCGGCGGCGGTGGTAGCGGTCTTACAGACAGCGATGGACAGCAGGTCGTGCATTCTTCGTCCTCGTCCTCAACAGCAGCAGGTGTGTAACATAACATTGATCATAGAATTCTTTTTATCTTTCTTTTCTCCTTCATTGCTTAGGGATTGTTTTTTTTTTTTTTTTCATGAACCTGCATTGGAACCGAGTGATATCTGCCGTGTCTTGTCTTTTCTATTTTCCCTTTGGCTTTTTGGCTGGCTTTTGGCTTTTGGAGTCTCTTGACCACTCACTACAGCCCGACCCTTGCTTGCTTTTTTTTCCCCCTTCTCTCTCTTCCTTTTTCTACCCTTTTTGTGATGCCTACCAGCTTCCAAATCCACCTTCCTTTGTTGTTTGCACTTTTTTTCTTTTTGCTCCTCCTGTTGCGTAATCCCCACATCGAGATAGAGCAACTGGACTAATGAATCCAGATGATGCTGCATACACAGACCCGGGGCTTCTCCGTAAATTTTCGGAGGTGATCCCCGTTACCACGGACAGTTATAACTACCCGGGGGTTCGCATCTTCTACCGCGAGCACCCCAAAGCTTCAGTACTTCCACCAAAGCTTCCTCTGCTTGTCTTTATCCATGGTATGGAGCCTGCCTTTGCTTCTGCTGCTACTACTGGGGTGAACGTTAGCTGACTTGCTGTTTAGGTCTCGGAGGACAGTTGTCGCAGTTCCGCTACCTTATCGAGTACTTTGTGCGTCGCTGCTCTCTCCCCGTTCTCTTGTTGTCCGACCAACTTATGTTTAGTCGGATGGGTGCTGATGTTTCTCTTATGCTATTAGGTTCACATTTCACACACGCTCGCGATCGATCTCCCTGGCTGTGGCCCAGATTCAGAGTTCGCGCCAAAGGATTGGGATGCATACACGACTTCGTCCTTGGCAGCCGTGATAGCCGGCGTGGTCAACGGAAAGCTCGAGGAAGGGCAGCAGGTGATCCTTATCGGACACTCTATGGGGTGTTCGCTGGCCGCGACTCTCGCGACGAAGGGGGGGCTTTTGGCGGATAAATGCGTCGGCCTCATCGCAATTTGCCCAAAAGCCACGGTTACGGAAAAAGAAAGAAAGGCCATGGCGACAGCGGTCTCGCTGCCAGAGGTTCTCTTCAACGTCTTCAGGGCCTACGATCGCCGCGGCGGAATCTCGTCAAAGTCGGTTAATCGGTTCGTTGGCAGCAACGCTTCGGAACAGGTTAGGAAGTTGCAGCTGCGGTTCAATAAGCAGTCCAGGACCCCTGTTTGGAGGCGGATGGTGAGCGGGTTCCAATTGCCGACAGAGGAGGACTGGTCGTTGATTAAGTGTCCGATCTATCTGCTTGGAGCTGCCGAAGATCAGGTCGCTACCACCAAAGAGGTCGATCTTATCCACTCCTGGTTCAGTCCTGCGAATAAGAAGGTCACTCTCTCCGATTCCGGTTCAGGCAACAGCAGCTCTTTCGAGGGTTTGCCTTCCGGGGAGTGCAAGGCGGTGGTGAAGAAATGCATCATCCCTGGTGCTGGTCACGGCGTCATGTACGAAACGCCGCATGTCTTGAACGGTCTGATTGGTGAGTTCATATCCAAGCATATCAACGAGATACTTTCCATGGGGTGGCAGTTATCCCACCTCAAGGAAGACAAATGGCTCTTGAAGAACCTAGAAAAATGGACCAAGACCCAGAGCGTAAGCCCAAGGATAGTTGGGTTCACCGCGGACGCACCACAGAGCAAGCTTGTCCAGAGTCCCTTCCGGGCAATGAAAACGCTCAGGCAGAACGACTCCAGTGGGCACAACCCAGTGGATTTCTCCGCCAAATGGCCGGATGTGAGAGATGTCATTGATATCTCTCACGAGCAGCCTCCATATGACCCAGAGACTCTCGGGAGTGGTGTCAGGTATCACAAATGTAAGTTTTTTTTCCTCCCTCTTCTCTTTCTTCCCCCCACTTGATCGATTACCTAATTTCTTTTTGTTTCGATGCTGATTTATATGTAGTCCCGACTGTGTCCAAGATGCCACCAACCGCGGACGAAGTTGCCGCGTTCATCAAGCTTGTCGATTCGATCCGCGAGTCAAGGGGCTACGATGATAATTCCATCATCGCATGCCACTGCCACTACGGGTTTAACAGGACGGGTTTCTTCGTGTGTTCTTATTTGATCCAGCGTTTGAACTTTACGGTGCCAAAAGCACTTCAGGCATTCCAGGAGGCACGACCCCCCGGGATCAAGCACCCGCACTTCATTAATGAGCTCTTTGAAAGGCACTGCTTAGGATTGGAGAGAGCTCCGACCTATTAGGAGATGCGATGGCGGGTTGCGTCGGCGCTACCACGTGGTCAGATTTGTTTTTTCTTTTTTTAAACTCACATTTCACCCCGGGGGGGGGGGGGGGGGCGACAATGTTTTCGAGATATCCATTTCCATTTCTTTCTTTTGGGTGCCGGGGGAGGAAGAGGGGCATGGTTCAATAAGTGTTTCAATATGTTTCGTATTTCGGCGATGTCATCATTTCATTTTTTTTTTCTTTTCTACTCGGGGTTTCTCTTTTGTTTTGCAATATCCTATTTATTTTTTTTCTGCAGCGCTTAGTCATTTCTATTATTACGATGCCATGGGATTGGGACTGGACCGGGTGGGAAGGAAGGGGGGTACTTGCCTTTTTTTCCCTTGCTTTTTTTTTTGCTTCGACATTATTGCTTGCTTCGTTGCCTTCTTCAGCTTATTCATGATGTTGATGTTGGTTTTTGTTTTTTCTTTCCTGGGCGCATATTGATCTCGTTCCGACTATTATTTGGTCTTTTTTTTTTCTTTTTTTTTTTTTTTTTTTTTGCATGGATTGGGGCGCTGTAACATAGACACCTTTTCGGTTGCGCGTTTTAACTTACACGGGTTTTCTATTTTCCGTCTTCTATTTTTCCCTTTTTCTCTTTCTTCAAACTTGCAAACCAAACCAAAAAAAAATTAAATAATACCAAATACCCTGATCGTTGGAGGTCAGAATAAGATTTTTGCGGGAGGCGCCTGGGAGGATTTGGTGAGAAAAGCGCAATGGACATGTTTGAAACTGGACGGGACGCGGTTCTAGCTAGCTACCTAGCTAGGAGCTGGCTGGGAGCTGGGTACGGGGAGCGGAAAAAGTAATGCTCCGTGCTGACGTCAGGGCCGCGAGCTTATTCCGACCTCTGCGATCGGCCCGCTCATCGGGAAGGGGAAGGGGAAGGGGGAGCAAGAAAGGGCTTATCGGCTTTGTCGTATCTGTAGCTGATCGTCCTGGTGGTGGTTGGTGGGGTGGGCCTGAGTGTGAGGGTTTGTGCACTTCTTGTGTGGTGAAGAGTTGGTGGGTGGAAAGGTTGTGGGATTGGTGGCGGGTTGGAATGGAATGTAATAATGCAGGTTGTATAGGTTCAATGATAGATAGACACTGGTATGCACCGTTTACGCAAGTGATAGTAGGGATAGGATAGTTAGCGATTGGGAGTGGAATAGTGATTGGGATTGGGCCTGGTGGTGGTGATGGTGATGGTGGAGGTTCGGGTATCTGAGGTGATGTGAGGGAGGGGTAGTTCTGCGGGTTAGACTGGGGATTGGACGGTGAGGGATTGGCAGATAGAGCTTCCCTTCGAATTCCCTCTGTTCTCGAATGCCATACCATCCATGCCACCCCTCGCCCGCATACTGCGTAGAAGGCTCCGTATTCCGTCGGAGAAGGAGGCCTTGATGGCCGGTCGGGTGCGAGGAGGTGTCTGCTGGCGCACGTGACCTGTAGAGGACCCTAACCCACAATGCCTACAGCCTTCTTCCTCCTGACCTATCTCTCTACCTGGGTATGATATGTCTGTTTCTGCAATTCGATTATTCGTGTCTCTCGCTGGGTTTTCGCTGATAATTAACCAGGAATCTCGCTATGGGTGCAGGTAGTTATCGTGTCTTTGTGACGTGGACTGCGTAGGATGAGTACTATACGAGTCTACCTGCCTGCCTGCCTACATATGGCATGCATGTGAAAGAGAGAGCTGAGCCTGAAGGGAGATCTGTACGAGCTCAACTCTAGATATGCGTTGCAGAACACATGCTGTGATTCCCACTCACTCGCTCGCTCACTGCTTGTGTTTAATTGGGCAGATGCAGCAGTGTTCGACTTCTGTTCTGTTCTGTTCTGTTCTGTTTCTATTCCTCTTCCTTCATTCAGTGCGAGTATGTAATGTAGAGAGAAGAGAATTAAGAAGGCTCTCGTTCGCTGTTGCTGCTGCCGCTGTCACATCACATCAGTCACCTCGCATCCATCACCACTCAGCTCCCCTGTCGGCCAGTCTCTGTTTTACCCCCCCTGCCGGTACCACTTGTTCCCGTCCAGTCGGTTCGCCTGGATTGATTTGACCCAGCATCCTTGTCCCTGCACCAGATTAGAGAGAGCGATATCTGTGTGTATGTATCTACTCGGGGCAGGTAAAAAGTACCGGACAATGCAGGTTTTTGGTTCACCAATGGGTGCGCGTGCTAGGCGTGAACTACTGCAAAAAAGCCCAGAGACAAAACTTGCATTGTCCGGTACTTTTTACCTCCCCCGAGTATAGAGTGAGTACCATTTTGTGGATAGGTACATGTAGGTATGCAGAGATATATGCAGAGCAGAGTAGCCCCAGATCTGTCTCGTCCCATAGCACTTGGGGATGTCTGCAGAGTACATATCAGACCTACAGAGGAAGAAGAAGAAGAAGAAGAAGAAGAAGACACATCCACTCACACAGCACCACCACCACTCGCTCGCTGCACCAACACTGCATCTCCTCCCCCTCTGCAGCTATCCATTCCCACCACTCCTATCATCATCATCATCAGCATCATCACTCCCACTTCGACAGCCATCCCCTCACCCCCCTCACTCTCATTCAAGCAAATCACTAACACCCCCCCCCCCCCCCCTTTTTTCATTTCCCCTCCACCCCCCTCCATCCCTCCCTCTCAAGAAGGACAACAACAATAGCAACACCACAACCAACAACAACAACAACAACAAAAAGAAGCTGCTTCTCCCCCGCCCCTCTCCCCACTCTTGCATGGACCGTTCCTCCATGACTGTTCCCCCTCTCACCACATCATGATGGTAGCCATGGCCGACACAAACCCCTTCAGCACCGTCCCGCGAAGCCGCACCTCCGGCGGTGCCGTCTTTGCCCGCCTGGCACACCCCTTCATTGGGTCCAGCAGACCCCCGAGTTCGTCGGGCAGGCCTGACCCCACTAGTGCACCGTAAGGCTCTTCTCCCGGGCTGTGGGATTTATTCATTCATAATCATAATCATATATACATACATTTTTAAAAAAACAAAATAAAAAACCATTTTTTTTCTTATTCTTCTTCCTTACCATACCATACCATTCATTCATTCATCATCGCACAAGAATCTAATGAGAGAGAAAGAAGAAAAAACAAAAACTGAACATTTGCTCCCCCACATGCTGCAGGAACATCCTCAACCCGCGCACAATCCGCTACAGCCTTCAGTCCCCCATCCTCGCGATCTCGGCCCAGCCCGACGGCGAGAACGTGGTCGTCGCCGGCCGCGAGATCTTGCGCATCCTGCGCGTCGGCCGCACAGACATCAGCGAGGTGTCGACGCTGCGCCAGCCCGACAGCCAACGCAAGATCTTGATCCAGTACGACGTCAAGTGGGGCACGCACCTGCAGAAGAGCACGATCGCGACGGCGGGCACGAATGGGACGATATGTCTGTATGATGCAAAGGTGGGCGTCATGGAGCGCCAGCTCCGGGAGCATGGCAGGCAGGTGCATAAGATTGCCTTCAACCCGGCGGATGGGAGGCTACTGCTGAGCGCGAGCCAGGACGGGACGATAAAGCTGTGGGATCTGAGGGAGAAGAAGAGCAGGCTCACGTTTGCGGGCAGGTCGGACGCGGTTAGGGATGTACAGTTCAATAGTGGCAATGCGGTCGAGTTTGCGGCCGCGTTTGATAATGGGACGATCCAGGTGTGTGCCCGTCCCGCCCCCCTCAGAATCCTGAATCACCCCCCCCCCCCCACTACCCCCTTCCCCGGGAGTGGGGGTAACTAACGTCCTGCGCAGAGATGGGACTACAGACAGGACAAGATATACGAGCGCAAGATAAACGCGCACGATGGCCCCGTCTTCAGCGTCGACTGGCATCCCGACGGCAAACACTGCGCCTCGGGCGGCCGTGACCGCACCGTCAATGTGTGGGACCTGTACTCCGACGACGGGCGCAGAAAGCCCAAGCACACCATCTCAACCATGTGCTCGGTTTCACGGATCGCTTGGCGGCCCCGTCGCAACGGCACCACCGAGCTTGCGACCTGCGCAATCAACAACGACCCGCGCGTACACGTATGGGACCTCAAGCGGCCGTACATCCCCGCGCGCATCATCGACGAGCATGTCGGCTCCACGACCGGCATCCTGTGGAAAGATGAGGATATCCTGTACTCGTGCTCCAAGGACATGACGTTCGTGCAGAACGATGTGCTCTTTGCGACGCAGCCCATCAACTCGCTCTCGCATGCGGCATTCGATTGGGGCCCCACTGATGATTTTACATTTGCCGCACAGCCCTGCGGGCGTGTCCGCCGCAGTGGGCCATCAACGAGCCGTTTCGAGACGGAGGAGGAGATAGTCAGAGAGCGCCGGCCAGGAAGAAGCTCGTCGTTCAAGGGCCTTAAGCCCGCATTGTCGATCCTCGAGACGCTCAGCGATAAGCACCACGCATCTACGCAGGCATCCGCGCGGGTCAGCATACCCGGACTGTTTGACAAGGGCGCCTTTACGTTCCTCGCGACTCGATACATCCACAGTCTCTCCAGCGACCTCGGGGAAGTTACACTCAGCCAAGCGTGTGCAGGAAACGCACGTGCTGCGCTGCGCGCGCAACAGTTCCGCACGGCGCAGACATGGCGCATACTACAGATGTCGCTGGAGTGGGAGGACCGGATGCTGCTGAAGCGGAAGCGGCCGGTTGCGCGGGTATTGGAGGGATCCGGCACTGCGACACCAACACCGCAGGTGGCGGCGGTCTCCGGGACTCCCGTAAGAAGCGCAACACCACAGGAGGAGGAACATTTACAGCCGCCGGTAGCCTTCGGGACCAGCCTTGGGAGCAGCACCGGGAGCACGGATGGCGACGAGGATGGCCAGCAGAGGAGTCATGTCCACCATATTGCCGCCTCACGGCACGGCGACGATGGTATCAACAGTCATGAGGCCAGCGTTGAAGACCACGCACATAAACCATGGTCCGATGTCGCACCTCTCCCCGTCGCGCCTGTCGAAGACCCCGCCCCACATCCATATCCGTTCTATCCAGACTTCACACAACTACCCCCCGCAGCCGTCCCCGAGAAGCGGCAGACCCGCGACCGCAAATACAGCCTTGTCTCTTCCGCGACATCCTCCTCCTACGGCACCCACGCCGGCTTCGGCGGCCGTGTGTCAGAAGAGGAGGACAACGACCACGACCACGACCATTACCAGAACGGGCACGAGCACGACATGGCCCCCATCCTCGAGGAGGACCCGCTGCAGCACTCGACAACGATCCCGGAGCTGCGGGTCGGCGAGTACCAGGCTGAGGAGGACACAGCGGATCAGGACCGGCCATGGAGCCCGCAGAAGCTTGTGGACCAGTTTGTGGACTGGTACTGCGAGCGCGGGGACGTGCAGATGTGTGCGACGGTGGTGCTGCTGCTGGCCGGGAGGGTCAAGGTGGAGGAGCGGAGGAGGGACGAGTGGGTTGAGGGGTATCTCCGTGCGTTCCCTACATAAACTGTCAAGCAAACAAACGTCAGAGAGAGAGAAAAAAACTGATGAAAATAGAGCTCCTCCGCCGCTTTAATCTCTTCGTCCCAGCGGCCGCGATCGTGAAAACGACAAGTATAGAACCCATACGTGCCGCGGGAGGGAACCAGACATTCGCGAAGGCGGGTTGCGGGCGGTGCTTTAAGCCTATCACGCAGAGCGGCAGCTGGTACTGCGAGCGCTGCCAGATGCTGCAAGACGGGTGCGTCATCTGTCGCGAGACAGTGAAGGGACGGTGGACTATGTGTCAGGTGAGTCTCAAGCTACCTCACTGAGAAAAAGTATGTGTCTAATAACGGGAAATAGACGTGCTCACATGGCGGCCATGATAAGTGTCTCCGGGAATGGTTTTTTGACCATGAGATGGATGCGTGTGCGGCGGTGGGGTGCGACCATGAGTGTTTGCCGAGGGTGCGGACGGCGGGTGTAGTGGCGGGGTAATGATTTTTTTCTTCTTTTTGTTGGACCTTTTTTTGTGTGTGTGTAGTTGGGGACGGTTTTAGTTCTACAGTTTGACAGCGGCGTTAATCTTATTCACGGCGTGGATTATTCTTTTTTTCTTTCTTCTTTCTTGTTCTTGTGGTTTGTAACTAGATTTCTGACTTCTGTTTCTGTTTTTACCCCTCTGTGTATGTTAGAAGAAGAGGATGCCGTGGGGGAGAGGGGGGAGAGGAATACAGAGCTATATTCATGACCCATCACTCGGCCATACTTTTGCCAAGAATTTCAAAAGTAGGATATTTATTTGGGATATTTGCCAAGAAGCAATAGTAGTAGGAGGTGGTACAAAAACGCAGGTTGCTACTATTACTACTGTTGCTGACATGTTACTGGTGCGGCGGTAGCGTGAGGTTAGGTGGGATTAGTCAGCTTTGTAGTAGGTTGGTGATGGTGGGTGGTGGTTAGGTGGGTGATGATGGGTGATGGTGGAATAGGGTTTTTAATTTTTAACTCTCTCTTTTTTTTCCGGATAACGGAGCACCAATTGGCATGGGGACTACATTTGCTTACTAGAAAATATACATAGCTCTCTTTTCGCCGTACTAGTTTTTTTCTTCTTGAATACAAAGTAAAGAAACCCAAACCCTAGATTATAAATAACCCTATTCCACCATACACATAATATATAAGGCGTTGGAATAAGGGTTCTAGAAGTATTTTTTATTACTGGTTATGATGGATTAACTAATCCCATCCCCTGAGAAGATGTTGTTTCTTGGCTTCGGTCTTACTGGCGAGGAAGGGTCTGGGCCGTTTAGAGTGAGTATCTAATTGTGGCTGTGCAGCTCATGTGGAATTGTGGTTGGCTATGTAGTGACTACATACGAAGGATACGAAATAGTTTCTTCTGCTTCTTTCTTCTGCTTCTTCTCTTCTTTGATTAATTCTTAGTGGTAGATGTATTTCCCTATTTCCCCATGTTTTATATTTCCTCCGTTCATCGTATCATTATCGCATCTATGCGCAAGGTTCTGCAGTTTTACGACGTCACAGCATTTTTTTCTGCAGCAGGAATAGCAATTCTAATGTGGTTGGAGAGCACTACATGGTGATAGAAAACTTCTTATTCTACTTCGAATTCTTTGTTCTCTAGTGGTAAACGTATTCATCGTAATATATCGTTATCGGATCTGTGCGCAAGGTGTTGCAGTTTTACGATATAGGATATTCAAGTGTGGTTGGAGGGCACTACATGGTTTCTGATTCTGCTTCCTTCTCTTATTTGTTCTCTAGTGGTAAATCAATTTCCCTATTTCCCTGTTTCCTTTATTTACTCCGTCCATCATATCGTTAACGCATCTGTGCGTAAGTCGTTGCAGCTTTACGACATATCATCCCTTTTTCTTTTTTTTTCTACAGCAAAAACAAAGATTCAAACTCCGGTCCCTTAATCTCTGGCCAGTTCCTTACTACGGGGTCGGCATGAGAATACCGGTGGTTTGGATAGTTTGCAGTGTTGGTAAGTACAGCGACCGGAATGATCTATGGAAAAACAGGGGGGGTGAAATTGTATGGCGAAATATCTGTGCACCATGTAACTGTTTTTTCCATAGATCATTCCTATCGCTGTATCTATAGGTGATCCTACACACGAGTAATTGCTGCATAGTTATATGCAGGTAGTTATAGTTTGACATCACTACATGGTAATGGAAGGTTTCTTCTAGATCTTATTTTCTAGAAGAAATCTTACATTACCATCTCTTTTTTCTTTCTTTTTCCGTTATCGTTTACCAGCTAGCCGGTGTTTGCGATATAGGATTCCTTTTTTCTTTTTCGTTCTTTACAGAGAGATAACCTTGAGACAGTGGGGCCGATGTAAGGAGGTTCATAGCTGCATTAGAGGCATTGGATGCTGCAATGCTATCTACCCTTTTTCTTTTTTTTTTTTTTTTAATATGTAGTAAATGGGCGATGGTTGGTGATCGCTAGTGATAAGTGGTGACGGGTGATAGATGATGATGCTACCCTACGTCGGCAACACCAATGATCGTTGTTGCCGTTAACTTGCTAACTCACTCATTGAGTATGAACACCAATAACCCCAATATCACAATAATCGCAATAATCATATCGAAAGTATCAATTGACTAGAACCAACACTAAATTATGCACGTATGCAATCGCAAACAACACTCGAGCTCTACATCAACTTCGCTAAACACAATTGCAAGGTATCAACTACCAAACGTCACAGCTAGCTCGATCAACGACATCAACTACGGGCATCGCCAAGCGCACTATCGCGATTGGTCGTCCAAAACTACCCTGCATGGACGACTCTTCCTAGCAGGAAACATAGACTGACCAAAGCGGCATGTGGAAGCCACCACCGCGTCACTCCCCATCACTCGGCTGGGTTTACCGTCTTTGAGGGTTTCTACAAAAAAATAAAATAAAATCGGTCTGGTCTCCGCCGATAAGAGGCTTACGGTGCATGGTGGGTGGGGCGTAACTCGAGTAGAGGGCCAATGACAGTTATTACCATACGGGCGGATTGTAGGCAAGGTGCTTTATGCAGCTACCCATAACCGAGCTCCTTCGCTCAAAGTCCGAGATAAAGTACCTACAGTAGGTACAAGTCATCACCTCTTCTATTTATATGATCCATTCTGCGGGATGAAAGCACGGAATTGGATATTCGGTAGGTAAGCTCCATGTAGGTATGGGTAGATATCTTATCTCTCACGGGCACTCCCAGCCCAGCTGGCTAACCAGCTAGTAACAAAGCCCGGAGGAGTGCACGTGTCGGAGATTTGTTTTGCACGTTGGGAATGCGATACGATGCGATACGGTAGTTATTTTTTTTTTGTTAATATATTTTCATTCTTTTTTTTGATTTCTGATACCTGAGAAAAAAGAAAAGGAAAACCGTTCGTCACATTTGGGAGTAATCGAGCCGATGGGGTAGATTTTTACTCCTGCTGCGAATCATCAAAGTCGTCGCTTGGAACCTCCACGCTAAAATCCGCATCTTCCCCGACCTTGTAGCCAATGACAGATACATCCTTCAATCCTGCATCCTGCACAGTGGTTCGCTTCTTGTCTTGGTTCTGGATTGTTTGGAAGCCCTTGCTTAGGTCGGCTTGGTCGATGGGGGCTCCGAGAATGATTTCGTCTGCGCTGTCGGAGATGGGCGTGACGATGTTGTCTTTGTTTTGCTGTAACAGCTCATGGATTTGAGACTTGAGGGACAGGAGAGAGTCGGATTTCTGGGCAAATAGGAACACAGTGGTGGATCCGTTTTTCGCGCGTAGGGTTAGAGAGGCGGAGTTTGGCGTTTGGTTCGACTATCGTAGCTCGGGAGTGTCAGTGGGTGGGGGATGACGATGGATGGATGGATGTATTTGGGGGGGGGGGGGGGGGGCGGATGTAGAATGACGGTAGGACTGGAACGATTCAATGCCAGGGGAGGGTGGGAGAAGAGGGTTGGGGGTTGATGAACTCACCATCTTTTGTATCTATCGTGGATGATGATGGGATACAAGAGTTCTGTTGGAAGAAACGTTTAAAGCTATTCGAGGTGGTCGTTGAACTATTCGCTTGGCGGGAGTCCCTGCCAAGATATGCAGCCGAAGCGTCTTTAAACCACACTCCGATATCGTTGTTTGGATGAGGGTCGACGTGAGGAGGATAGAGATATGCTGGTAACTTTGGCTGCACCATCTTGACCTTGTACTGCTTGGATAGTGTATTCTTCACTTCATTCGCCGCCTGGTAGTTGATGTCCACCCCGTAATAGCTCTTTATTACGTCCTGTATCTCCTCTGGTCGTGTTTCTCTCGTGACAATAAGGTGCTTCGGTACATGTCGTTTGAGCCACGATTGGCTGTTGCACGTCTCGCGTTTCGCTGCCGCTCGTTCTGCACGCTGGCAATTGTGATTGGGTTCTAGTATCTTGACTTTAATATCATGCTTCTGTGTGATCGTGGCATACACCCTCCATGGACAATCACCTTTCTTCGTACGCGTCCGACACCTTATGTCGGCACGAGATCGATCCTTGTGTAGAGACTTGAACTGGAATTTGTCGGCGATGGACCAATCCTGGATTGCTTCTTTGAAGTCGGCCCATGAAGGGAACAGCTGACCGAGATGTATAGGACAGCAAACCATGTGGAATCTCGATGGGCGGGTTTTGTGGTAATGTTTTTTAATGTCTTTAATTGTGAGGGAGGGGGATGAGTTGAAGGCATTCATTAGTTTGCAGGAAGCTTGCTCTTTTTCTTATTTCTTCTTTCCTTTTTTTTTAGGGTTCCCCATCCCTTTCTTTCTAGCTCATCGGACTACGCTACGGGCATTGTTGTACACTGCGACCACCCGTGAACAGTTAATTCCCTAGGATCTCGATTTTGTCGATGATGGAATGGCTCCAGTAAGATTGTCGGACGTTTCCTGTCCGTGGTTCTCCGTGGTTTCTCCGTGGGGGGGGGGGGGGGGGGGGGTGAGGTATTATTACTGGCAGCTATGAGGGCGTTTGGCCAAGCTACGATTTTCCGTCTGGGCGATATTTTTGGCTGGCATTGCAAACACGTATGTTTAGGTAGAATACCATGATCTCCTTTTCTCCTAACGCTCTGGACTCTTCGGCATATGTATTGTAGACTACCATCCTTGGCTGACAGTTCTGGGTAGCGGTTGTAGTGGAAGTAAAGCAGTTTAGTGGGGAACGGTCGGACCATTATAACACAACCGCACAGATGTCATCAATGCTTAACGAACGGATGGCATGCCCACCTCAATCAACCCCCTACAAAAATAGACATAAACATTCTAGGGCTTGATAATATCCGAGCTGTAAGTGGGTACACACGTGTTTAGAGGTACATAACAAGTATAATAAGCGATGTCGTTAATTGCTCTAATCAGGTAAACGAGGTGCGTATTTAATGATATTTGATATCTTACTCTATGGGTCAAGTCAACGTACCCTAGGCCTTACGCTTCATCTATCAATCATCTCCGGGGTTGTTGGAAGAGTGCAGGGATAAGACAACAGCCCGTTACTGGGTAAGACAGCTTACCCAGATCCAGTTTTAGCTCAAGAAACATGGTCGGCTTAAGATTGGGGTGTAATTTACTTGGGTTTAATAACAACTCTTCCCATTCGGGCAACTGCGGTAGTAGTACTAGTGGGGAAACATCACAGTCATCGAATCGCACTCGGGTCTTGGCAAGTCTGTGCTGTTTACTAACTCACTGTGAGGGCGCTTGGATTCTTGGTGTGGGCGTGAGGGGGCTTGGTTAAGGTTGTGGTGTAGGTGGATGCTAGAATACACGAGAGGGTTCTCTGACCCTTCTTTATATACATGGCGCCGTCTGTTGTGCTTCATTCTCCACGTTAATCCGCACTGAAGCTCTGACAAGACGCTAGCAGGCTGACAAGAGGGTGACTAAAACGTAAAGGTAAGTCTCGGTATCTGTCTAGAACAAGACGAAGGGGTGTTTCGTAAATAAGGAGAACATTCCAACCCCTTCGGATCGTCCAGTTAAAGAACCCTTAGGTTTGTCAAAGGGGAGTGGAGTAGTAAACGCCACACCGTCCTTGTAAACCACAAAGAAGCACACAGAGTCTCAGGTCATAAAAGATCACTCAATGTTTCTAAATGTAAATAGTCGCTATGGAAAACCCACAAGATTGGTGAACGGGTAGGAAAGGCCAATGCCCCTTGCTCTCCCACCTTGCTACGTAAGCGTAGCCTAGATAGCAAGTGCACATGCTGCTAAGAACTCGAGCGCACGACTGAGCGATACATCAAGGGGCACCCTGTAAACATCATAAGCATGAGGCCACGATCAAGAGTACACCGTGGTGTCTAGCTACCACCCATACAGGCTGTCTTGATCAGTGATGAACGCCCCTCGATGCCGGCGTCACCTTCTACGATATTGTCATCGCTGACACCGCGAAGAAACATGCCTTGGGCATTTGGTCTTACACTCACTCCGAGAACGCCTGTCTGTACCAGAAACACAGTCTCAAACGTACCCATCAAGTTGTTCTTCCGCCAGCCTTGTTTCCAGCGCTCGAGGTCATGGCGTTTGCTTAATTCATTGTAAAAACAGTAAGAGAATTCTTTTTTTCCTCTTTCCTATAGAGCTACTGGTGAACAATTCGCTTACAAAGATAACAAATCAAGCCGACCAAAGGATTTGCAAAGATCACGGAATCGCACTCGGCCTTGGCGTGCCTGCACGACACGCAGCTTCGCTACCTCAAGTCGACAAACGACATCAAATACGCAAATATTTAGCATCGGCATAACTATTACTACCGACCACCCCCGAGCGTTTTTAAAGTTAAGTTTGAAACATTCGGGGTTGTATGTAATCGTAATCACCCTCGACCTATTTAGCTAGCATCACTAATATTACTCCCGAGGTTAGTTGGGCGATTATTCATCTTCACCAGCGATCAATCGGCCCCTCCACGTGGGATGGGGGGTAAAACTTTATTAATCACAAACCTTAATGACTTTCTTCTTTATAATACCGAGGGGTTTTATTGGCGGATTAGATGATTTCTACTCCTCGAGTGCTGCTTCTACCTTGAATTAAGCATAGCCTGTTGCGTCAGGACATCACTGGCTTACAAATTACCATTGCTGTAAGGATGGGTATTATTCTCTTTCTAAACGCTTCTCTGAATACTTCAAATCATATCGAAGAACTTACAGGCTGATCCAAGCTACTGTAGGGTCTGATATCAAGCTCTCTAGCCAGAGGCGAGAGGGGGATTGAGTATATAAACTCCATCAAATCGCTACTCTTTCGTTAAACATTCAACTCAGTAAAACGATAAAACAATCGCCTTTTCTCACTGCAACTAAAGCACCAAAACCAGAACCGAAGCCAAAATGACGGGTCCAAATTCCTACCTTTCTGAACCAACTGCAGAATATGCTGAGGTAAATTCTCGGGCTTGCCGCAATTTCACGCAATTTCACAGGTACGAAATATACTAACCGATTATAATTCAGTACCTTAGAGTTACAAACCCCATCCCAGACCTCGCGGATGTAGGAGGAAGTGAAGAAGCCCGCCAAGCTCTCCAAAACCTCTTCAATCCTAGCCGTAACGTCACGATCCCTACAACCGGTTTTGTTATCACCGACTTCACTATTCCTGCCCGAGATGGCTATAGCCTTCCCATACGCTCCTACATCCCCGAGGGCCCAGAAAGCACCACCTGGCCTATAATCATATGGAGCCACTACGGAGGCTGGGTTTTCGGCGGCCTGGAGAGCGACGATACACTCTGCCGAGTGTTTGCCAAAGAGCTTAAAGTCGCTGTTGTGAATATCGATTATAGATTGGCGCCCAAATGGGTATTTCCCACCGCAGTGAATGATGTTCATGACACCGTCAGATGGGTATGTCAACACATTTAATTCCTCGGCTGATTTACAACTGACACTGTGGACTAGATATCTGTAAACCCGGATAAGCTCAACGCAGACCTCTCCAAAGGCTTCATCATTGGCGGCACATCAGCAGGCGCTAATATGTCCTCCATCGTAGCGCATCTCGCCCGCGACGAAAATCTCACACCCCCACTAACCGGGCAGCTCCTCAGTCAGGGGAACTTCTTCAGTCGTGGCCATCTCGACTTTATCCCCGAGGAGCTGCGTGCTGAGTATACTTCTGATATCGATAATAAAGACGCAGTCATCATTAGCACAAAATCTATGGAGTACATTTTCAGTATGTAAACCACAACTCTAGAGGGAGAAGATTATATGAGTTTTTATGTTGGGCTATAGCTAACTCTGTTTGTACTTCACAGATACAGTAAAGCCGGATCCGACAAGCCCCCTTTTCAGCCCGGTGTTGTTTAAGTCGCACAAGGGACTTCCGAAAGCCTTTTTTGAGGTTGCGGGAGGGGATCCGCTTAGAGACGATGGATTGATCTACGCAAAGATCTTGCAGGCAAGTGGGGTAGAGACGAAAATGAAAATCTTCCCAGGGCTGCCGCACACATTTTATGAGTTTGCGCAGTGGAAGGCGGCGGGAGAGTGGATTCCGAGTCTCGTGGAGGGTGTAAAGTACTTGTTGGGACGCGCGTAGGCGGGCGCGGAGGTGAATGACGCGGATTTTTGTATTTTGGTTTGGTATTAAGATGAGTGGGAATTTAAGTTAGGGAATTACATATACATGTAGTTATAGGCAATTTTCTTTGTGCGAGTGATGCCCGGTGACCAAATATCAGTTGTTCCAGGTGGGAAAAAAGATCCATAGTGCCCAAGACTAAATAATAAAAAAATAGACTAAGAAGTACCGTTCCATCCCGCGTTAAAAGCAGCAAGCAAGATATCTATCGTACACCGACAGACCCGTATTTAGGGGGATCTTTAGTTCTAAATGAAGCACCGATCACATAAGCTTTGCCTAGTATAAGCATATCAGGTGATCATATTCACAATCCATCACTCGTAAGACACCAACCCAACGGCAACATGCGGCCAAAAAAAACTCTTCCTCGGAACTAAATGTAGTACTCGGTTTCTCATGCCAAGCGTGAAAGAGGGAGCTCGTGTTCTCAGAAAGGCCCTAACTATTGTTGCATCATATAATCTCACTCTTTGTTCACTGCTGGGGCGGAGGCCAACATTTTTGTCTCTTTGTGAGCTTGTAGTTAGGCTCCAATTCAATTAACGGTAAAATGAGCGCTGGAATAGATGGTAAAGATGCCCTTTTTGTCAGATACTACTGCCACCACTTTTCTCTCGGTCGAGATATAACTACATGTACTTGAAACCTTGGTAGTTCCAAATGTAGTAAGTTAAATGAGTGACTAACTCGCTATTGTTGAAATAGCTGCGAGCTGGCTGCTCATGAGCAAGCAAGCGGGCCGTGATTTTTTTATAACACAGTAGATGTATGCTGAGCCAAGAAAGTTCTACAAACAAGAGTGAGGATTGCTTGACAGAAAGAGGGTTGTGTGAAATGCAGTCATGGAAAATGACTCGGTAGATAAAGTTCATGCGTAAATTACATATAGAACTACGGGATATCCGAGATTAGATCCACTAACCCACCCCCTTGTGGATATACAAGGTAAGTGCATGTACTCAAGCACACTAACATAAAATCGTAACTCGTAAATAAACATACCTGTAAACCAAAAAAAACAAGAATTAGGAATGGTATCATGCGCAAGAGAGAAAACAAATCAATCATTGGTTGGTCTGGCCAAAACCAAGTTTCTTTTGTCCCTCTTAAATCCATCAACCATACAATGGGAAAATAAAGCTTACGAGTGAAAGTAATGACAGAAACACCACATTCCAAAATTACGCCAAACAACCATAATGCTTTACGACAGACGGCCTCCCAAAGAAATGATTTAGCGCCATTTATTTCTCCCTAATCCTGCACCACCAATGCTTTCTCTCCCCGCCCGCTCTCTTTGACTCTCCCTAACATGACCTAATAATGCATCTTTATTGACTCTAAAACTCCCACCATTGACTGTCATTCTCCTCGCACTCGCCTTCACACCTTCCCTCTTAGGACTTAATACTGTTGACATGTTACCACTCCCATTCCTGTTGTCTCGTTCGCTTCGAGGCATCCTGCGGGCGTGCCCAATCCCGAACATATCACCGTTTGGACTAATCTGTGATGTGCTCGCGGAAACCCTCCGCTTGTGAGTTGTCTTTTTCATTGCGCTTTTAAGGGGCCTGGAATTAGCTCGCCAGGGCTTCTCGTCGGTCGGACGGAGATAGTCGCCGAGCGCTGCCGCATCGGATTTAGATCGATTGATGGCTTGGTCTGTATCGAACGTCCTGAGTGGTGAGTTTGAGGAACGAGGTAATGGTAAATCCGCGGGACTGACATCTTTATTCTTGGATAAGAATCCTACTTCTAGCCTGTTGTTCCTTGGCCTTATTGGGGGAGCTACAATCCCTTGTGATGCTTCGAACGAAAGTGAAAATTCTTGTCGGGTTCTTTCATTCGTATCATCATAGATAGATTCCTCGAAAATCGTTGAAGTCTCGTTGAGTCGTTTTTGGCGCGGTTCATCCAGAAAGGTGTCATCTTCTCCATCTTCATCCTCATCCTGCCACCTGACGCTCTTTTTCGGGTCTGGCTTTCGTCCAAACTTAACACCTTTCTTGGGGGTCTTCACCTTGACGGGTCTTGGCGACTTAGGATGAGGAAGAGATGTTTGAGGTTCAAATGATTGGGGGGGAGCTGTAGCGACGTTGTTAAAATTTGGCTGTTTTGCTGGAGATGGAACGGGGATTCCCATTCTGCGTCTTGGCGTACCAGACTGGACAGGCTGCGTATATTGAGCTGGTCGGTAGCTATCTATCGAGGCCAACTCTCCATTCGGTTTAATGATATGAGAGACCGCATCCGATGCAGCCTTTTGGACCTCGAAAAGTGATTTTCTCGCCTGTTCAACAGCCTGTTCTTCTGAAACGTTAATCTCTCCAATCTGGCTAAGCTTAGCAACAGTCTCAAAGTGCGCCTTTGAGAGAGTGTGTATTATAGAGGAGAAGTCTGGATCAGTGTTCGCCACTGCGTGTAGTGCATCCCGCTCAGCAGTCATCTTGAGAAGGTTGGCCTCACAGGTTAGTGCAGAAAGGTCGGTTTCCATGATACCTTCGATTGCTTGGAGGCTGCGTAAACTTAACATTAGGGCTTGATCAATAACCTTCTCACAGCCCGGTCCGCTAAGTTTTTGCTGAAGGTATTTCTGATTTCCTCTTAGCTCTGAAAGCACTTTCTCAGCTTCATCTCGTGCCTTATAGACGGTTGGTTGTTGATTGTATTGACGATTCTTGAACACGTGGTCGAATGCAGCTATCCATGTGGAGACTAACGATATACGTCTCTCTACCACCCTCAAGCTCTTCAAGTCATTAATTCTTTCCCTCTGCAGGTCCTTCGAATGTTCATATGCGGCCTTTAGCTTTCTTGTTCCCTCCCTCATCGCTGTATCCTTGGCACCCCCTTGCTTAACTATCTTCTCCATAGCTTCCTTTGTCGAGTCGTTGAGGCGTTTCTTAAGTTCTTCCACCTCGGTCCGGAGCTCATAGATGGCTTTAACATACTGACTTACATGCCTATTCACGTTCATCGTATTTCTGGAAACCTTTGTCTTGATCTTCTTCGCGCGGTCCGCATATTTGAGGGTATTATGAGTCTCTTCATAATGTTGGCTCGAAGGACTGACACAAACGATCATAACTGTCTTGCAATTGCCGCCCAATGAAAACTTTAAAAGACGCGTGAGTTTAGAGTCTCGGTACGGGACATGGTTAGATTTATGAGGGTCACAAAGTGCATTGATGCAATTTCCAAGTGCTGTCAAGAACATTAGTTTGGGATGGATCCATCGTTAATGATCTTTAAAAAGTTTAGCTTACCAAGCAACGACCTGTTGATATTGGCACCCTCGAGAAGTCTATCGCCCCTGTTCTTTGTGACTGATGCACGTTCACTTCCAGCAAGATCAATGATTGACAAAGTAGCAAACATGTGATTCTCTGACATTCCTGCCGTCCTGGGCTTCTGCATGACATTAATTTGTAAGACTGCGTGGGATCGTGAAGAGGTGGCATTTGCCTCTGTTGGTGATATTGTTCGGTTGGCGTTCCCCATCAAAATCATGTTCATGACCTCCTGAACATTTTTGGGCGAATGCGTCGACAATCCAGCGACCGAGATATTCTGATTGGTGTCTTCTCGGAGCTGAAGCCCTAGCTTACTGCCGCCTGGAACGAGGAGATCTCTGATAGTTTCATTGTAGATTTCGAGATAAGAGAGGGTGAGCTCAATTTCTTTCTCGCCAGACAGCGCGTTGATACGATCAAAAAGCTCGGCGCACGTAAGAAAGATGATTCCCGGGTGTTGTGGAGTTCCACTAATGGTATGTGTCTTCCCGCATCCCGTTGCACCATATGCAAACACCGTAGAGTTAAATCCGTCCAGCACACTGTCCAGCAGTGATCTCGTAGTAGCTTCATAAACCTCATCTTGTGTTGCTGTTTCATCAAACACTCTATCAAATCCAAATCGCATATCCTTAACTTTTTTCCCCTGCGGCAATATTGTCTTTTGGTATCGTGCTACAGGGTTATCTTCAGGCGGGTCAAAGACACTGATAAGGAGCGTCAGCATCGACTAACTACCAAAGGGGCAAAGCGGGGCACGCACAGGACACGGTCATCTATAACCTTAACTACACTCCGTACACCCTTGCCCGTGAGCTTTGGCGTTGGCATACTGGCAAGAGAGCCATCACCAAAGAACGTTGGAGCATCATCAATTCGGGTTCTAGAATGTATAAGTTAGGGTGTTCGCTGGTGTTGATGTGGGGTAATAAAAGAACGCACATTTGAGCTGCCTCCCGGATTGTGAAGGGTCGAACTCGTACTATAAATTAAACCTTGTCAGGCATACCTGTAAAGAGTACCAAAGGGAAAATTTCCACTTACCAGTAACGCAGATTGATGACCTGTCGCCCATCCTGGGATTTACGATAAATTTGAAGGGCTGGATTGACGTGACACACAATCCTAATAGAGACCGAAGGGAAAGATTATAACGATGCTGCTACTTGAAATATTGCTGGATAGTGTTGTCGTCTCTGGGTCGTTAAGTGATGGTGTTGGTCGTCCACAGTTGAGGGGGGGAACTTGGAGGTTATGAGCTGTAGTGTTTGTTTAGGCGAGCCAAGACTGGCGCAGGATCTGCAGGGCTCGTTGCTGTGACAACAACACGGTGCAGGCACACTAGACACGACATCATATGTCAAATCATCCCTGGTTTGTACTGGACCACAACGTGTCTCCATTTGATGATATTGATTCGTAAAATATCCTAGTAGTATTTTTTTGCATTTACTGTATGTAGAGTAGGTACTTACGGATCTTGGAAATTCAAACAGTAAAAAATAAGGAGTATCGAAGTTTTCCTTAGATAATAACTAGTAATTATCTACCATGAATGTACAGTATCTACCTCCCCAGCAGCACCCAGGCTGCCCACTAAACCCTTCGTTGCCCAGCATGTAAAACATGTATGTAAAAGGTATCAAACTCCTCCCCAAAAGGATAAGAACACAAAATGAAGCAGGAATCTTACATTAATAAGAATCGTGAAAGAAGGGTATAGGTATAAAACAAAACTCATATCAACGATCGCTCATAAAAAATCAAAAGAGAGAATGCACAAATGAATATCGCGATGCCAGCTCAAGTACCACGCTCGTATGCCCAAAACAATAAACCGTGAAACCGGTCCCAGTTCCCAGTGACCCAAATGAGAAAATGAAAGAAGAAACGCCTCCCACCCTGGCCCAATTCATACCTACTGCAGAGAAAATGAAAGATAATGGTCGTTACCCGTTGAAATCATTCTACTCGTCCCGGTAAAATTTCCGGAAGATCAAATGTAGAAATAAATTCACATTGAATTTGATCATCCCGTCACACAACATCATGAATTGATTGTTGTGAAATTGCATCTATTAAATTTTAAATTTAGTTGTTGTAATTATGATAATTGAAAAATGGGTACATACCTGTAAAAGATCATCTAGCAAGACCTGAGCGCTGGCTCCTGGGATCATCATGCTCCCATTGCTTGCCTCGACAAAGAATATGCCAACCTCGTCCGAGGAAATCGTGAAATTGACTTTATCCCACCTCTTCTCAGGGAATCCATCTAGTTTAACCAACACGCCCTTATCCGCCAAGCCCCTCGCAGTATATTTGTAGGAACCGAACTTTGGAACTCTCCCAGAACGCTGTAGTTCCCGCATGTGGAAGTATTGTCTTGTGAACGGGAGGATGGCCTTCTTCTTGCCTTTCTTTGTTTGTAAGGTGACCATTGCCTGTTCAATATAATCGTTGTAGCTCTGTAACTGGGACTCAAGATACTGTGCTTTTTCGTTCAAGTGGGCCAGCGTCATCTTGACACCGTCTAATTCCCTGGTTCTTTCTATTCTTCTCCTATGCTTTGTGCGGATGTCTGTAGCGATTGCGTTCAATAGGTCTTGGTAATGATTCTTGCGGGTGATTTTTCCGGTCTGCTCGAGGCGAATAATGCACTCTAACGCTGTTCGTTTCAACTCTGCGTAGGTCATGCTGTATATCCGTTAGTATAGTTGAATGCAGGGTATATGAGGTGAAACATACGTGCTAACATCGCTCAATGTGTGGGTGGCATCAGCATAAGCGCTCTTCTTCTTTCCCACTTGCGACTTCTCTTCTAACAACAGCTGCTCCCATCTGTCTTCATCTTCCCTAACAATCGGCTTGACAAGAATCTCCATCAAGTTTGCTCCCGTTTGAACTCGGACAACATAAAGAATGCATCTCTTAGTCTCCACGAACAGTGCGTTGACTTCACTATCGGGGTCTTCAATTTTCTGGAAGTGTGGGTCTAGTTGTAACCCGATCTCAGTATTGCCTACATTTTTCAATTCGGCCTCGGAGTTTTGAACGCTTCCTAGCTCACTGATGATTACCCTCAACTGATCCTCTCGACTAGGAGCAATAGTCTCAATATCTTGAGCGACCAATCTGTGTATAGCAAAGATATCCGTCATTTTGATATAAAGTGTCGGCTTCTTTTTACTGGTCAAATCCTCAAACTCGTCAATATCAAATCGGGCCTTCGCATCGGGGACACTGATGAGCACTCGGAAAATATCCTTCATCCTTGTTACTGCGTCCATAATATGATGATTTAATGGCTGTAGATAGATATTGTCATGGGCGAATTGCCTCCCGCTGGAGATCTGGTTTAACAACTTTCCTACTTCCGCGAGGTTTCTCTTCTGCATTGGTGTCAAGGTTTTCTCCACAACACCAAACGATTCCGGTCCGATCACAGCGGGGCCCCAATATTTCTGATATACGAAATGCTCAACGATTTGCAGTATGACATCTTCGCCTTCGTTCGGGAATCTAGCAAGGAGAGAAGTTACTGCCTGTTGCGCGATGTATCGAATACCGTATGGCATGCGGTTGAGATTGTCCTCCATGGCACTAATAAAGTACTCTGAAAGGTTGCGCAGATCAGAAAGATGTGCGACAAACGTTTCCCTAGTCTCTTGATCATGGATAGCGATTTCGCGGCCGACGTTGGGGTTCCGCTTAGATCGCATACCGGTACGGAGCTCCTCGTTATTGATTGACGATAAATAGATTTGCAAGGGATCGCTTTCTAGGTCCAATTCATCGTTCTCGATGAACTCTGTTTTGACTATAGGTCCTAAAACATCCCTAAAGAACTTGCGATCTTTCGGTGACCTGATATAGTTCATGGCTAATTTGAGCCAAAAGAAATTCACCCTCAGAAACTCTTCTGGACGACTGATGTTCTCAACCTCCTCTTTTATGCTCTTCGCTATCAGCTTGAGTAAATAATATTCCTCCCTTCGCTTCTGGGCGTATCCGAATATCCCCATAACCAAGTTCTCCACCCGCTTCAGTTCCTGGTCAGCTGTATTTTGCTCTCGAATCTTCTGAAACATTCGAGTTAGATACTGAGGCTGCGTTTGAAGGGCAAAAAACATTTGTTGATATCGCTCAAGTCTCTTCCGGGAGTTATTATTGAGTGCTTTGAGATCAAACGGGTCCGCGCTCGCGATTTCGGTGTTACTAAGCAAGTTTCCGACATGACCAGTAAAGCGCTTTTGATGCCTGATAACCTCGTCAAGGGTAATTTTATTTTTGACAAGTAGGGCGATCTTAATGTCAAGCTGATCAACGTATGCCTCAGCCAACTCGTTCGCTCTGACATGTTGTACTACATTTTTCCGGAGACTTTCGAATTCGATTTCCTCATCGAAATCAAAATCGCTGTCATTGAGAAGGTGTACAAAATTCTTCACTGTGCCAACTGGTGGATTTTTACCGCTCACTAGAAGAAGTTACTTCATGTGCTCTATTGAAGGATGGGTGGGGAACTTACTCAACGATTTGTACGCCTCGCCCTGCTGTCTTCCTCTGACAAAGCTTTGAATCTTGATAACCTTTTCCATATTGTCCTTGAAGTGCTTGAGTTTACCAAAGAACCGTTTTCTCTCAAGACAACCCCTAGCCAGAGCCTGTAGATCGATAATTGCTTCTTCTTCATCCTGAACAGCAAGAACCTTTTGGATGGCATACTCTCTGGCAAGAATACTTCTAATAATAGCTTGAACCGTAATAATACCGTCTTCCTCGCGTGCTAATTCGTCCAAAAATCTTTGTTGACGCTGTCGGTAGAGGAATCCGCGAGCACTAGCTTGAAGTGCGATGATGCCACCGAGTTCGTGGTCAAGGGCATCTAAAGTATCCAGATAAGCCCATCGTGTAAGGACACCTCGTGCCTGAGCCTGAAGGTCAACGATGTGTTCGACAGCGGCGTCCAGCTGATCTAAAGTGTCATCGAAAGCCTTCCTTGCCAGGAAACCGCGAGCCGAGGCCTGTAAATCAATGATGTCGTCCTCGGCGTGTGCCAGGCCTAGTAACTTCCGTCGATACTCCCATCTAATCAAAGTCCCTCGACTAGCAGCCTGAATATGTGTCCAATCCTCTGTCTTTGCTTCCAGGGCTTCTTTATCCGCGCCCAGAGACTTTCTAAGCAGGTAACCTCTTATTGCAGCCTGTAGATATTGGAGGGTTTTATCTTCAGTCTGGAGAGCCTCTTGGTCCTTCTTCATGGATTGTCTTATCAGCGAACCCCTAGCAGCTGCTTGAAGAGCTGTGATGGCCTGTTCAGTGCTTTTCAAGGCGGCCATATCTTTTGCGATAGCACTTCGGACTAAAAAGCCTCTGGCAGCCGCTTGTAGGGTGGCGGTTGGGGTTTCTGTTTCTGCGTCTTTCAGGCTGGTTACGTCTTTTATCATAGCCTTCCTTACCAATGCCCCCTTTGCGGCGGCCTGGAGTGATCTGATTGCTGGTTCTGCATCTTTTAAAGCAGAAATGTCTTTCAGCATGGCCTTTCGGACCAGAACACCTCTCGCGGCCGCAGCAAGCATTGTAAGGTCACCGCCCACTTCCTCCAAAGCCTCTGCATCCCTTGAAACGCTTTTTCGGACCAAACATCCCCTAATCAATCCTTGGAATGTCGTCACACTCTTTTCAGCTGCCATTAGCATCCTCTGGGTTTCTGCCATCTTCCACCTAACTAATGCCCCACGGATGGCCGCTTGCGTTTCGCAAATCCGATCCTCGCTTTCAGAGACATCCGCCATCTTTGCTGCTAGCCTCCTCCTCAACAAAGCCCCTCTAACCTTGGCCTGAAACTCAACAACTTGCATTTCCTTCTCCTGAACCTCATTCATTCGAGACTGGAGCCGCATTCTCAGGAGAAGACCCCTTGAAATGGACTGTAGGCCCACAACGCCCATTTGGGCCATTTCTAACCTCATCTTCTGTTGGATATATTCTTCCCTCACTTTCCTAGCCCGGTACCTTGCTTGTAGTCGGACGATCAATCGCTCATGTGCTGTGAAATGTCGTTGCTTCCGTAAAATTGCTTGTCGTATAGCGTAGCCCCGGGTGACTGCCTGGATCTCTGTAGCCCACCTGGCCAGGTCTGCCCTGTACCCAAATGTCATACGGGCAAACATCCCTCTAATCATGGCTTGTAACTCTATTATAGCATCTTCATTATCCCATAATGCTTCCATACGTAGTCCCAGCCTCATACGGACTAGTGCCCCTCTACAAATATTTTGCAGCTCCAGAATATCCGGTTCAAGCTCGCCTAACTCTCTCTCAATCCGATCCTCTTCAGACTCGGGAGGCTCTGGTTCGGGCTCCTCTTCATGCCCAAAGTGCTTGTTGACACCGCGGAAGGAAGGTAAACTAACGCCGGAAATGTCAAGGCTTTTTTGAGTATCTTGAATTTCCTTTTCCGTGAACTCCAACTTTCCAACAAGATTACCGATGGCATTTGTGGTCATTCCAAGGCGAATGAGAAGGTAGGATAGAGCGTGTATGCAATAAATAACTTTAGGTATGTTTTTTTTGTTGTAGAGATCAGTTAACTCAAAAATAAAAATCTGATAAGTAGTCGATTAGTATTCAAACATGTCATTTCTTGCCAAAGAATGTATAATTTACTTCTGGCAGCTCCACTCTTTTGAGGAACCGGAAAAACCTGTCGATATTATCAGAGTGTCGAAATTGAAGTTTCTTTGCCTCGAATATCCTAGGCACTAGTTCCGGCGAGAATACTCGTACTAATTTCGCAAGAGTAACGCCATCCCGCAATGCTTCCTCTAGCTCCACAATCGGTGGTATAGGTTCTCCGATGCAACCCTCAAGCCATCTTCCCATCTATGAGTCAGTGGGGCTTTTAGGAAGTTTGGTTACAAGAACTTACTCTTTAGCCTCACCAATATGGCACAAGTATTCATAAGCTTGAATATATTGTCGCCGTTTATCCATCCAATTCATTCTTTCCCAACTACTTAAGTTGTCCGTATTTACCCTCTGTAAACGTTTCCTTCCATGCATACCCGTAACATCCTGCCCCGAGTCCATCGCAAAATCTTCACGAGAGCCTTCATTTGTCAAGCGTGATAACGTCCGAAAGTGCGAAACGCTGCTGTTTCGCAAAGAGTCTATATCGCTACTCTTGAGTGAAGTCGTACCGGTGCTAGCTGTATGTCGGTGTAAGGAGTTGTATGGAGTTGGCGTTGGTGTTGGCCGGCCATGTGAAGGTGGGGGTGAGGTAGATCCGGCAGCATAAGGGGATGTCAAGTTTGGCGGAGAAGGAATGCTGTAACCGCGAGTCGTTCGTGAACCTAATGGCGAGAAGCTAGAACCGGATAGTGGTCGAGGGGGGGTGGTGGGACCTGAAGTCGGGTTTGTCGTATATGAAGATATCATCGGCGACGTCGTGGCGGCTGCACTGAGCGACATGGAGTGTTTGTGTCTTAAGGAGTTTCCTCGACCCTCCATGTTGCTGAACCGTGAGGAGGTCGAGGTTGTGGATGAAACGGTTGTGGAACGCGAGGATGGAAACGAATAAGCCGAGGAACCCGCAGACACGGTCGAAGCGTTTGAAGGTTGTCTTCTATGTGGTGATGCAGGATAGAGAGACATGGCAAGCGGACTTCAGCGATCCGCGGATGGGATGAATTGAGGGGAATAGTTTCGAGTGGGGGTGGGAGGTAATGATGAGGGTGGATGAACTCTGGTAACACCGGTTATGGTGGTGATGAGTGATGTGGTGTGTGATGAGATGGGGCTCTGCAGCTCGCTCTGAGCTCGTTGTTGGTGTAAACAAACCTGGGTGGAGGAGGTCCTTGCGTCGGTGGTAAACAATGGCGTAGGGACCAACCAGTGTGTACCGGCTAGACAACCGACGGAGAATAGCAGCGGGAACTCTCTAGTACCGCTGGATAAAAGAGAGTGTGTAGGGCTAAAAATCGTATGAGGCCCAAGATAGTGGAGTAAGAGCAAGCAAGACCAGCCAGAGCGAGATCAAAAACTAGAGTCTCAAAAACAGCAAAGATTTAAATATAAAAAAAAAGTAGAGCCCATTGAAGGGTTCGTTTGCGTACCAGAGTGCGGTGAAGGAAACAAAACAGGACGATGTCTGCTGCTGTCTAGACTCTATATGCATACCACTGCGCTGTCGTCTGCAGCATTATGCACACCAAGAGCGGAGGCGAGTTGTTGTGCCCGATGCAGCTTGGCAAACATCCTACCTGATTGAGCCAAAGTGAAAAGTTCCATCAACTCCCTGAAATTTCACACCACGTGATAGCAAGGCAAGAGTCTAAACCCTTACCACACTAAGCCAGTATATCATTGGCCCGTCATTCCCCCTCATCTCACTTGGCATTGTGTGCCCCACTAAAAGTGCGTTTTTCTTTTTCTTTTGTTTCTTCATTTTTTTTTTCTTCTTTGTGTGTACCCTAACCCTGAAAAGGTTCCAGTATTTCTTCTCCTCACCTTCTGACGCTTTTCACTTTTTCCTCTTCTTTTTTTTTACTTGGACTGGTACGCCAGTATCCCTTGCCCAAACACTTGTATTCCACCTCTTTTGGGATAACAAAGCACGCAAGATTTATACCCCCAGCACCGTTACTCCTCTTCACTGCAATAAAAATGCCTGCGGCCACCGGTAACGACGCTCAGGTCGGCGTGTTGGACTTCACGTCTGCCATTGAAGTCATGAAAAAGGAATACCCCAGAGATGGCTTGGATGCCCGAACTCTGTTGGATTCCGAGAAGCGTGGAGGATTGACGTGAGTTTTCATCCCGATTCAAATTTATTCTACAAATAATACGAACTTTGATGTACTAAATATCGTGGGTGAAAAAGTTACAACGATTTCCTCATTCTTCCCGGCTACGTTGGATTTCCCGCCTCAGATGTGACTCTTGATACCAAGATCACCAAGCGTCATTCAATCAATTTGCCGCTGGTGTCTTCGCCCATGGACACTGTCACCGAGGACCAAATGGCCATCTTCATGGCACTTTTGGGTGGTGTCGGTTTCATTCACCACAACTGCACCGCTGAAGACCAGGCCGAGATGGTCAAGAAGGTCAAGAAGTATGAGAACGGATTCATTCTGGATCCTGTCGTCATGAGCCCCAAGAACACCGTTGGCGATGTTTGGGATGTCAAGACAAAGCAGGGTTTTGCTGGAATTCCTGTCACTGGTAAGAATTATTCGCTCTGCTTTGCCTTCATATCCTGAAATCACGGCTTCTATGATGATTATCAAACACATATAACTTTCGTTCAACCGCATCGAAGTCAATCTCTTGTGGAAAACCAAAATACCTGATCTTGCCATTTTATCACGATTTGTTTGCTTATTTTTCGAAAAAACAAAAACTTCTTTCGAGTTCAATTTGACTGACAAACACATCTTCAGAGGACGGCCATTTGCAATCGAAGCTTATTGGAATGGTTACCATGCGTGACATTCAATTCCATGCGGACTACTCAACTCCCTTGTCGGAGGTAATGACCACTGAACTGGTCACCGCCCCGGAAGGAATTACTCTCCAGGAGGCCAATGCCATTCTGCGAGCCTCGAAGAAGGGCAAGCTTCCAATTGTTGACAAGTCTGGCAACCTTACTGCCCTCCTGTCCCGCTCTGACCTTATGAAGAACCTTCATTTCCCTCTTGCCTCCAAGCGCCCCCACAGCAAGCAGCTTCTTTGCGGTGCTGCGATTGGTACTAGAGATGATGACAAAGCCAGATTGAAGTTGTTGGCTGAAGCTGGTTTGGATATCGTTATCTTGGATAGCTCCCAGGGTAACAGTATCTACCAGATTGAGATGGTCAAGTGGATCAAGAAGGAGTTCCCCGACATTGATGTTATTGCCGGAAACGTCGTTACCAGGGAGCAGGCTGCCAGTCTTATTGCTGCCGGTGCTGATGCTCTCCGTATCGGTATGGGTTCTGGTTCCGCCTGTATCACCCAGGAAGTCATGGCTGTCGGCCGTCCTCAGGCCGCTGCTGTCTTTAGCATTTGCCAGTTCGCCAGCCGCTTCGGCGTTCCATGTATGGCCGATGGAGGAATCCAGAACGTCGGACACATCGTCAAGGGTCTCGCTTTGGGCGCCTGCACTGTGATGATGGGTGGACTCCTTGCGGGAACCACTGAGTCTCCCGGAAAGTACTTCTTGAGTGCAGAGGGCAAACTCGTCAAGGCTTACAGGGGTATGGGATCTATTGATGCCATGGAGAGCATGAAGACCGGGGACAACGCTGCCACCGGAAGATACTTCTCCGAGGGTGACAAGGTCCGCGTTGCTCAGGGTGTCAGGTAAGTTTTATATCTACTATCTTAACGGTGGTACGAGTACTAATCGTCTCAAATAGTGGGTCTGTCTTGGACCGCGGCTCCGTCACCAAGTTTGTCCCCTATCTCCAGGCCGGTCTGCAGCACTCCTTCCAAGACATTGGTGTCAGGAGTGTTACAGAGCTTCAGACTGGTGTCACGGAGGGCAGTGTTAGGTTTGAAGTCAGGACTGTTTCCGCCCAGGCCGAGGGTAATGTCCACGGTCTGCACGAATTCAACAAGAAGCTTTACTCGTAGATATCTTGCGTTCTTTTTTACATTCATCTGTTCAAACTTTATATTTTTTTTTTCTTTTCCTTCTGTCTTTTTCAATCGGGTTACGGTGTCGGGGAAAGGGTGGCAAACTTCTGGGAAAACAGAGACGGAAAAGTTTTTCTTTGTGGGGAAACAGGGTACTAGTTGAGCTGTACATTTACATCGGGGAAAAAAAACTCCTAATCATGGACTTTTTGATACTCGTTCAATGCGTTCGAAGGTCACTGTGGCCGTATATATCACCGTGACCCCGGGAAAACCCCTACTATGTACTAAGAGCTGTCGACGAGCAGGATAGGATCCGGGTCTACTCCAATCCAACTTCCAACTTTTCAGGAAATTCGGGGCTTCAGGCGGGAGGGTCTGTCCTGGGTTAGGTCTGATATTGTAGGGTTAGGGATGTTTGGCAACATTTCACTTGTTTGACTAGCAGCTCCGATGGTGCATAGACTAAGTCACTACCGTTGGTGGTCCAGTCCAGTCCGACTGCAGTCGATTGCGGTCGACTGTGCCAAGCCAAGCAGTCCAAAAATTGGGACGGACTGCAGTCGACTGCGGTTTTTCAGCCAAGGCCAGTCCGTCAACCTTTTGGACGGACTGGCCGGACTGGGCGGACTATGGGCTGCATGACAGCAAGAACTGCCTAAGAGAAATTGTTTATCACGATGTTTATGATAATTGAATTAACCCCAATCCTTCAGAAGCATAACAAGTATAAGACAGTCCATAGTCTGACTGCAGTCGGGCTGTAGTTGGGCTGGGTGCGGTAGGGCGACAGTCTGCCGGTCCGGGTTGATCAGTCCCGTCCCGTCCCTGTCTGGGACTGACTGGGCTGTTGAAGTTGTGCAGCATAGTTCGATGATTGTGGTCTCTTGTTGTTTAAAGGGCTTTGTCTTGAAAATCTTGGGTGACGGCTTCTCTTGTTGGACTTTTATGGCGGACATATCATGCATGGGCTTGTGTTTTCACTACATGTATCACACCTGGTACTCTAAAGATTAGGAGTTCCGCAACACGACGAGGAACAATAATCGATTCAACAAATAAACCACCTACACCCCAGAGCCCACCCCAGCCCGCGGGCACCAAACCCCCCCCCCCCCCTCCCCCCCCCCAAAAAAAAACACCCACACACCCACACACACCTACAACCTCGCCACCTCCCCCCTCCCCACCATCTCCAACCCCCTCGGCTCCCCCCTCTCCGCCACCTGAATCACCACCGCCCGCTCCTGATCCCCGCGCGGCCCCAGCCCCATCACAACCCTGCCATCGCCCAGCCTCCGCAGCGGCGCCGGCTCCATCACCATTGCCCCAAAGTCGCCGCGCGCAAACCGCAGCAGCCGCCGCCGCCGCCGCCGCACCTTTGCGACGTGGTCCTCTAGCCCCGCTTCTTCTTCTGCTCCGCCGGGGAGATATGGCAGCAGTGATGAGAGAAGGTAGAACTGCGGCGGGAAGAGGACGAGCTCGTTGCGGGCCGCGGCGGCGAGCGCAGAGTGCGGGGTGATGAACCGCGCGGAGAGGGTTTCGATGCCGCCGTCGCTGGTGGGGCGCTGCGCGGCCGCCGTGGAGGCGTGGTCCGCGGGGAGGAGGTACAGGAACATGTGTGTCTCAAACCGCCGCGGCATCGACTCGGGGGTGATCCATTTCGTGAACGGGATGAGGTCGTCGACCGCTGGCGTAAGGTTGTTGGCCTTGAGGTACGCGGCGAACGAGAGGGCGCCCGAGTGGATCTGGGACCGCGCGGCGGGGATGCCGGGGATGAGCGACGGCGGCGGCGGCGGGTGCGTGAGCAGGAGGCCGGTCTCTTCGAAGGTCTCGCGGATGGCGCAGTGCTTGAGCGGGTCGGCGGAGGCAGAGTCGTCGGGCGAGGTGGCGCCGCCGGGGAAGACGTGCGCGTTGGGGAAGGTGCTGGAGTGCGTGGGGCGGTGGATGAGGAGGATCTCGTTGCGCGGGTTGAGGAGGAGGAGGCTGTGTTAGAATTGTCAGAATTGTCAGATATCACACTTCCTTTTGGGACGGTGCTGGTGGGGGTTTGGGGTGGGAGATACCTGGCGCTGAGACGCGGGACGGCGGGAGTCTTTGCTGCGGTGGACATTCTGCTGGTGGTGGTTGTGTGACGGGGGAGCTGGACGGAGATGTGAGGTTTTATGAGACCGCGAGTGAAGAGAAGACGGGCAGACATGGACATGGTAGCTCCTGGAGTGGAGGAGGAGGAGCTTCACGTGCCTGCTCTTCCTCTTCTTGGGGGAGGCATGGCGGGCGGGTTGTTGGTGGTGAGGTCGGTTCTCGGTTTGGGTTGTGGGGAATCTGGGGAAGATGCCGAGGTTGGCTGCTGTTGGCTGTTGGTTGGTGTGGCTGTGGAGAAGTGCGCTAGATGGATGGAGGAAGGCCCCGAGGTCATGCACGGGCCGGCAGCAGCTGGGTCGGTGCGGGAACAGGAATTGCGTGCAACTACATGTACTTGAAGGACCCGGGCTCAGTTCAAAGGGATGCTCGGTATTAGAATAAAATAGATTGTCTCTAGAGTCCTGTTCGATCAAATTGTCGCTCTTCACCCAAGCCAAGCCACTGAGTGCTCCAGGATAACAGCTCTAATCTTATCAGATCCTTTCTTATCACCCCCGACGTCACCACCGCCCCACCATCTGCCCATCCCATCCCATCCCATCCCATCCCATCCCATCCCATCCCTCACCCCTCGCTACTCCAGTTATCTATTGGACGAATCGACAACAGCTCGAAACCGCCCACCCACCGGATATTATTACTCTTATTGAAAATAAAAAAAATACACAAAATGAAGTTAATAAAAAAGACCATCGAGCGCGACATGACCGGCTCCATCATCCTCTTCCCCGAAGAGCCCGAAGACATGGTAACCCCCTCCCCCTCCCCCCCCCCCCCAAAAAAAAACCTCCCGCACTCACCTCATCAGTGGCACGCCTTCAACCTGATCCGCCCCGGCGACCGCCTGCGCGCCAACGCCGTGCGCCGCGTCACGCTCGAGTCCAAGACAGGCTCGACACAGTCGCAGCGCATACAGACGGTGCTCACGATCCAGGTCGACAAGGTCGACTTCGACGCGCAGGCCGGGCAGCTGCACCTCAACGGGCGCGTGTGCGAGGAGAACAAGCACGTGGCCGTCGGCGTGCACCACACGCTCGACCTGGAGCTGTTCCGCAACTTTACGGTCATCAAGGCCGAGTGGGACTCGGTCACGCTGGACATGGTGCGCGATGCGTGCGATGCAAAGGAGAGGAGCGAGATTGGCGCGGTGGTGCTGCAGGAGGGTGAGTGTTGGGAGAGGCTCCTTCTTGGATGTGGTTTTGGGGGGAGCTGTGGAGATTGATGCTGCGGTGTGTGTAGGGCTGGCGAATGTGTGCTTCATCACGGACCACATGACGATCCTGCGGCAGAAGGTCGAGGTCCCTGTGCCGCGGAAGCGGAAAGGCATAGTCTCCAACTACGAAAAGGTGCCCCTCCCTCCTCCCCCTCCCCCCTCCTCCCTCCTCCCCGCAATATCAATCCTCACAGCAGCACCCCTCCAGGGCCTCGAAAAGTTCTACGAAGCCACCTACCAATCCCTCCTGCGCCACTTCGACTTCACCGCGCTCAAAGTGATCCTCCTCGCCTCCCCCGGCTTCGTCGCCGAAGGCCTGCGCGACTACATCTTCGCCACCGCCCTGCGCACCGACGCCAAGCCGGTCCTCGTCGCCAAGCCCAAGTTCGTCGTCGTGCATTGCGCCTCCGGCCACATCCACTCGCTCAACGAAGTCCTCAAGTCGCCCGCCGTGACCGCGAAGCTGACCGACACCAAGTTTGCGCGCGAGACGCGGGCCGTCGAGAAGTTCTTTGTGATGATGAACACGGACGAGGCGCGCGCGTGGTATGGGCCGCGCGAGGTGGCGCGCGCGGTCGAGAAGGGCGCGGTGGGCACGCTGCTGGTGAGTAATAGCTTGTTTAGGAGCAACAAGGTGAGTGAGCGCCGGAGACATGTCAAGATGGTGGAGGATGTGAAGAGGAGTGGCGGGGAGACGCTGGTGCTGAGTAGTATTCATGAGAGTGGCATACGGCTGGATGGGCTGGGGGGCATTGCGGCGATATTGACGTTTCCGTTGGAGGGGCTGGATGAGGATAGTGGCGAGGAGGAGGGGGAGGGGGACGGGGAGGAGGAGGAGGGAGAGGGACCTGAGGCTGCGGCGGCTGCTGCTGCTGCTGCTGCTGGTGGTGGTGGTGGTGCGAATGGCGGGGAAATAGGGCATTGATGTGCAATGAATGGAGAATATCAGATTAAAAAAACCTTGACGCCGCGAGAGAGAGAGAGAGAGAGAGCTTTATCTACACAGCAGTGATATAAATACATGTACCCATAGTATATAATGCCAACCCACGTTCGAATTGAGCAAAAGCAAACAGCCAAAGAATAAGAATAAAGAACAGCACTGTGTTATGCAATTGCACTTCACCCACTCGCCTGCTTCTCCATCGTCGTTTCAGGCGCATCCCACGCCGACCTCCTCCTCCTCATCCTCAGCAAGTCCTGCGTCAGCCCAAACACCAACCCAAACGCCAGCCCTCGTTTCGCGGATGTTATCGCCATACTGTAGGACAACCTATCTATTCCAAACCGTCAGCACTTTCCCCCCTCCCCCCCCCCCCCCCCCCCCAAAAAAAAAGGGGGCCAGAACCACTCACTCCACACACTAAACAACCCGGACAAGCTCAACCCCGCCACCACGGTCCCCACCGCATCCCTGCGGCCCATCAGCCGATCCACCGCCTCCTCCGTCGCCACAAACAAGCTCGCCCACGCCGCGATCCTCGCGCCCGTGCGCACGCCCTGCTTGATGCCGCCCAGCGCCGTGTGGTAGTTCTTGGACTTGTGGTAGAAGTACCACCCGCGCTCGGTGACGGGCAGGCGGTGCGCGTTCTCGGCGCGGAAGCGCAGTGCGGCGGCGCGGCTGCCGAGCGCGCCGCCGATGGTCATGCCGAGGCCCAGAGACCCGATGTTGCTGAGGAGGAGGCGGCCGGCGAAGGTTGTGGAGAGGCGGTCGTGGGGGCTGTAGAAGACGGGGGCGGGGAGGGGGTCTTCGGGCGGGGTGGTGGTGGTGGATGTCATTTTGGAGAGTGCTGGTGGGGGTCACGATGGGTGCTTGGGATGGTGGTGGAGGTTTAAGGTTTGTGGGCGCATGGCTCGGCACGGTTTACCATGGTTGCGCGAATGCATACAATTGCTTTACTCCCTCTTCACATCCCATCACTCGACACACTGCCACTTCTACGTTCCCCTCGCACATTCCCCCTCGAGCCTGACCTGACCTGACCTGCCCAAATCCTAAACCCTAACTCCAACCCCTCGTCACGTGATGCTCCAGTTGCTCCTCCGCACAGCGGGTCCTCGTTGATTTATACCCCACGCCCGTCACACACGACAATTCCAAACACAACCAGCCTTCACTCAGGCTCGAGGACTCATGCAGGCTCGAAGAACCCCGCATGACGCACGGCAGCCAGCCAATCAGGTCTTTTAGCAGCGCCGCTGAGGGGTGTGCCGCGGCGCGATGTTATTGGCTAAACACCCTCACCGAGCCTGAGTCTGTTGTTGCACTTTTGCCCGATGCGGTAAGACTCAGGCTCGCGAGGGGTTCCGTCAGGCTCGTGCAGGGGTCTGAAGGGTGCAACAGGAGGACGGGATTGGGCAGATGGGGGGAGAAATCGCGCATGTATGCTGGCTGTCAGGCTCGGTGCGAGAGTTCAGGCTCAGGCTCAGGCTCAGGCTCGATGGTTTTCAGGCTCGGTGGGAATCTCAGGCTCAGGCTCAGGCTCAGGCTCAGGCTCAGGCTCAGGCTCAGGCTCGGTGCCCAATTTACAAACTGACTTTCATGTATGATGTCGGTGTGGACACACGGTGCAGCCATAGAGTAGGTAGCCAGCCAATCTCTCTCGATACGGTCTCACAGGCACAGTACCGGTGCTCTACATGTACCTACTCTACGAGTAGGTAGCTCTCTACATGTCGATACGAAGACTGAAGCTCCCCCCCCCCCAGGCACGAGTCCACGATTTTCGATCAGGAATTGTTAAACCAGACCATGAGTCCTAGTAGAGTATTCATTACGGTTGGATTATAAACTCGTACTTCTGACAACAAAGCTTGTACATATCACAAAAAAAAAAAAAAAAACGGAACATGACAGAAGCCCCTCCAAAAGGTTCATTGTGGGCCCCAAATCTTTCTATACTCTTTTATCTCTCCTCTTGTTTAATAAGATCACTGCGAACATTATCCAGATCCGGTGGTATCTCTTGTAGCTGCACGCTCGGCGCGTGCTGTATATACCGCAGCTGATCCAGTATCTTGATCTTCATGCTCTCGAGATACTTCTTTGTGTTTTTGTTCTCGTACCTACCCTCCTTGCTGAGCGATGGGTGGAGCTTGTAATCTGGCCCAAAGTATTCCCTGTATGGCGTCCGCGCAGGGAGCTCGTCATCCACAGAAACATCTAGGCATATTCTAATCTCGATATATCAGTAATTACCCAAGGTGCAAGAAAAGAGAAAGAGGGGGGGGGGGGGGGGGGTGATAAGGAGAACAAACGCGGTCTCGTATGTCCAGAGCCTTGAAACATTCCTCGGCGTATAACCACCACCACCCAGAACTAGTAATGGCAGATCAAGTTTCTTCACAAAGTCCACGCATGCTCCGTGGGCCTTAATATTGAGATTGAAACAGCCCAGCCTGTCGCACCCTAGTGAGTCCGCTCCACATTGTAGCACTATACTGCTCGGGCGGTAGGTGTCGACCACTGGGCCAACGATTCCTTTGAAAAGCCGGATGTAGGAATCGTCGTCAATCCCATCCTTCAACGGCACATTCAGGGCGTAATGCTTGCCAGGCCCACCGCCCACATCGTCCCAATTCCCAGTGCCCGGGAAAAAGTTATCCTTATCATATTTGTGAAACGAGAGCGTCATGACCCTGTCCGTCGAGAAAAACGCCTGCTCGACACCATCGCCGTGGTGCACATCTATGTCGATATATAGGACTCTAGGATGAACACGTAGAAGCTGAAGAATTGCTAGCACGATATCGTTGACGTAGCAGAACCCTGACGCTTCGGACTTTTTGGCATGGTGGAGACCTCCGGACCAGTTTATGGCAATGTCTGACTGCCCGTTTATGAGCTTCTTTGCGGCGTCTAGGGATGCGCCTGCGTAGAGTGTGCAGTAGTCCCAGATCCCGTCGAATATCGGGCAGTCATCGCCGATATTGAACTTTGCTAGGTCTGCTGAGAACTTCTCTGTGTTTTCGGGGGTGACGCTGGAGTGCGACATCCCGTCAGATCCCGATATACAACACCGACATAAAAAGAACCAATACTAATATCTTCATAAAAAGAGAAGAGTGGGGGGGGGGGGGGGGAGGAATGCACCGTTTGAGAAAATCGAGATAATCAGAACCATGAAACTCCCGCAGTTCGTCTTCCGCCGCTGGACGGGTGGAGTAATTGTCCATGTATTTTTGTAGCCCATATCCGAGAACAAGTTGATTTGTCAAAGTCAATCTCCATGGCTTCATAGGATGGGCGGTTCCGAAATGATGGTTCTCAGCTTCTGCATTGTGATGGTACGAGACCTTGATTGGAGATCATCAGGCGAAACCATGAGCTTCTAACATCCTACATATGCAATTCCTTGGAAATAGCAAAAGCTCTCACCTTTTTCTTTATACATCCGTCTAGAGGAACGGAAGGTGATATCATGGCGGCAGTCTTTGAGTCGAATGAGAATGTCGCATTGCTTCCCCAGGTATCGTAGTTTTGGACTATTGACATCTTGAGGATCGGCTAAGCTTGGTTTCGGATTATATATGTAGTGAAGGCAACAAAGGACAAACAGACTCGACACCTAAAGGGGATACAGGACCACGATTGAGCTCTTTTGTAGGTGTTGAGAAAGCTCTGAAGATTATGTACCTGTACCGACTGTATGGGGGCGAATTTGTTTGGGGTGATTGTGCACAGTAGGTACCTGCTAAGCATCTTGACCCTGGCGTCTCGTGGTGTAACGTTTAAGTTGAGCCGCATCTAGGATTGGCAACGCCATACGAGGCTAATTCCGATAGCACGTGCATCCGAAGCGCCCCCCCCAACGTCACCTCATCACATCAATCAGCAGTATCTCTCTTTCGTGAACTACCATCCAGAGCGCACTTGTCGTTCTTTCAAAACCTTTCCCCACCATCTTACCTCCATTGAATTACAAAAATTTCTACTCCGGTATGGCTGAAGACGCCGCCACAGTTCTTGAACAGTTCATCAATGATGGTTAGTCTACACCCCCCCCCCCCCCGGGCGATAAACGGCACTCGAGGGCCTCAAAAACACGTGTTAGGAAGCTCTGCTGATTATCTGGTCTTAGTTGCCAATCTCCCGGCCGAAATCGCGCACATTTACGAGGAGATACAGGCCAAAGACAGAGTTCTCAAGGAGCACCGTGATAGTGCCTTGGCACGTGACAATTCGCTGCAAAAGTTTATCAAAAACCACGGGAGCCACACGGAGAACCCCAAGGAGGCCGTGTATGTGGAGCAGATAAGGAAGAGCCATAAGAAAATTGAACAGATCCAAGATGAAAAATTGGTGCTCGCAAAGAAAGCGGTGGATCTGGTAAGTTTAATGATGTGCTACAGCTGTGTTCCCTCTCACGATACCATTAAGACTGTTGAACACCCAGTGCAGCAGCATATCAAGCTTGCACGTACATTGCCCTACATCTTAATGTCTTTCGTATTCTGTAGAAAAATATGTATAATCAACCAGTTATGCTTCGTTTACCACGTTATCAAAACTTAAAATGCCCTTCACCATTCACCCCCGCGACCTCTACTTCTCTATACATGCTGCTCCATATATATTTCTACCAACACAGTTTTTAACCTCGCACTGACTCTTTTGTTAATAGATGGATAAGCACGTGGGTCGACTGGATGCTAAAATCCAAGATCTTATGCGTGATGGACTTATGCCTCCGGAGTCAATTATCAATTCCCCTTATCCAAGCAATCTTCCTATAAATGCGCACACACGCCAACCTTCTATACGAGCATCCCCTTCCACCATGGGTCCTACACGTGCTGCTTCCTTTGCTCCTACGTCCACGCACCCAACGCCCGCCTCTTCCAACCTCATTCACTCTACTCCTGTTTCAACCCCTACTACTTCCTTCCCCCCACCACCTTCAGTTTCAACGCCTCGCGATGGGGACACCAACAAGCGCCGGCGATTAACTGTACAGACCTCGGCTGCACCCGCAATCCCATCAAATCTTGCCTCTAATCCATCCACACCTGGTATTAAACCTGAGCCTGTAGGCCCAAACTACTCCAATGCTCCCAGCGTTAACAATAAAAAGCGTAAACAATCCACGAAACGGGAAGTCTTTACGGACTCGTCGGAAGGCGACGACGACGATGATGACGATGACACGGGCGAGGACAAGCGGCCGTATTGTATGTGTCAACAAGTATCTTATGGGAATATGGTGGCTTGCGATGCAGCTGATTGTCCATATGAGTGGTTTCATTGGGGTAAGTTTTTTTCCCTCGCTGTATTATTCCCGTATTTTGTATTTTGTATTTTTTTTTTTTTTTTTTACTTTGCAGAAACCTTCGCCCCCCCGCTTCTTACAAACACCCTACTAATAGATTGCCCGGGTATAGCATGCGTGGATCTTACAAAAGAGCCACCAGGGAAATGGTTCTGTCCCGAGTGTTCGAGTAGAAGGGAGAAGATGAAGAGCATCAAATGAAAATGATATCATATACCCCTTTCATTGCTCTTTCTTAATGTTTTTTTCAGTCGTGGGGCAAGCTACTTCGGTATTTGCCTCCCGTGGGATTCAGTCTGTATAGTAAATAACGTACAAACGCGGTTGTTTTCGACTGGTCTAATTTTTTTTTTTTTTTAGTGGTTTATCTTCTTTTGTAATCTTGCATCATTGTACCGGGCATGCATCTATTTTCTTTTGCTTTTTCTTTTATTTTTCTTTCCTTCCTTTTTCTTCTTTATCAAAATGGGTGTAAGGAACTAGTTCGGATTCAGGGCGTATATATAGATTGTGCTTTGTTAAAAATGCCCGTTCTTCTCGGAGCTGATAAGATACCATGCAGCTTGAGTGCTATCCATGAGACTCGTATCTTATAGAAGTACCTATAGCGTTTCCCTGTGGAGCGAGCACACAACGGACCGAGCAGAGAGGGCCTCTATCATACCAAATATTCCTTGGCTGCAAATTCTGTATGGTGGAGGTCCTCTCTGCCCGGTCCGCTGTGTGCTCGCTCCACAGGGAAACGCTGTACATCAGACTAGCTTTATGTTAGGGAGCCCAGACCACGGTATTTCGATCCCCGAGTGATGTTTTGTGAAGCTACTACTTAAAAAGTTAACATCAATGATAGTCTTCAAATCTCTTCAAGGCTACCATAACATCTCCAATCTCTCTTGATACAAACCTGCAGCTTCCCATCCCACATCCAGTGCCGCACCTCCAGAAAATTTATAAGAAATCCCTTTCCGTAGAGATAATGGCCTCCGTGACAACGTAATCTTCACACTTCCACCGCCCCCCAATTCCCCCAAAACAAACTTCACGATTCTTTACGCTATGGAACCCATCAAGAACGGTAGCTTCTCCTACTCGTCCACCGACGGCTTCCTCAACAACGGCGTCCCGCGCGCCGACAAAAAGACGCTGCGCCAATACCTTCACCCCGTGCGGCCCTACCGCCAGCAGCAGACATGGGCGCCCCCCAAGGTGACGGGGAAGTGGTGCAAAGCGCAATTGGCCCACTATGGGATCAAGCCGCTGATGGGGAGCAGGGCTGAGCTGGAGGCGAGACTGAGGGCGGCGCATGCGGCGGGGTTGCTGGGCAAGCAGCCAGCGGAGGTGAAGGTCATGGAGAAGTATATGAGGAAGGAGTGGAGGGCGGGGTGTGAGGAGTGGGGGAGGAGGGTGAAGAGCGAGAAGAGCGAGAAGAAAGATGAAGGTGACGGCAGTGGTGTCCCGGTGAAATGTGATGTCGATGCTGCCGCCAATATTGTCAAGGACGAATCGATGATGGACAGTGCTAGTAGTGGTCCGCAGTTAGATGGAGAGGCGCCAAGGGCCGAAGTTAAGAGAGAGAAGAAACGTACAAACACAACCGCGTTCTCGAAGAAGCATGTTTTGGGGACGTGGGATGTGTCCTGCCCGGACATTCAGGCAAACTGGGCACGGACCGAGAGTCTCACGATTCTGCTCTTTCAGGATATCGAGTCGAACAGTGTCGTCGGCGAGATTATATTCGGTATCATGGAGGGTGTTCTTAAATTGAAAACGAATCCGTCAATTAGGAATCCGCGTGTGGGGTTTGACTGGGCTGGAGTTACCGGGGATGGGGAGACCCAGGTAGCGGAGAAGGAGGGAGAGATTAGGTTTTATAATCGCGGGGAAAGGGCGCATGGGCGTTTTCAGTGTATCGAAGGGGTTGGGAGAGGTGTGGAATTCGAAGCTGTGAAGGTGAGAGAATTGCCAATTAGAGGGAAGGTGGACTTTTTAAGGTATGCCGCGCCTGCAGGAAGCGGCCCTGAGGCTACTAGTGCCAAAGAGAAGTAGGAGTGGGTTCTGTACTTTTCATTATCATTTTTATTTTATTTTTTACTATTTTTATTTTTTAGGATAGATGTACTTCTTGGGTAGAATTTTGTTTGGGCCATGATAGATTAGATGTAATGCAAAATTTGGTTGTTTTCAATATCTTGTTTGCATACTGCATTGGTTACTGATGTGACCTGTATTGAAGAGTGTTAGATTCAAGATACGCTACCTTCAGGTGAGAAATTGGAATTGCTCCTCACTAAGACTGAAGTATCCTTTAGAGCAGGCTTTAGAGAAGAACCCCCGGTCAATCCCCGGAGTTAAATGGTGATCCTAGGCTGTTCATTCCATGATTTGAATAAGAATATTCAAATACAGTGGCAAGAGCAGGAATAGGATGTAAGTATACCTTTGTGAGGTTGTAATGTTCTGGGTAGCAAGAAATTGCTCCGGTTTTTACGGAAATAAGCGGAATTTTGTACGCGCGCAGTGAATAAATCCATCAAATCAATCCTAGTGAGTCACATTCGAATGATGGCGCAGGGCCGAGTGATCTCACGTGAATCGGAAAATTATTAGTAGCGGCGATCACATGACAGCCATTACTTGCGCGGATGACAAATTTGCTTCTAGCAAGGTCTATTCTAAGCGACGTCATCCGCCCTCGCACCGACAGATCCCTTCATAAGGCACAACCCCCACCTGCGAAATATCGAAACACCATTTCCAAATATTCCATCACACCATTAATCGCACCACCACGATGCTACTACTCAACACTTTTCGCCGTCCCCTTGGGGCTGCCATGCTTGCCTCGAAACCCCTGGCACGCACCTTCTCCGCAGCCCCGGCAATCAGGTCGCCAATCTTGCGGCAGGCATTTCGCCGCCCAGCATCCCCGAAGGTGCAGTTCCAGTCAAAGCGGTTCTTTACAACTGAGCCGGCGGTGATGGCACGGCCACCTCGTGCGGAGGCCATGCAGAGGCTTGCATACGCTGGAGCTTTGTTTGGTGGAACCTTGATCGCAGCGAACCTTCTGTTTAACCGGGAAACCCGAGAAAATGCTATCCCGGCTTTTGAGAAAGAGTACCTACATGAGACTTTTACATACACTGGTGTCGGTGTTGCAATGATTGGTATGTCTGCTTTACTTGGTAAAAAATGTTCGACCGTAATTTAATTACTTGTGTACAGGTCTTGCTGCGAAAGGCCTTCATAATGCCGGATGGAGTTACAGACTTATGACTGCAAACCCATGGATGGTCCTCGGTCTCGGTCTTGTGGCTAGTGTTGGTACCATGCTGGGCACTCGGATGACTGACCCAGATAAGTCAGTCTTCACCCCTGCCCTTTTCTGTAAGCCGTACTAATGTGCGTTTATAGCTACATCCAAAAGCACGTCCTATGGACCGCTTTCAACCTTAGTCAAGCTGCTCTTCTCGCCCCAATGTACTTCTACAACCCTGCGATTCTTGCACGTGCGGGTCTATACACCGTTGGTGTTATAGGATCAATTGCATTTGTTGCCGCGACCGCAAAGGAGGATAAATACCTCTACCTCGGAGGCCCTCTTCTCGCTGGTGTCGCAGTCGTTGCTCTTTCTGGACTTGCGCCAATGGTTCTTCCTCTTGGATCTAGAGCATTGGTGGGCGCCGAAGCTCTTTGGTTGTATGGTGGTCTTGCAGTCTTTGGTGGATTCACACTCTACGACATACAGAAGATTCTGAACCATGCCAGGATGGCCCAGATGGGATTGATCAAGAAGGACACCGTTAATGAGAGCATCAGTCTTGAGCTGGACTTTATCAACATCTTTGTAAGGATGGTTCAGATTCTGGCAAACAGGCAGAGCAACAATGGAAAGAGATAGGCTGTTACGAATAGGAGTTGGACTACTTAGTGTTTCCCTTTCATTTGTTTAAGGCGCAGTTGTGAATTCAGATTCCTCTCATTGTATATTATTCAATTCGGTCGCAAATATATCCCCCTCCACTCTATAGTAGGAGTTGTTTAAATACATCTAGATTACTAGGAGACTGTAAAAATCCTATCAGCTGTGTTCTGGTAGCGTAATGTTGTAATGTTGCAGCTCTTCATCACACGCCATCACTCGATGAAACATGTATTTGTAACTGATCCCTGGACAAGCTTGGGGGAAATTCTTAGTTATGTCCGCATAAAGACAGTACATATTGGACATATTTGTCTCAGTACGCACATTTCATAGATCACCTCTCAGCTGGTGTTTTTTTTTTAGTTGATATGGACTTTTCCTTTTCATGTCATGATTGACTTCTCCCTTGAAGTTTTTATTTCACCAACCACCTATTAAATTACACATGCAAATTAATTACATAAAAATCAGGAATAAGGAAAGAAACTCGGAAAGCATGCACCGACAAAAGCTCCTAGCTCCGTCCAAAGAACAAACCATAAAAAACAAAAACAAATGGAACCCGACAACCGTACCGGGGGAAGATCAGGCTCATTTCCAATCCCTCGGTGTGCTTGGTTGCTGTACCTACAGCTGGAACCGTAGCAACCAGATTCAGTAGGGCATTGGAAACGAGCCGGGGGAAGAGATATCTGATTAGAACGCATTACATATGCTTCCAACCGTTATCTGCAAGTATCTGCATCTCGTCGATCAAACAGTCTCTCCCAACCTCCTTACCTCCCCATTTTTTTAGCCGTGCATCAACTTTTCTATCCTCCCATGGTAGATTCATCATCCACGTTGTTGCTCTTATGAACATTCCCGGAATTGTATCTCGTATTGACGGCCACGATTTGGCTGCTAAGTAGGCGGGCTCTTTATATCCTACTCTGACCTGTGGATTGAGGAATATACCACGGCTAGAAGACAGGGGATTGTCATAATGAATGAGACAACACTCGCTACCTTCGAGATGGTGCAATGCGAGGCTATCCGGTATCCCACGGAAGCGGAGAGGCTGTTTTGCAATAAATGGCTTGGCATCAAAAGACACTGGAATAGTAATCTGCAGGTTAGCATTCTAAATACTACAATTGGTACTATGATCTTTTGTAGAACACCGCTCATGCTATAACATACCCATTCCATTCCAGCACGATTTCACAAGTACTGGTTCTCCTCGAAGTAAGGATTGACGAGATCTCCCAGCACCAAAGTATGGGTACCCCAAGCTAGCTGCCGGACGACCAGTCTCGTCTCGTAAGGCAAAAGTGTCATAGAAATTATGCGGAACAGCGAAATCTAGTGCACATGCAGCAGCATAATCACCAGAGCGCGTTTGCATCAGTCTAATGGCATCCTCTGGCTAAAGTTGCTCAAAATCAAAACCGAAGATTTCCCGCCGATCAGCACAAGTCTTTTTTTTATTTATATTTTTAAAAAGAAAGGGCCTCTGGCTCAATTACCGTGAAAATAACATCGTTTAGAAATAATATCCTGTCAAAGGAGTGGGTGGCATTCACCACCTCCGGTGACAGCAGTGGTTCCAGCACAATATTTCGCAGCCTAGCAAGATACGGTATTCTGCGCAGCTCTTTTTTCCCGCTCTTCGTCTCTATCCACCATTCATCCTCGGGGGGCTTGCTTATCTCGTCGGAATGTGTGGTCTCATCCAGTCTGATAGTTCTCGCAACCCCTAATTCCTCAAGTCGACTATCGAGCTGCCGAAGCTCCCCCTTTGTGTCATCCCAACTTCCACTCTCGTACAACGAAAAGTAAACATTCTCAGGGCCGATCTTTGCTATAAGCTCCAGGACCGAATTAGACCAATGGGACTTTAGAATTTTAGCCGAGTTCCAGTGGTTACTGGCAATAAAGACACGCCCCAGAGGAATGTTCGCGGCTGCAGCTGGGGGCTCCGGAGCTCTCGAATCGAGACGGTACAGCAGGTCGTGTACTGCAAACACGAATAGTACAAGGGCTATCAGAGCTCCTCGTCGAGATCGCCGAAAGCACGCAGGCATATCTTTTTTGTAAGTAAATGAATATAACGGGTGATCAACCGGTAATCCCCCGAACATAAAAAGGTGAATACTCTGATTCAGGCACAACTTGCCCATCATAATTTACCACAATTGCCAATATAATAAGGGGAATCACGTGATGACACTGGCTAGGCGTTTTTGCCTTGGCCGCGCGGCAGCTGACTGAATAGTACCAATGATTGCGAGCCCGGAAATATTTACAAGCTCATGAGAGTTGATCCTGTGTTTGCGCCTAAACACCGGACAGCGTTTTTGGCGTTAAAGAATATCAAGTCCGACGAGATTCAGGTTTCTGTCGGAAATGCACCGGGATAGAGTTACAAGGTGACACATGAATGTAGTTCTGGACACGGAAATCTGATTGCCAAAAGAACCATAAACCTGCCAAGGGAAGAGTAACCTTGAGCTGAAGCAGGCCGAGACCCTATTTTGAGAAGGAGTATGTAGCAGTGTGTTGTAGTCCTTCTTTGGATCTTCTTGCTAGATACGGACTCTAACTGGCTTTACAGAACGACAAGGATCGTAAATTAATTAACTTCACTGTTCTGTAACCTGGTAAGGACATATTAATCTAGGCAAATATATTTCCCAGCTACCAATGGTATGCTTCCAGCAGTTTGAGAAATAGAGTACATGCATAGAGCACACAACTACTCTATTCCTGCCTTATGCAAATTCAATGGGCAGTTGCGCAGATGATGTCACTTCGTCCTTCTTGCGCTGAGCTGCATGGTTTCTCAATTCGTCAAAAAGCCACCTCTCTCATACTTTATATCATGTTTGCCGAGTGTGACGGGCCTTCCTGCATGAAAGATAACGGTTATCTGCATCAAGAAGAAAGAAGCAGAGTCAACGCAGGGGGTTGTGCTCCTCGGACGTTACTCAGAAGTAATATAAAAGATATGCAACGGAAAGCTGGACGCCTGGACCAGTATACTGGGAGCTCGATCACTGGTTCGTTTGGCCCAACAAAAGCCCACGGCATCTCAATTGCACCTGGCACCTTCCACATATGTATATACAAGCTCAGATTTGTCAACTCTCGCGTTCCCATTCCTTATATACAAATACATGGGTGGGGTTCAGTGACCAGGAGGGAACAGGAAGGGTAATATTAAACATAGGAAACCTTCGCGGATTGCGAGATAAGGTAGTAGATGATATTGAGAGTGCAATATCAGGAAATAAGTGTTTCTGTGAATTGGAACTAGCATAATATCACGCGCCGCACATTCCCGGTGATATTTCGCTCGCAAGTTTCTAGAAGCCCGCTTTAAAAAACTATCGAACGCTAGTAGTGTACACGATCACTAAAGGGCAGGAATCATACGCCATTAGCAGAATAGGAGGATGTAAGAAAAACATGGCCACAAAGTACGAGAAATCAGGAATCACAGCAGTAAAAAAAAAAGTTCAGATTAAATCGCTTTAGTGTAAAGAGAGAAAGAGAGACTGAACGAGTGAGAAAAATTAAGGAACAAATAAAAGAAAATACATGCAAATTCACATCTTGATATCCACGCAAATACATCACATTACTTCTTCAATAAACCCCTCCGACTGTTCTTAGGTGACGCGTTGCTCACCATATCGGCACTTTTGAAGCTCGTCCTCAATGTGACCTTGCCCTGCCCTACAGACACGACAGTCTCGCCGCCACTACCAGTATCGTCCACAACAAATAGCCCCTCTCCAAGTTCCTCGTCAGCACGGATAAGATGGTCATCTTCAGCGCAAATCTTGAATTGTTGATCTGCCGTGCACTGGAACTTGAACTCCTCGTCCCAGAAAAGCTCGCCTGTAGACTTCTTGACCGACTTGCTCTTGTGAAGTTCCTTGTTATTTCCTGCTGTCTTGAATCGTAGACGAACATTTGCACTGGTTGGGAATCCGGTAGCGCTAACGATTCTGACAGTTGCAATTCCGGGTTCCGCACCTGGTGCAGCGGCCCCGGGCGCTGAAAGAGTGCTGGAAACGCTCCTACTGCGGCTGTGGGGGCTTCCACCAGAAACCCCGGTGGATGGTGGGCTTAATGCAGAACGTCTAGGTGTTCTTCCATCGTCCTGACCCGCGGTACTTGGGGGAGTTATTTTCCCCTCAACAACACCACTCGCCGCAGTAAGGCTAGCACCGCCGTTTGTGGAAGGCCTGACAACAGGCTCTTCCATCATCACTACTTCCTCCTCCCCGTCATTTGAATCTTTCTTGACACGGCCGAATGTGTTCTTCTTCAGGAAAGAAGCACCTTTGGTGATACCCCCCGCAGCAAACCCACCAACCTTGAGTGGGGCACCGGCAACACCTGTGACGATTTTTCCGGGGGTGGCAAATGTACCGTGGAAGGTAGAGGACCCCTGTCGCGATCTGACGACATAGTCCGCTCTGAAAAGAATACGAAGGCGGATTTCACCAAACTTCCCTTCTTCTCCCTTTTTGCCTGTCAATTTGAGGACAACTACTTTCGGAATAAATGGCTCCAGATCTGTCAGATCGATACGACCCTTGCATAAGAAATCGGCCTAAATTTTGTAAGTACTGATTTACCGGTTTAATATATAAATATAATGAATAACAAACCTTACTACCAAGGTCCCAATCAAAAATCTCCACAACAAAGTTCGCCGCAGTGCGCGATACAACCTTCGTTTCAAATACCTCGTTCCAAGCAGGGTGTAGAGTCTTCTTCTGCACTTTGGTTTTGTGTACCTCCTTGTCATCGAGCTCGAAGACACAGAAAGGATCGCTCTTCCCGTTTCTATCGGCAGATGGGAGGTTTGCAGCGTCAAGGATATCAACACGGACGGTGCCCATGTTGTTGATGCTCTCACTTGGGTCGAGCCTCATCAGGACTGGGATATACTTCAGACTGATCTTGATCTTGCTGATATCTCCATTCTTGTCCTTCAAAGAAAGGATAGTGGGGTTATTCAAGCATTGCTTGAGGGTCTCAAGAGTGTTGCCTTGTAGCTTAGCGAGAACATCATCGCTCTCGTCATCGATGTCCTTCCCGTGTTCTCTCAGGCGGATGGTGACTTTTGAAAACTCCAATTCCCTAACGAAGGCATCACCAACTTCTCTGGCTTAGTAAACACTCGACTAAATTGCTGGGAGTTTGACTTACTCTCGTTGATCTTGATGTTTTTCGCTTTGATTTTGGTAGTTGCATATGCAGGATACAGCATGTCGTCCATGAGTACTTCAACATAACAATCTTTGTGTGCGAGTTGTCCCTCGATGATTTTGAAGATTAATAACCCGGAATCTATTACACGTCAGAAATAGTGCTTTTTAATGTGTGAATCCAAAGTATTACCGTATTTGACTAGTTCCTCAGGCGTCAATCTGACCTTTGGTATAGTCTTGTTGTCCTCATCGCTTCCTGTCGGGCTTGTAGCTGTGATTGTGTTTTCCTCATTCAAATCTTTTTCTTTCGCATTTTCGACAGCAATTGGGTCCGGGTTGTCTCCTTTGAGCGCTTGCGCCTCTTCCAGGGCTTTCTTTTTCTCCATTTCAATCTGCTCCTGAATTTTCTTGTCCTCTTCTTCCTCTTCAGGATCGGCAATATTCAAGCAAGGATAAAAGGCAACGGTAAAGCTTAATGTTCCTTTCTCGGAACCCTTCCCGTCCTTGAGTGCCCTCTGCTGGTTGACTTTTTCGCTGTGCTCCATGTACAGGCCATTATCCCCCTCCTTAACATATTCACCTGTTTCTATGTCGACAAAGCCGAGAGAACGATCCTTGCCCATCTTTTCCTGATCCATCACTTCCAGGTGCAGTTTCTCCTTAGCAGAATGGACAGGCACGTACAAAACTTCGTCCCAATCTGGATTGAGGTCGTTTTCAAAAGTGACAGTTCTGCCTTTTTCGACACCAGAGAGAAGAACGCGGACGTATGCGTCAGATTTGCCGAGAGCCTCCAGGTTCCGAAGATTCCTGCCATTCAAAAAGTGAAGTCTCATAACACCAATGGGAGTCTGATAACCTCCTGTTCCAGAAACGCCTTTGATAGTCACAGGCTTCCATTCAGCACTCAACTTGACGCGACCAGATTTGACTCCAGAGAGATTAAACCAATTGGTGCCTTTCTTCGTCATCTCAAGCATTTCGTCCAGTTTAATTGCATACCTTCCGAGTTCCGGGTCCGCGGCCAAATCACGATCATCTTTGATAACAATTTCCAAGTTGGATCCCTTACGGTCTGTGATGAGCATTTCGTAGGCATCTTCCCAGATGGGGTCGTTTGTGCGCTTTATGATCTTGGTCTTATGAACGAGTTTGCGGTTGAGGAGCTGACAAGCGTAAGGGGACAATTGCCCGACCAAACTTTTGCTAGAATCCAGCTCCTTCGCTTGGGAAACAGTCCATCGTAGAATACCAGTGTTGCTTTCGGGGACAGGCTCCTGTGTACCGTCCTCCAGAATTCGTCCTTCCAAAATTGGAAAGAACCTCAGATCGCAAGAAACTTGTCCTCTCGCTTTTCCGTTTGTCATCACAGGAATGCTGACATTTTCCTGTTCCGGACTCTCCGTGAGACCGTCCAAAGGAAATGTGGCTGTTCCCAACTCCCTATCCTTTCTGATTTCGTTGAAGTCGAATATTCCCAAAGTCAAAGGGTCGTTGAAATTTGTGATAATGATATATTTCGTTTCATTCCACCTGGGGTTGGTACTTTCCTTGATGATTTTCGTGCGGGCGACTTCGACGCGGTTGTTAATTGAGCATACTGCGTATGGATCGGGGGTGCCACTGAATTTATCGGGGTTCTTGAGACCATGGGCATGATGGATAGTAACAGCAAGTACGCCAATAGCAGTATCAATTGGGGCACCGCCCAGCATTTTGGCAACCTCGACAGTGAATACATTGGGAGCGTAGAACATAGGACGGAGATTACTGTGGATTTGATCTTGAATGAATCCACTCAAACCGGGCAAGAAACCGATATCGATACCAAACGTTTCACCACCAAGAGGCTTCAATGCATAGTCAAATTTTGGAGGTTCTATGAAGCAGACATCAACTTTCTCGATCTAGAACAAATATGTCAGCTCTAGATTTCTAAATGTAACTAGTTGGTACTTACATGTGGGAACGCGATTTGAAGTTTCATTTTGATCTTCATAAGTCCGGTAAATGCCATATCCTCGACGATAATTGGTATACCCTTGCTCGCAATACCTTTGCCGACACGGACTTCGAGGACGATTTTACTGTGCATGCGTCAGAAAGATCGAGATAGGTTAAGTGAAATTCACGGTACTTACGGGTTCACCTTGTTCTTGAGCTGTCGGCTTGTCAAGTCTGCGGTATCATTAGGAGTAAAACTGAACTTCCAGTCCATTTCCACAGTGTCGTCATCCGTCTTTGGGTAGGTTTTTACATGTTCAATTCTTGGTGGCTTTGTTCCAAGGGTAAAGGTGGTCAGTTTTAGCGAGTCGATGAAACCAGGAGTTGCCCCAGCCAAAACTTGGTCAACCGTGTTAACGATTGTCGCGGCGAGTACGGGCTGGTAGATGGGCCAAAATTTGACAGTAAATGAGTTGATCCATTCGAGAGACTCGACATCGGTATCCAATCTTTGTTTTGCGAATTCGCGATTTAAATCGTCCCGGACGTTACGACGAACTCGCATCATCGAAGTTCGGTAGTAGGTTGCACAACATGCCATGATAATCATAATCCAACCAATACCACCGCCAATTAGAGTCAAAAACCAGGTTGCAAGAGATGTGAACAATATGATGCCCGCATTATGATACCAATCTAGTCATCAAAATAATTAGAATATTACACAATGGAGGTCCTGGCTCCAAGAAACTCACCTCCGAAGAACTTGTCGTCTAAATTGGCTTCCACAAACGTTTGGTGGTTTTGAGCAATAGCGTCGTCTAAACCAAGAGCATCGTTTAAACTGCCAAATCTAGGCTCCCATCCAACGCGACTCCATTCCCCATCGCCAGCTTTGGGGAATCCATTCACCATTCCCGGGTCTTTAGGTGCCACAGCCGATGTAGGGGTTGGTGCTACTGACCCATTTCCCCCATTTACTCCGTTTGATGTTTTGAGGGCACCGTTCGTTCCGTTCGTTCCGTTCGTCCCCTATATAGCCAATAAGTAAACTTTGGTTCACATGCTCAAGTTGGAGCATCGATAAGCGCCCCCGGGAAAACTTACAATATCTGTGGTGACGATGGGTGCAGCTGGTTTGAGCGATGAAAGTGATGGCAAATTTAGCCCTGCAGGAATGGCCTAACTCGTGGGAAGTGAAAAAAGTCAATAATCTTATTTAGCTACTATGCCACTGGCCTCATGATCTGCGGCATGGTTCATCGGCGTCCTAAAAGTCTGAGAGGCGTACCTTTTTCACTTGCTCTGCTTTCTGTTGAGGTGTTGCGTTTGGGTCAAACTCAAATACATCTGCCCCCTTATTTCTCGCGTCCTTTGCAATTTGATGCTCCTCTACTTTGGCATTCTCGCGGTGTTCAGACCAAGAACCCGGCGGAGAAACAGAATCCGCCATTCTCAAGTCAAATTAATTGACTTGTGAGTAGGGTGAGGGATATTGCGTCTTTCCCAGTGAAATTAGAGGAGAAACTGTCGAGAGAACGGTTCGTGGTGAGAATGAAGGAGAGTGAAGGTCGAGTGATTAGGGGTTTTATGTCGACGGCAACGAGATGGCTCAACCGGCGACGATAAGGAGGTATTGTATTTGACGAAGATAGAATTGAAGTATTGATAACGTGATGCCTCCCTCGTGTGAAGATGACGAGTGGTGGTTCACCAATCTGGGGACGGGATGATCTGAAAGAAGACAATTGCAACACAGAAGGCAAGAAGATAAAAGAGAGTTGGAGGGGAAGGGAAGGGAAGGGAAATGGGAAATCGAGGCGGGAGGGGAGACAGTCAAGTAGGGAAAGGAAATAGCACAAGGAAGGACGGATGCAGGATAACTGCTGGACTGAAATGAAGCAAGGTAGGACTAAACACCAAACAGTAAAATGAATTAAAAAAGCAGGTCTCAGACACACACACACAAAAGGTCAAAATACGCTCTGCTTGAAGTGATGGTGGTGGAGCAGCAAGTGTCAGGATGGTGGTGACGACGTAGTCTATCCAGATCCCAGTCGCCAAAAACATCCCCAGCCATCAAGATCCACCCACGCAGCACTTCCCAATGCCCATTGCCAGGTTTCTTGCCAATCCTTTACTTTCGAAATGTTCCTCTCTTGTATGGTCCTCTTCACTGGAAGTCAATCTCCTCCCACAATGCCCCTTGTAGACAACCACATACACATAATGGCTCACCACCAAAGAGTACTCGTAAACCTACGTCTGCTTGTCTCTTGTCCAAAGTGTCTATCTGCATGCCTGATCTTGCCCAATGCACTGTCACATACGCAACAACGAGACAGGTCTATCTCGAGTGTGAGGTACTCTAGACTGCAGCATGGGAGACTACGATAACGCACGCAACCTTTCTGCCCACGCGAAGAAACGAAAAAGAAAAGAAAGCGAGGTCAATCCATTCAGCTTTGCGTCATCATGCAAAGAAGGTAAACAGACAGGGATCTGTGGACACCCTGACGACACACTTTCAGCTACCATTCGATGTTTCTCTCCAGCTGCTACATAAGAGGCATGTACTTGGTAAACCAAGAAACTCCGCCAGACGAAGTATACCTATCAATAAACGTCAACTTTAAGTAGAGTTCTATGCTCACAATACCTACTACATACTCAAAGAGATCGACATGGCCCCGGAATCCGGTGGAGAGTTTGCAACTATAATTTGTTTGCACGTGTAATTAGTAGATACTGTGCTATATACATGCGTAGATGTAGGTACACACTCTACTACACGGCCTAGAGTACATGTAGAGTATGAACCCAGTACTGTCTATCATGCGGTGAGAATTCCCTACTAGTAACTCTAGATCTTGCCAAAGTGTTGTCACTCAAGACCAAAGATATTTTTTCAAATTGTTTTGATATCAAACGCCACCAAAATCGCCACCACTGTGGGTACATAGCACAGCCTTAAATTCCGTAGTTCCTAATGCACAAACTGGCACAAAAAGGATTTTTATCTCGAGGCGTTTATTTCTTTTTTTCCCCCCAATTCTTTTTCACGCCTCTGGAATTGTTTTAATCTCTTATGACATTGGCTAGGTACCTGAAATGGCATCGGTTTTTTTTTCTCGCCAGATTATCCCTGAAAGTTGGTACCTGCTGGCAGCTGTTTGATCCCAAGCATAAGGTACCGATTTCATGGGCCACGATGCGGACCGGACGTTCAGAAATAGTGGAGGACACCAAAGTAACGCGAATTGGATCCACATGCATATGCAGTATTTGTCTGAGATGAGATACTTTACATGTAGGTACTTCCATGTAAGTACTGGCTAACACAAGTTCGGAGATAAAAGAGACGATGTTTAAAATGTTTTAGTCCTTTCCCGTATATACTCCAAACCAGTTCCTCGAGGCTGAGCGATTTGAACTTAAACTTCAGGACGCCGCGCGCCAGATTATGAAGTACATGTACTCATAATTGGACCGAATACTGCCTTTTGGTACTTGGAGCACGCCACCGCCTTTTTTAACGATCTCGATATTCTTTTCCTATGGGAGTACAGTACCTACTGTGGGTATTCACAAATGTATCCGGCAGGCCAATGATGGCCGTGTTTGCGATCAAGCATATCACCCACCTGAAACAGACCAGATAAATATTGACCACCTTCCCCGATGCCACTAGTGATGTAAGCGGTACGATATGTGAATAGTCTACTTTATGTACCTGTCCGACTAGTAGGTCTCCAATGTCGATTTTTTTTAATGCAACTCCGATAGTCGAACGGCATGTAGCCCGCCTACGGAAGGTTTGCGGGGAGGATCTCACCCTCTCCGAGAAACAAAGAGGCGTCTATTTTAGGCCTCTGACAAATACTTTCGAGGGACACTTGGAGCAACAGGTGGCCCCCGCAGTACCTAGCTTCAAGATCCAATCTCAGGACACCGGTCGGTGGCCGCTGCATCACTCGGATTTCCTTGGTTTCATAGTTTATGCGACGTGCCACCATTGAACATGCAAGAAGTGTCGATAAGGGGATGCGACAATTGGGTGCAGAAACAAATGCAATGCAACATGTGGGGAAAAAGCCACACGCATCAAGAGTGGACAGACAGTATTAGAATCTGATAGTTATGAAATAAATAAATAAAAGAGTTATTGGACTGATCTAATGCATCAAATCTCGGGACGTCAATCCCCCAAAATCGACAATTGAATTGATGCATTTCTTTACCACGAAGTCTAAGTTCAAGGGCTTAAGCCAAGAAAGTCACGTGTCACTAAATTTAGCCAGTCAGCAACTAGAGTAGCTACCACCGGAAGTTCGACAACTGTCGACAACTGTTTCCAATTCTACCATCACCAACACGAGCTTCACTCTATAACCCATAGTTTCCTATCGATCCACGCAGAGCACAGGTTGCCCATCATGAATCTCGATAATCTTCGCGACACTATCCAAAACATTTCCCTATACGATGTAAAGGCCGCCGTGAGAAAGGCCCAGAATGGTGAGTTGTTCCTATCCCCCGCCCTTACCCCCTATGAAGAGCTAGTGATCCACCGGGATAAGGTGCCAAATCAAACAATTTCTAAAGCGATGGTGTAAATAGTTGTCATGAACTACACAGAGATGGAAGCAAAGGTAATTTCTTCCTCCGGACTTCCGTGAGGGATAATAGGAGAGAAAGATCGGCGGTCGTCGGAATAAGCTTTCTGACAACGAATAGGTCCGGGAAGCAACGAATAATGAGCCATGGGGTGCTTCATCTACACTGATGCAAGAGATTGCAAGTGGTACATACAACTAGTGGGTTCCGTTCCAAACCGTACACTGTGATGCGCACATGAAAGCTTACATTTGAGGCCTTTCTTGCAGTCAACTCCTGAACGAGATAATGCCAATGATTTACAAAAGATTCACGGAGAAATCTGCGGAGGAGTGGAGACAAATCTATAAGGTTAATACACACCTGTTTATTTTTGCTGGAACCTGCAAATTGGGCGAATAGCCATTTTAACGCTTTCATTTCAGGCCCTTCAACTCTTAGAGTACCTCGTCAAGCACGGGTCTGAGCAGGTTATCGATGACGGCCGCTCTCATCTCTCAACTATCAAAATGCTCCGGCAATTCCACTTTATTGATATGAACGGTAAGGATCAAGGAATAAATGTTCGCAACCGTGCCAAAGAGCTTGCCGAGCTTCTATCGGATGTTGATCGCATCCGCCAAGAGCGCAAAAAAGCCCGTGCCTCTAAAAATAAATACGGGGGTGTCGAAGGCGGCGGCGGTGCTTACGGAGGAATGAGCGGCAGCAGCGGAATGGGTGGTGACAATGGTTTTGGGCGGAGATATGGCGGCTTTGGTAGCGAAAGCTCCGAGTTTGGAGGCTACTCTGGGGGGGTCTACGGCGATGGGGGTGGTTTCGGTGGCGCTGGAGGGCGTACTGGCGGGTTTCATGATGAGGGAAGTTCCAGGCCTTCATCAAGAACCCAGAAGTTTGAGGAATATGATGAATATGACGACGGGGCAACAGCAACACGGCGCACTGCTGGATCAGGGGCAAGCTCAAGCACCAGGCGAAAGGAACCCGCAGCTGCACCTGCCAAACCACCCCCGAAGAAGAAAGAGCCAGAGGTTGATCTATTTTCTTTTGGTGACGAGCCGACACCCACTGTTTCCAGTTCCAAGCAAAAACAAACCTCAAATGTTCTTGATGACGATTTTGGAACTTTACAGTCCGGCGGAGCCGATGATGATGACTTTGATGATTTTCAATCTGCCTCTGGCGCTACTCCGTCGGCTCCGGCTGCTTTTCAGGCACCCCCGACAGCAGCACCCAAAACCTTCAGTCCACTTCCGCCTCTTACTGCTTCTGCATCTTCCACAAAGCTTATGCAACCCACTCCAATGAGTGCTGGAAAAGCAATGGGCATCAATGATCTCGTCGGTATAGCCTCTATCTCTCCTGCGCCTGCTCGGGGCATGGCTTCCCCTCCAGCTATGACACCTGCATCGACTGGCGGTGGACTCGCCGGAATGGGCGGTATGGGCGGTATGGGCGGTATGGGTGGTATGGCGGCAATGAAGCCTGTAAGCATGGCTCCTACGGGCTACCAGCCAACACAACCCAATTACTTTACTTCGATGTCCACTACCACCATCTCTAGTGGTACTCCCCTTTCTCCGGTGTCAACAGGCGCTTCTGCAACGGCCGCGAAAAAATCGACAAATGATGCATTTGGCAATATCTGGAGCATGGCAAGCAAAGATATTAAAAAGCCGAGTACTCCAGCGAATAATAGCAACTCCCCAAGTTTGCAATCATTAGCAAAGGAAAAGGCCAGCGCCGGGATTTGGGGCGCGCCTGCGGCAAGTGGGACAAGCCAGGCGAGCAGTGCATATGGTGGCTCGACTGCAGGCAAGACCGGAGGTGGTTTGGACGATCTTTTGGGCTAGGGGGTGAGGAAATGCTGGGGCGATTTTCTTTTCTGTTGATATGGCATGGAAGGGCAATAGACATCTAAATGTGTAGGTAAAGTAGGGCTAGATAGTGCACGATCCAGGGACAGGGATAATCGCATGTCTCTGCTTGTTTGCATGCGCTCTATGCCCGTGTCCGTTGATGATTTGATGTCTCAAGACCAAAATGTTTTCTTCTTCGTCTTTGTCGGTTCTCAGATATAATGTTTTGGAAGTTTGTAGCGGGAAAAAAAAAGTACATGTATGTAATCCGGGGTTTTTCCGGGTGACTGCTTCCCCTGTTTGTTCGTTAGTTAGTTACATGTATTGTGTAGTTGATGCTTTATATCGACTGTGCTGTGAAGTGTGATCTAAGTAAAGTATTAAAGTGGGAGTCCATGTCCAGGGTATCGTTGGATGTGTAAATTTAAGGATGTGGCAGGCTTCCATGTAGTGTAGTGTAGTGTAGTGTAGTGTAGTGTAAAGGGAGTAAGGGTGAAATGTCATGACCTAGTCGGTCTGTGCGTCTCCCAGGAAACCTACATGGACATCCATAGGACCCTTTCCCAAACACCAGAGGTGCCAAGGCTTTTGACATTGACACTGACTGCAGTATGCTAGATACGGTCTGTACAGTACTGCACCTACTGTTTACTCTATTACCTTGGCTAGGTTTGGCAATGGACCAGTCAATTTCCCTGCTGTTACAGCACCGACAAGCTCTGCTGAGCTGCTGCCCCTTCTGCATCCTTCTTGACACACCTTCCGTACATGTAGTTTCAGGAACACGCTTTCTAGAGTACAACCCGACGAATTTAGCATTCTCCTGGCATCGGGAGTTTCGGTGATCTATAGTATTCGTGCCGCTGGTAATCAAGACCCCCGGACCGGGCCGGAGAAGGTAAGATTTCGGATTCATATATTAAACTTGGAGGAGAGGGGTGGGGTGGGCGCATGTTGATTGACAATCATGAAGATGGGATGCCCGTATTCGACGTCAGCTGGCTGTGGGGTGAGTTGGTGGGGTGGAATCTACAAGAGTTCTTCCCAATGAATTGATTGAGGAATTATTGCCAGCCCATACGTTGAGTTCTCCTCTTTTTTACGACTATATACATAACGGCCCAGCTTGAGATGGAAATGAAGCACAAGAGTCGCGGAAGATCATACACATCTGGAAAGTGGGATTTGGTCATTGGCATGGTAAAGCCTGCCTGCTGTCAGGAAGACCCTGGATGGCGTCAAGAATAGATGCAGGTTCCGAAGGGTTCGGTTAACCGATAGATCGACACCTGGGATGTTGCTCCGTCGACGACGACGACGACGCTAACTGTGTGGAGAAGGTACAGGTATGAAACCACCCACTCACTGAGGGTGGGAATACAGACAGACAAGCAGGATGGAGTATGTATGTACTCTATTCGATGTATGTGCAATTTTGCTGGCATGTCTCAAAGTCTGCCTATCATCCATAGAGTAGAGTGGTTGTGGTAAGCAATTGAGATTCGGAAGTGTAGATAGAGTTAGATTCTGAGAGATTCGGGAGTGCAGATAGAGGATCAGAATCGTGTAGAGTTCCGTCGTTAGAGTTCGAACAACCCAAAGTAAATTCCCCGACGTAAGGCGTCATGTCACAAAATCTATTTTCGTGCCCCCCTGCCTGAAGGGGGGAAGGTCTTCAAGGTTCGACCTTCCATGGTCGCTGAAAATCACGAGATCTCGGTTTGAAGAGCGCACGGACATGCTGCGATCGAAATCCTTATCGTTATCTATCCGCCCGTCGCATGTTTGTGTTGGTTGCAGTTGCAGTTGCAGTTGCAGGAACACTCGGCAAGTACGTAACCTGCATTTGAAAGAAAATAAGAAAATAACAAAAATAATAGATAATCGGTTACCGCCGGATATCTCTCTTGCTCTATTTAGAGGAGGAGGATGGAGAGGAAGGGCCTAGGGAAACTTGAATGCTCGGACTTGATTCCCTCAGTTGACTCAGTTTCAGCCAGATCTGTTCTATGGAATGGAGCAGCTGACATCGACTAGCTAGCTACATGTATATAGATAGCTCGGAATCAAGTTCTCTTACTCCTACTTCTCTCTTGCAATTGATCATTCTTCGTCTTGTTGTCATCTCTCACACTTGGGTATTCAACAATTGCTACTGTATCGTGATATATTTCACACCCAGAAGATACTCAACAAACAGCTTAATACCTTAAGTAGCTCCAGCCATGTTTGCTCCTGCCCAGCGGACCCTTCTACTTGCTCGTGCGCTACCTCTACGTACGATTCAGCCCCTGACAATCCTCAGGCTTCAATCGACGCTGAATTCATCCGCGGCGACTGCAATCTCATCCTCATCTCGTTCTCCTTCTCAGGAAGTAGTAAGTAAAGATGCCGAGGCCCCATTGGCCGCCCTTCCAGTAACGAGCCTACTTCGCTCGCTGCTGCTACACTCTATCAGTTCCTCGCCGCGTGCCCTGAAATCGGGTACAAAGGTCATGTTGGCCAACCTCGAGACAATGGATAAGAACTTCCTCCTCAAGCTGGCGGTCGATAAGACGTTCTATGTTTGCCCCCCAAAGAGTGTTCGCCCCATGACTAGAACACAACTAATATGCGTAATTAGGCCCAATTCTGCGCTGGAGCCACCGCCGCTGAGATTGCGGGCACAATTGAGAACCTCCGCTCCCTTGGATACGGGGGCGTGATTCTCGCATACGCCAGAGAGGCAGAAATCACTGACACTTCGGCAAGCACTGAACTTCAGAACATTAGAGAGTGGTTGGAGGGCTCCCTCAAGACGATACAATACGTTGATCCAGGCGATTACGTCGCGGTGAAGTACTCGGGTGCTGGATCATCCTGCCTGCCGTTACTGTCGCAGCACAAGAAGTGTTTCAACCATCCGGAGCTCGGAGCGTCGTTGATCAAGATCTGCGAAGCAGCGAAAGAGAGAGGTGTGAAGCTTCTCATTGATGCGGAGCAGGCGCTGATCCAGGATGGTGTTCATGGATGGACTTTGGTATGTTTACAGCTCAATTGTCGTCATGACCAGGAGCACGAGACTCGTGCGCCTGATCATTGCTCTGTCCACTAGCTACATGTAGCTGAGCTTGTCCTCTGCACGGTCTTCCGGCGCTAACCGAGGTTGCTTTCAGGAGTTGATGCGGCGCTTCAACACCAAGGAGAACGCGGTCGTCTACAACACATACCAGATGTAAGACCCCCGGATTATCTATCAAACCACCGCAACCCCTACCTAGGTACCCTAGGCCCGTGCCCATCCCCCCCATGTGTGCAGCGCAACGCAGAGCAAGAGGAAATAAGGGGGTGGTCGCGAGCCTACATGGCATGCGCAAAACCTCAAGTTTGGAATTTGACAGTCTGGGTTAGGTATTTGAAGTCATCCCCGGAAATCCTCTGCCGGCACCTTGAAGTCGCACGCCGCGAGGGGTTCACTCTCGGTGTTAAGCTTGTGCGCGGAGCATATATCGGCTCAGACCCACGTGAGCTCATTCACGACACCAAATCAGACACCGACCAGGCCTATGACGAGGCCATCCGATTAATGCTAACAGGCTCTCCAAAGGCAGTACCTGAATGGTCATCTGCGGACAGCTCCAAGTCGTTCTTTGACGCCCCCGTGCAGAAGATTCTGGGCGACGAGAAGAGCAAGGCAAGGGTCGACCTGGTGATTGCATGCCACAACAGAGACTCAATCGACATGGCGGTCGCGCTCAGACGCACCATGTCGGCCCAGGAGTGCGGTGTTGGACGCCTGGTGTTTGCGCAGCTCATGGGAATGGCGGACGAGCTCTCGCTGGGGCTGGTGGCCCAAGGGGCGAAGAAGGCGCAGGCGCAGAACGACTTTGATATCGAGGTCTACAAGTATGCTGTGTGGGGCACCACGCAGGAGTGCGTGCGGTACCTACTGAGGCGCGCGGAGGAGAATAAGGATGCTGTGGGCAGGAGCATCGAGAATAGAACTGCTGTGATGAAGGAGGTTTGGCGGAGAATTAGAGGCGGGTAGTTAATTGGCTAGCCCTGGGTTTGGTTTGGAGCCGCTTTTTTTCTTTTTTCTTTTTTCTTTCATAAGCGTTACTTTTTTCTTTCTACTTTTCTTGGCTGGTTTATCCCTAAATTTCCACATTCGCTTTTACGGGACGGGGGCGGGGGTTTGCAAATTAAAGTTTTCTTCTTTTTATTCCCGCTTTTTTTTACTCTGGCCTACTTTTAGATCTAGATTTAGAGGATCCCCTTTGAATTTTGATGATTGTGCTATGCGATGGAGAGACGTTTCTTTTACTGTAGTCAGTCTTAGATGTCACGCATTAATAACCACCTAGAGTACAATAATCATGGGATATCACTCGCAGACGGGACCATCATGAAACATGCCTCGGAAAGACTCCGAGTAAAAAGGCGGTGGTCAATGTACCCTAGGCCGGATGTGGTGGTCGCTGGGTGCGGTTCCTGGATCGGGGTGGGTTTGAGATTCGCTAATCTTTAAGCTATTGTTGGATGCAGGGGAAGTGGATCGTGGGCCGTGGTGGAGACGAGAGGAGGGAGGGGCTGGGTGCGGGAGAGGTGGTGGTGTGGTGGTGGGTGTAGCCGGGGGGGAGGTGAGCCCTAGCCCTGGGTTGGTTGCTTGGTAAAGGAGATCTGTGGCTGTGGCTGTGGAAATGGGCGGTGGTGGAGAATAGGGATATATTAAGGAGGTATTGCAGTAATAACACGGTGTTTATTCGTTTTTCTCTTGGAAGTATGTGCTCTGGTAGTGATGGGCGTAATTGCAAATATGCAAAGTGACAAGGAGATGCTCGTATTATTTCCTTGGAATTGGGTGCTTGAGCTGTGTCTCGAGACTACTTCATATACTTGATCTTATGCTATTCGTATCGTATCCGATCATGTGCTGCTTTTGTTTCTGTCTACTGGACTGGTGAAACACGAGTCATAGTCGATGTTCTAATCAGATATTACTGTATGCCTATCGAGTCAGAATAGCTCGGTTTTTGATTCTCGTCAGTTCGAGATTGTTTCTTGGAATTCGATGTTGTTTTGGTCATAAGGCCCGGATTATAGAGCACTCGTATTTTTGTTCCAGTCAGGTCGTTCTTCATTACATGTAGTTGTACTATTCCTGGCCTTAACGGGGATCGTCAAACTAACCCAATAGATACCTGGCTTACTTATCAGGTCCCAGGTCAGGCTACGTCATATCTACCACCGAGTTAGACATGTGCCATCAGAGAGCCGCTGCTGCTTGAGACTTCTTCTCCTCCTCCTTCTTCTCCCCATCCTCTTCTCAAGATCTCCCTTCATCATCATCAATGCATCCATCCCCTGTACAGCTGTGTGCAGTCCTCCCAAGTTTCATGTTGGGTGCAAGAACAGCTCACCCCCGTCCCCGTCAACAGATCTGTGGATTCCAGACAACATAACGCCACCGCAGAGCCATCCAGAAGCTCAGGGCCAGGACCGTACCAAGCACGCCCCCCAACACCGAACTTCATTGATTGGACGTCACCCGCTATCACTCAGCCCCTAATATTCGTTGCCAAGAACACTGCAGGGTTAGGGCTTATTACACCTTATTGCGACAGTTCTCCTGATTCAGGTCCGGCACAGCCAGGGGTAGTTAGGAGTAAGAGCTGGGTAGAGCAGAGTACATGTATGTCCCCCCGGAGGTCCGAACAACCTTCTTTTCCCATAACACACACATACACATCATACACACAACACATCCTGCAGCACTAGTTAAGCCAGACCGCGTCCAAAAAGAAAAAAATATTATCTATGCCGCTCCTCGACCTCCCAAACGAGCTACTTCTGCAAGTCGCTCACGATGTCGATACCCCAACCCTCAGCGCACTCACACGGACAAACCGCCGCCTCGCGCATCTCCTCTCCGCGGACCTCCTCAACACCGCGCTCAAGAACCGCCGGTATAGCGTCACGGCTATCTTTTTGGCAATAAGCTACAAGCAAGCTGCACGGATCAAGCTCCTCCTCGAGCGGTCGACGCAGATCACTATTACCAGTAAATATGGAACAGTCATATACGACAGCGGTGTTTGTAAGATATGGCACAAGGATATGAACCGCCTTGTTGACCGCCTCGTTGAAGAGGGTAATACGGATCTAGTGATATTTGACAAACCTTCTGGCCGCACAGCACTACACTGGGCCGCCGCGTATGGCGACGCGGCCATGGTACGGAAGCTTCTGCGTCTCGGCGCAAGCAAGAACTATGTTCATGACCGGTCAGGAAAGACGCCGCTCCACTGCGCGGCGGCCTCTGCGAACGTTACGGTGGTGCGCGCCTTGTTAGAGCACAGGGCTTGGAAAGCGGGCGAGATCGACGCGGTCGATAAGGGCATTTATGAGCTGTGCGCACTACACTACGCCGTACAGACCGGAGACAAAACGACAACGGAGCTGCTGTTGAAGGGCGGGGCGCGGGCAGATATAGTGAATGTGTTTGGCGAGACGGCGCTCCATATAGCGGCGCAGGAGCGGGACCTGGGGATGGTTAGGCTGCTACTGGGGGCGGGCGCGAATGTGGATGCGCAGGATTTCGATGGGGTGACGTCGCTGCACTGCGTGGTGGAGAATAACGATGTGGAGGTTGCGCGGGTGCTAGTGGACGCGGGCGCGGATATTCATAAGCCAAGCTCGTTTTTTGGTACGCCGTTTGTGCAGGCGGTCGTGAGGTGGGGGGAGGACATGGCGAGGGTGCTGAGCGAGAGTGAGTGGGAGAAGGTAAAGGGGAAATCAAGAGCGAGCATGATTGTCGAGCAGTTGCAGGCTAACCGCGCGAGAAGGAGAACGGGCGAGATGTTCTGAGCACCCCACTAGCTACCTGAGCTAATTAAATGTCATTTTTCTGCTTTTTGTTTTTCTGTTCTCTGTTTTTCTTGCGGTTCTCTTTTGCTCGTGGCTCTTTGAACGTAGACTGTAAATGATTGTGCTGTATTTTTATGATGTAGTTTTATGGGATCAGGAGATTGGGATTTTTCGGGTGGGATCATGGGCCCTCACTCGGGCGGGAATGTCACGTTAGCGGGAAATGATTGCTTTTTGTGTTCGTGCTCCATTTAGTCCACACCGTGAAACGATGTCATGTGATAAAACTGTGCGGTGAAAAGAGAGAATTTGAATATAATATGCGTGTGGGTATAGTAGGTGAGTTACTTTGGACTTGAGAGCTGCTGTGGATAGTCGGCCTGGCTCCTCACTTAATAACACCTCGCTATTCCCAACGGGTGATCCTGGCCTGAGTTGTGACTATATACTACACCGCCAGGGCATGGGACCTGCTAATAGAGATAGCCACTTAATTCAAACTGTCCATCGTAGACATCTTACGAGCTGGCTTAGTACGTAGTGCACATCGAGTCAACGTTAATTAATAGCCCGCTCGATCGAACTCGCCGACACAACTGTACCACGACTGTACCACCAGTTGCACCACGATTTCGTTCTCGTCATAAGCTAGTTCAGCCTGTTTTGGTTTACCACGACGTTTTATGCTGCGGTTTTGACGCTCCAAATGCAATCCTATAGCTGGTACGCCTGGGTATGGTGATGGTCTCGAGGCATTAGAGGTATCAGGGGCCATTTGTTACTTTAGCCCATGTGTGGCTGGTTCTTATAGTTCCCGGGCGTTGTGTGAGCGTTTGTGCGTGTGTGTGGGTGATAGCTGACGGGCTCGAGCCTATACCTAAAAAAGCTCGAGCCTGGTAAAACATTAGTAATGATTGGAGAAAAGAGACAGCTGGGTGATTTATATGAAAATATATCCCCCGTTGCTCATCCTGAGTAGGAGTTCTATATATATGCCGAATTACTGGAAGGTCTATTTATGAAAGCTCGAGCCCTTGCCTCCACAATCCGGGCCAGCTCGCGATCGGGCTCTACCCCGAGCTCGTCTCGAGCCGGCTCGTGCCCATAAATAGACCGTGGGGGTAGACAGCTTTCTACTCGTAAGACGAATGTAGACTAGGTGGGGAGATCTAGAGGGCTGCAAGTAGGGTTGGGTATGGTTAGGTGAGTAAATAATTATAACACCTATAGCTAAACCAAAACCAAACCCGACACCACAAGTCATGTCGAAGCCTCTGGGGACTTGATATATTTTTCCATACCCTCACGGGTATAGTATCTTCTGCTCTGTTCGAGTGGCCTTATGGACCACCTTGAATCATTCATGCTGATTCAAGGCTTCTGAGCCTGGGAGTTATTTCCTTGAGTTGTTTTATAGATAGGCCGATTGACTTTCATGGGATTTTTTATCTGCCGGGAACTATTTTGTTTTATTGAAGCTAGTATATATATTGCACTATAGTCTGATATTCTATGGATGTGATTATTCCAAAATGCTTTCACCTCTACCAACCGAGTGATAATCCATGAACCCCAAATCCACACCTTACATCCTAAACATAAAATCTCACCATAATAAACCATATCACACAGAACCGAAAAATGGCACCATGTATATAACTAATCGTTTCGGCGACTCAGTCAAACGAAGACTCAGTCAACTCATCATAATTTTATAACCCCATAACCACAAAGGATAGGAAGGAGAAAAAAGAAGAAAGAAAAAAGCTACATCAACAAACTAACTAGCTAGCTGGATCACGCGTAAATAAAAAAATGAAAAAAGAATAAAGAGTTTTTTTTGATCATAGTAACCCTCATCCAGACCGACCCATAGCACGATTGGAAGGAAATGAAAGGAGGCCCCGCAAACCCCCCACCACCCCACCAGATTCTCCTATATGCATGCAGAAGAGGAAAACCACGAAAGAAAAAAACAAAAGCGGGAAAAGCCAAAATCGAAGCAAACCGGTAGCGAATGATGGGGGTGACTATATAAAAACGAATGAATAAGCATGGGGCAGTAAGGTAGGTATAATACTGGGCAAAGATTGTAATAGGAGGGTGGATGGATAAAGCATAGACACGAAAGAAGTGCAACCACAGCCAGGTTAATAAAGAAGGAAGAAAATAGCGCATGAATCCAGCCCTTGCATGGTTTGAAATAAAAAGCTAAACACAGCGAATGTAGGGGAAGAAGGTATCGGTTAATACCGGTCCCAGCCAACTAGCAATATCAAAATATATAGATTCGAAAATGACCCCGCCAGAAAGAATAGAAGAAATATAACGGTAGATAAGATAAGATAGAAATAGAAACGACATCCTTAAGCAATATCGCTATCGCACCTGCAGATTGTTTTCGTTCGCCTTTCCTCGAAAACCATCGCCCTGTCGCTCAGGTGCGTCATAGTAAACATCGCTTCCCCCTCCGTTCAGCCTGGGTATGATCCCAACGCCGTTTTGGCCTATATCTCCGTTTTCCTGCGGCCGCTGTTGAGATGAGCTTTCTACCCCTGTTTCGTCGTACCGCCCACCCCTAAGTCTAGGTGTGGACGATTCCTCTGCTACTGCCCGCTCTTGCTCTCGCTGCAACTGAGCAATCCTCTCTTTATTACTCGTAATTGTTGGGGTCATGTCGCCCGTGAAATCTGGTGAGTTTCTAGAACGTGGATGATGGGGATTCTCTGGTAAGTGGTCTGTGGCGTAGTGGAATTGATAGGGATAGACGTCTTGGGAGGATGTTGAGAAAGTGGTGATTATAGGCGCAGTTTGTCCATTTGTACTGGTGCCTGTTGTGTCTAACGTGAGCTCGCCCTCCAAAGGCCCCGATTCTGCAGAGGAAGATGGGGTCATGGTAGCTGGATCCATGCGATCGTATGAAGTCCGGGCATCGCGAAAAAGACGAACATATTCTTCAGGAATTAAACCCGTATCTCCTGTAGTTCTATTAGTAACAATTCGATCGTTCGCCTCAAATGGCCTGCTTTGCGCAAGGAGAAATCCACATACCAGTCCTGGGATCCTGCGCAACCAACCACCCCTGTCCATGCCTATAGCTAACCCATACGATCTGTCCTTCTACCAATGGAAGCTCATTCTCATTCTCACTCGTAAAATCAAACAATGCGACAGCCTTCCCGCTCATCTCCTCATCCGGACTCGTTATTTGAAATTGATAATCTCTGCTGAACCTGCTATCTTCGTCGTCATAGAGATCTTCGCCTTCCTCTTCGTCGTCATATTCATGCCCATCCTCATCAGAATAGTGATATTGGTGAGAATTGTATTCGGGGTCGTCCGGGTCATATTCCTCCTCACCTTCTCCCTCATGGTTGTACATCTCATCACCAGGTTCTCCGCCGGCGAGATCCGTGCGGCGTCCAGCGCGGGTTGTGTAGTAGTCCCCCCCAGGAGAGATACCATTTTCGATCGCAGATCTTCGATCCCCTTCCCATTCGTCACCCTGTCCTCCCGCAGGAAAGTGTTGCGACGTATTGGGCGCCACTGCATTCTTACTCTGCCCTCTTAAATGGTTACTCTGCATGTGCGCAGCAGAAGACTTGTGCTTTCTATGTTTCGGCAAAACAACAGGGCTCTGTAGATCCTCATCCTCACTCCACGGCGGACCATCGGAAAAGTTAAGAGGCGGTGGCTGGTTCGTGGATCTTTGTCGAGCTGCTGATGACTCCCATCCTCCAGAGGCGCTGGCAGAAGTGAGGTCGAAAGAAGGATGAGCGGGATCTGAAAGTCGACGGTACCCGCTGCCGCCGCCGGTAAACCAGGAGCTACCACCGCCAGGAGTATTCTCAAAATATTCGGAGCCGCGCTGTGAGCCAGCAGGGGTAGAAAGCCCTGAAGCGATAGAGGGACCGTAATGTAAAGGATGTAGTGAAGGATAGGCGAAATCTCGGACGGAAGTATAGGACAGAGACGAAACGAATTGTGGGTTGAACGAATCGCGATTGGAAGACAGGGTCGACATAATGGAGATTCTGGTCGCCTGTGGAGGAGGGAACGACGGAATACGATGCTTACCTGGCTGTGGGGAAGCAGCTGGAGAGGCAGTAAAGGTGAACGAAGGACTGGGAGAAGCGGGGGGTTGTTGGTTAGGTGTTGGGGGGTTCCTTGAGGAATTTGAGGAAGTGGAAAGTCGTTTTTCTGCCGAAGATGTGGTCGGTAGTAAATTCGAGTTCCGGACAGAGGATGGAACTGTGTTAGAAGTAGAAATAGATCGCTCTGAACCAGCAGTAGCCTCGGGGGATTCAGAAATGGTACATGTAGTCTGAGGACCTGGAGAATGAGGGGATGAAGTGGGAGAAGCCATAGTGATCACCTCAGAGTGTAAGGAGGAGAGGAAGGAGGTAGTAAAATGAGGAGAAGTTGAAGTTGAGGTTGGTGAATGGGGGGAAGGGGGGTTGGAAGAGGGGCGATGTGAAGATGTGGGGGGGGGGGGGGGGGGGGTGAAGATGGATGACGGCGGGGGAGGGGAGGGGACGCTATGTATGATGAACGGGGCTGGCAAGAGAACGTATGAATGAAAAGGAACGAAAGCAAAAACGCGATTATCCTAGTCTCCCAAACTCTGACTATCGGAGGATTGATTGTTATCGTGTGTACGGGTGGCTGTGTGCTGTCTGTACCTGGAGCAGTGCAGCAACGTATGGGCCTATGTACAGTAATGTGTATGTACCAGAGGGAAGCAAGTGTCGTTTGGAAACCTCAGTAACAATAACCAGCCAGTAACGACTACTGACGGTACAAAAGCGGGGAGTGGAACAGCGAGGTGCAGATAGATAGACAGATAGACAGTTGCGCGCTACAGGGAGCAGCAGAGACAGACTGAGAGTGAGGTATGCGGAGGAGGGGTCCTCCAGCGATCCGAGGGTGATTAATTGATTCTGATTGATGTTGTTCCGCGAGCGTGCCTGGCTGTTTGCGTTCTGGATGGAAGACTTAAGGGAACAACAGACAACACCCCAAAGGTCATTCTGATTTTACAACAACCCCCTCTCCTCGATCAAGCCATGCCAAACGCTGTCGCCGTCGCTTCATTTCCTGGGATCCAAAAAAGAAGTCTTTATCCATGATCTAACAGATGCCTGTATCTCTTGTTACCTACATGTAGGTACTTTTAATATGTACCACCTGTCCAAGGGCAACACTCTATCTGTCTATTCATTCCCCAAGAAACTCAACTTTTACCGAGCGTATAAAGAACCTTTAGTGTAGGCACATACATGCTGAAAACAAAAACATGAAAATAACAAGATAGAGATGTCTCAATTCTTTCGTTAGACACCTTCCCCTCTCGACAGGGTCTTCACTTACCTCCCCGGGAAAGGTCGCTTTCTGATTGTGCACTCCCATTCGCTTGTGTCCTTTGATCATAGACGCTTTTTTTCCTCGTGCATCGTCGTGCTTGTCTATTTTTAGATATGTATGAGGCTTGGCACTGGTTTCTTGGCTGGCCCCTGTTACATCGTTGCCTTCCAACAATTTGAACCTCAACCTCTTTTTCATCCAAACAAACATCGGTTCATCATCACCATCTACCAAACAACACCGTGACGTTTACCAAGGTAGAGGCGATCATAGGGAAAATCCCACATAGATTAATTATCAGGTATATATTCTTCCATCTATCCGATTACCCTTTGCTTATTCCGCGCCCTTGTTTCTTGCCCCTCCCTCGAGAAAATAACATGATGAGCCTTAAAATATTGGAGCTGTCCTATGTCACCTCGGTGTCATTGAGGAGAGAACTAATTATACGCAAACTTCTGACTTCATTTCCCATATATCCCTCCTGCATATCCCCCATCGTAAAACTTGTACCTGAACTAGTTGCTGACAATTTGCCTCCCTTGGTGAAATTTCAGCCAGCCACTATCACAGGGGGAAAAAAAGCCAAAAAAGATGCAGGCTCAGCCACCACAACAGGCGTCATCAGCCATACTGGAAACATCTGCGCAAGCATCTGTCGATGGCTCTGAGAAGAAAGATTTCCCGCTGAAATTTTGTACTGTTTGTGCTAGTAATCAAAATCGGTTTGTCAACTTCTGCTTTGTCCCCTTATCCTCTCCCCCCTCCCGCACACATTGATTCAACGGCTACCGCCACAACCCGTTAGAATGCCTAGGTAGTGGTGGGGCAAAAAGTTTCTTGCTCTTCCTCCTATCACCAAATGTAGAATTTTCATTTCATATAAAGGCGAGGACCGAATGCGGATGATTTGAGATGAGTGAGTTAGTGAGGGCGGGGTGAGATGACTTTACCCCGCTACCGCTAGTACGGGGAGAAGAGAAGGTAACTCTCGCTACCCATACAGCGGGTGAGAGGCAAGTGCTGCGTATTGCATCACCTGGTAAACGGGGAGCCCGATGTTGAGCACACCCTAGCTGATAAATGCTGTTACGCTGCGGCGCGAAAGCAGCGGCTGTTTGCCGCTTGGTGGTGGTGGCCGGCGGCTATCAAAATCAAGTGTGGCCAACTGAGGGGTCGGCTCGATTGGAAAGCAATGATTGATACGCAGTGCTATCAAAAATCTCTCACTGGTCTACACTACTCATCTCATATCTCCGATCCTCTTTCTCCCTCGGCAAGGAAACCCTGGAAATGATGAGATTGTTATCAAGTATACGTACAATAGCAAAAGAAACACAAATATGCACCTGCCTCACAATCATGATCCCCATAATAGCTATGACGCCTAAATACTGAGTCCATATCGTGCTATACAGTTCAATGGAAGCCCACCTCGTCCTCTCACTCGCATCCTACCCCGTGATATCGTTCGGCACCGGCTCTGCTGTCCGTCTCCCTGGTCCTTCAATCGACAAACCTAACATCTATGCCTTCAACTCTACTACCTACGATGAAATGTATCAAGAGCTCAAGCACAAAGATCCGCGTCTTTACACTGCTAATGGACTCCTGGGCATGTTGGATCGGAACCGGCACATCAAAGGGAGCCCAGAGAGATGGCAGGACTGGAAAGTGGGCGTGCCGAGAAAGGATGGAGTTCAGGATGGGGTTGTTGACGTAGTTTTCACGTGCGAGGAAAGGTGCTGGGATATCGTGGTTGAAGGTTTATATATCCCTTCGTTACTATATTACTTTCTTTCGCCATATCTAACGAGTAAAATAGACCTCCTCAATCGCAATTCGCCACTAAACCGCCTCGTCCATATCATAAACGTGGATATCAAGGATAACCATGAAGAAGCCGTCGTAGGAGGCAAGGGTATTCTTGAGTTAGCTCATATGCTGACCGCCGCCGCGAAAGAAGAGAGGGAGAAGTATGGAGAAGCGTATATGAGGGATAGCGTAGACAAGAGGGTGCCAGAGGTTTTAGCCAGCTGGCAAGAAAAGTTTCCAAATCTTCCAGCGTTGTGGACGGTTGGATATTTTTAGGGATTCAAGGGCTTCTCTTTCTTTTCTTTTCTTTTCTTTTCTTTTTTCTTTAATTGGCGCATTCTGGGAGGTTCAATGAGCGGAATGTTTAAATTGGCCATTGGCTGAAAATGACGATTTCTTAAAGGTTTACGTACTAGGTTTTTTTCTTTGGGGTGGTGGGTATTAACTACTTTATGGAGTATAAATGTAATAAGTACAAGTACCTATCACACATGGATTTAGTGTCCAATTCTGAATTATTGAAGGTTTAAGTATAATAGAGGGTTTTAGCTGCACAATTTGGACAGAAACTCGGGTAATTTGGACAGAAACTCATGCACGTTACAGCCAATAAGAAGTGCAGGAGTTTCTGTCCAAATGCTCGAGTTTCTGTCCAAATTGTGCAGCTAAATTTTAAAACCCTCTAATATGATAAGTTGGTGCGAGTGATTAGGCATGGTGCACTCGGATGTTACCCGGCCCGACCGGCCCAGGCTTGGCTGGATGCGTGTAACTTTGCCCTGCCCTGCTGTGTTCCAGGCACAACGAACTACTTCCAACATCCGTCATCTCTCAACCTCCCTAAAAAAAACATCACCCCCCTTTGACTCTTTCACTCACTCCAACCTCATTATCTACTATACTCACCTCTAGACAGATTTTCGGAGAAACACTCCCCACATAGCTACCTCTAAACTTACAGAGAAAACAAATACATAGCTTCTAGCCAAGAGGATGCCTGCACCACCTCCCCCTCCCCCGCCACTCCCATCATTTGGGGGCGGGCCACCACCACCTCCTCCTCCTCCACCGTCTGGTGGAGCTCCTGCTCCCCGTCCAACTCCAAATAGGGTATACCCCCCAACAAGACACCATAGATTACCATCATCTAACCTTCCAGTCCAGGGCGGCCTCAATAATGAAATCACAAAAGGTTTCAAACTCAAGAAAGTCTCACAGATAAACGACCGTAGTGCGCCTGCTGTTGCTGGAAAACTTGCAGACAGCGCTCCGGTTAAGGGACCCAGTTTGGGAGCACCCCCGGTCCCTGGGGGTGCGCCGAGAGTGCCGAGTGGAGCCGCACCAAGGATTCCCAGTGGGGGTGCTCCTAGTACTCCCGCGAGGTTGAGGGCGAGTAGTGGCAGTAGTAGCTATACTCCTGCGGAACCTAGCCCTCAGTTGGCGGGCTTGTTTGCCGGGGGTATGCCAACACTGAGAAGTACAAAGGGTGGAGTGAATACAGGTGGTGCGTGAATGAACCCCCCAATCCCTGGTTTTTAGAAATCTAGGCTGAGAAGCTGACTATTGAAATAGCAAATCGTGATTCGACAGTTTCAGATTCGTCAGACACCAATACAACACCGCCCCGGGCAGCCCCATCAATCCCGAGACTTCCAACTCTCCGGCCAACAGTTCATTCCGTCCCAAGCGCACCACCTGGTATCCGAAAGCCGCCACCGATGCCTATTAAGAGGCCGAACTCATCCGCGCCTTTAAGGCAAGTACAAAGCTCACCATCCAGTCCACCACGCGCTACCCCACCCCTGCCTCCACATGTACCTGGATCGCTAGCTCCTGGGCGTCCGCCAGTGCCGCCGGTTCGGAAGTCCCCATCCCCAACATCAGGTTACGGTGCACCAAGCTCCGCTCCACCGCTCCCACCTACTGCAGCGCCGAGGCCACCGAGAAACAATCCCCCTCCGCCACCACCTCCACCAACCAACGGTAACGGGGTCTCTTCAAGACCAGCAGCCCCGCCCCCACCGCCTCCACCCGTGGCGAGAAGTTTTATTGATCCGAGTACCTTCACACTGGGTGGAACGGGAGGATTGGGAGCCGGTGGGGCCAAGAAAATTGTAATTGACGACAAGAGATGGAAATTTAAGAGGGAGCAGGACCTGCCAGATCCGAGGCCATTTTCAGGCATGACGAAAGTTTATCGGAGTGGTAGGGGAAGCTCAGTGCCGCTCAATCTGGCGGCATTGGAGTAGTGTGTAAAGAAGTTTCGAATGGACAATTTGTTTTGAGTTTTTTTCTTGGTTTGGACGTTTGGTTGGCTGGCTGCTTGTCTTTTAAAAAGGGGTTTTTTGATTTGTAGTTTACCTTTGCTTATTTCTTTTCTTTTCTTTCTTTCTTTTAGGTTTTGATATCCTCTTGTCTTGTTGGGTTGGTTGGTTCCGGAGTACGGATCTGTGTGAACTAAGTATCTCTAAGTAGAGAGCAAGGGGTTTCGTCGTGAAGTTTTTAACACTGTTTTTTCGAATTCACATCTTGGAATTGACTGGTTTTGACCTCGTATAAATGTATGTTACTGTAGGCGTGATTAATAATATAACTCTCGGGGGATTAGTCCCGTAACCAAAATATCACTCAATGGCATTTGTAGCATGTCCAAAAATCAAATCATCACTGATTTTGTTGGTGGTAATGATGGGCGCCATCCGCTATCCAGTGGGTCTAAATTATCTATTTTATAACAAAAAATGTTGATGCTCCAGTAGAGATTTGAACTCCAGATCTTCGCATTACAAGTGCGACGCCTTACCCCTTGGCCACAAGAGCTGATGATGACATGCCGCTCAATTGGAATTTATCCTACTCATTTAGGTTAGTTGGGAATCGGCCGTCCGCAACAACACCCTCAGTCTATGAAGAAGTTAGTTAATCTCTCATACGCGATTTTTTATTGGTTTACTTTTATCGGAGCAATGATTTGCTTGGATTGTTTATTCGAGAGCCCTAATTTTATCATAAGCCCGAGATGAAGGCCCAGCACAAAAACCCGCTCCGTGTGCGTGCCCTCTGTAGTCCCAAATAATTGAAAGGGCAATACCTAAAATTTCGAAGCTTACCAGGCGGGGAAGATTAGGTGTTGGACTTGGCGTTAGCTAACTTAAATCAACCCCCGTAGTTTACGCCCTCTTCTGGAAAGGCGTAGTTTTCGAGCGGAATTGAGAGCACCGATTTTGAGGATGACGGACTTTGCATGGCAGATTTTGGGTAGAGTAGACTTGATGCTTGTAGCCATGCTTTTTATGATGTAAGTAGATGGGGTAGGCATCGACGGTGACAGTCTACAGGGTCTTAAGTGGTTCATGTTTCTAGCGTTTTTCTCTGTTTTATTTCGACAGTTGTGATTTTTTCTGGTTGCATGTTCTATCGTTCGTCACCTGAGTTTCTCAAATCTAATCATGTAGTATGTAAGGTCATCGAGATGTTGTGGAGCGTCGTTGTGTAAATTAGACCACACACGTCACATTCCTTGTTCTAGGGCTTGGTCATAAAAGATCACTCGATAGCAACGGACTAGTGGAGGAGCTTATGCGCCGTGTACGCGTATATTCCATTCTTCCACCCTCACCAAACAACCGAAGAGCCAAGGCCGAGTGATTACTCGTGAACTGTCAAGATGTACCTAAAATTTAATTGGATATGAGGCGTGATATATAGCCTTTTTACTGAAGATGGTGCGATCTGTCGATCTCGCTGCTTCACCTCGATTCGATGGCTGAGGGGAAACAAGGTCGATGAGAGATCGCCATGTATGCATATAGACAAGTGAAACGTCAAGTTTCAGGTTTGACGCGCCCCGTCACGAATCCAACCGACGTTTCTTTTGATAGGGTTTTTTGTTTCCTAAACAGACCGTTTTCTGTAATATCCTGCATCAAGCATATGTGGCCATGGTACCTCCGATCCGCTTACTGGCTATCGTGTTTCAGATAGATATGTAAACATGGCACGATGGCCACTTGGGACTGTGGGCGTCCCTCCAATTGCTTTTTCCCCCGGAGTTCTTGTGGTACGCTGTTCTTTTTTCTTCTGACAACATGATGCATTGTCTACAGCGCACGCACACACAGCCTTCTAGCTCCACATTGCCCCACTCGTTCGTTCAATGTTACCAGAAGGGCCTAGAGAGTGCTCATGTGCTTCTGGTTTCCAGTTGTTTTTGGTCATTTTACCCTTCTTACGAATTATGCTGGCCTAGTCCGAACTTGATGGGTTTGATATAGATTCATGGGCGGTCACTCGCTTCGCGCCACCATGGAACCGAGGTAAAGGAGGTAAATGTTTGAAGAGGTCAGATCAAGACAGTTATACGTTAATCTGAGATAGATAGTTTATAAACATATTATACTCCAAAGATTTCATAGCTTTTACCACAGCTCATACCTGGTTACGCCTTGTCTGATTATATAGGAGGTATTTTCCGCATAATTGGTTATTTAGGGTGTACTTATGTAGTTTGTGATTGGCTTAGGCTGCCGGTAAATTCGTAAGTATTTGAGTTGTACTGATTAAACTTTGAGTGTACATGTAGTTAACTAAAGTGTTCAATATATAAATCATAATTGATAAGCATCTGCAGTGACAAACGAGAGACCAAGAGCAATGAAACCATATGAAAGATTGATATAACCGAGTGATTTAACTCAGGAGTTCCAAAAAATAAAAGAGAAGAAAGATAGAAAAATGCGAGCTTATGACCTTGCCTCCTCTCTCCATAGTTTCCAAGAACGCCATTAAAACCGTAACACCTAAAATTCATTAAAGAAAAGTCACCAGTTACGTTGGAAATCCATCAATACGATGAACTTTTAGTCCCCGCCTTTGTGATAACACCGCGGAAGATACCAGACAATGAGGAGGCACTCGAATTCACTGAAACTGCCGAATAAAAGCTTGGGGTTTTGCTCTTATGACCCCGTTGGGTTCTTGCGCTATCAACTCGTGCTAGTGGGCGGTCTATCAAGTGTCAAAAATCTGCATAGTCCGATTGGTTTAGGAGACCTCTTACATGCATCGTGTTCCTTCAGAATACGGCAGGGGAATCCGCTTATTAACGAGACATCGCATTCCTTGTCAGAAAGGGAGAGGAATATTCTCATCGAGTCCTCAGGGCCAAGCATCGAGAAGTTAATCTTCATCTCGAATGGCTTTCCCTTAGTGACATTATCAAACAAACTGTCTTCAGCTATGAGTTGCTGATCTGGAGTTCCTCTAGAGTTTCTCCTTTCGTTCATAAAAAACAAGTGATTCCGACGGGGCAAGCCATTCCGACGTGTCTCGAGCCGTTTGCACAGCCTTTTCAATGCATCAGAACCTGGCTCAAGTCGACAGAGTATAGTTCCTATGTATATATTAATATTTTCAGGATTCTTTTATTTTTGTTGGAGAATTTAGAACGCCGAGTTACCTTCACAATCCCACTTATTCAATACCCCTTGAGCCACCCTGGAAGATCCATCAAGCCTAAAGTAAAATAGGGAGGCTATGAGTTTTGTTGAAATTTGATCAATCAGTGGGTTGTTAAAGCAGAAGTCCTCCGCTGCTCGCTTCAAGTTTGCCATCATCACAACCTGATCAATCGTCGGGAGTTTGTTAGGAAGGTCAACATTTAAACGATGATATTTGGCAGCTTTATCTTCATCCTGCATTGGTAACGAGCGTAGAAAATTAGACCATGTCTGCTCGCAGCCCACGCTGCTCTCGATTTGTTGTGTGGCTATCTTGAGAAGAACTTTGGCAAATTCTAATGCCCCGCGCTTTGCTCTTAACCGCCGGCCTTGTTTGTCCAAGTCAGGTTTAGGGGTTGGATCATAACCGGTGCCAATAGAAAGTAAGATATCGGGGTGCTTATTTGCAAGGTTCGGCCACAAAAGCTTCCATTCCTGGTCAGCTACCACTACTGGATTATTGAATTTAAGACCTCCGTCATTAAAACTGTATCCAGTTGGTTTATGAAAAAAGGGTTTGAAGAATCTCGGAGCGGCAGAGGTTGCGCGTGCACTAAAAACGAGTTAGATTATATCGCATATTTCTAAAGATCATAACATGGTAACATTACGCTTCCCAGGTTTTCAATTCCTGATGGCTATTCTCAGCTCGCAAGAAGTTGTATTTAGTTTTTACTATTATTACTGTTAGTCCTAAATGAAGAAGGGCGGTAACTAGATGGGTTCTGTAATCAAAAGACTTACAGTCCTCAGTCAAGGGGCGGTTATAATTTGCAACCAAGTATGGATGTCCACTCGAAGAGATGGTGGTAACACCGGCCCTCAACATTTCTGTCCCCCCAGGCTCTCTTTTACCTCCGAAGATAGACTCGTCCCCAAATTTTTCTTTTAAGACCCTATCAATCCCCCTCGTTTCATACTTACTATGATATGTCGCTTCAACAAGCGTTTTCATTACTGGCAGATCTGCCCCGGTGCGTTTTTGAAATGCCTGTTCAGAAAAATCACTAAAAAAGTTTATGCATTCAGTCACGCTCACTCTTTTCGACGCAAGAGCGAGCGCTATTATTCCTCCAGAGCTAGAAAAAAAGAAAATTTTCAGTTTAACGATGAATGTAGTGATTGTACTTAAGTAGTCACATACCTTGTGCCGACTACGAGATCAAAGAAATCTTGGATTGGCACCCCAAGATTAATTTTTCTCTCTAAGGCTTCCAGCACTTTAAGCTGAATAATCCCCCGAATCCCCCCACTAAGTATAGTCAGATACCAGGGCAGTAAGTTCCATGAATAATGGTTGGGGAGAAGCCTACCCGTCGAGAGACAGAATTCGCAGGCCTGTGTGTTTTGGCCTTGTTTTATATTTCCATGGGATCTCCCACGGACTTTCCATATTGCTACAGAGCGGACAAATACTAATTTCACGCCAGAAACTCGAGGTAGGTAAGGTTGAATAGTTCTCGGCGCATCGCTCGCAGATTATGTGTCCGCAAGTCAGCGCGTGTATAGGCGTTCCCGATAAACAGCTGAAGCATGTTGTATGAGCTGTAAGAGGTGCTACGTCATGATCTCCATGATCTGTATCCCCTTTCCAGTTCCAATAACGACCATATCGGTTCAGTACACGATCCCGGTGGTATTGGGCCACGGAAATGCCCTGTCCTGCGCTAAATTCTTTCAATAAGCTGTCAAGTTCAGACGATATCGTACGAATGAAGTTATCGCTTTCTTTGTTAGAATTTTCAATGTAGGCAGAGCTGAAATCCCCAACGCCAAATACTTTCCCGTCCTCCATCTGATGGCCCTTCGAGTGTCCGGTGGCTACATTGGCGCAACGCCGGCCTTTCTTATCACGTTTTTCACATCGCCAATGCTTTTCATATACTTCTGCAAGAGCATCCTCGCAGAACTTTTGATATAACGGGAAGATCGTTGCAGCTTGGCCTATAGGTATCACATAGCTCATATTAGCATGTCGACGGTACTAAGTAGATACGCAGGAAAGCATGATCATGAGTTCATACCACCGTGCGGGTAACGGCTTCTGAAGGCATCCAAAAGAATGCAGGAAGCAACAAGTGGGGCTAGAAGCTTGAACATGTCTGTTCCCGACATTTGAGGGCTTTGAGTCATGATATGAACGGCTGCTTTAGCGATGTGATCTTTAAAGGTTGAAGAAACGGGGTTATGATGGAATGCCGCAGCAAGGAAGTTGAACGGTTTTGACGGGTTCTTCGAGAAATGATGAAAAGCGTGTCTAAGATAGACATCTAGTTCTTCACTTGTCATAAGAAGTCCAGCTTTTATCCTCAAGTCGTAGGCTTTTTGAGATCCTTCTTCCATAACTTTATATAAAACCTTGTATTGCTGTTCGATGACTGCTGGCGATTCCTTTGCATGAGGAATGCACACTATCTTAATGCCACTATAGTAGCACATAAGTAGCTCCTCTAGATTGTTAATGGTTTTCCCCAGGCTTCTCCATTTTTCAACACATTTTACCATGAAAGGATCATCTTTGATGCAATCAGCACGCTTCCTCAATTGATCGCCGGTTGTACCATCGATATCCCACCAAGGTGAAGCGATGTCCTACGTTAATGAGTTAGATCATAAGCATCTAAAGTACCGCAAATTTGTTGAAACGGACGAGGCATATCTTACCGATACCTCAAGCGCATTTACAACGATAACGGCGTAAGGCAGGACAGGCTGGTTAACTGACTGCTGAAAAACTTTATCTGCCCAGCGGATCAATTTTGAAATCACATTTTCGAGAGTCCTGTCCAGAGATTAGCCATAGGTGTGCTTTTACAAATATATATAAAATCCAATGCTCACCGAAAATTCCTAGTAACAAAACACACGACATCCGAGAACGTGAAAAGGACCCTAGGGTAGAGATTCTCTACCATCCATTGGCGCGATTTCTCCTGTCCGCGCGCCCATGTAATCCCATTGTCTCCGGGATCGTTTCTCGCGTGCCGTCTTTTTTGGCGGAAGTTTTTCACACCTTGATAAGCTCTGGTGGCCATGGGGATCTTAGTACCACCACTAAGACCTTCACAATCGGCATAGAAATACGGCCTATTGGTGTTATAAGTTATCGGGTCCGCAAACAAATGTACCGCATCACTGGTGGGCTCATCTAGTTCCCCAGATGTTCCCATGACTGGCACTTGGTCTGGTGCTAAAGTCGTATGTCGATGTATCTGAATATCAATTCAGTACAATTGCAAATCAGGCTATAAAAAGAGTGTGTAGATTCAATACCTTCATCAATGCATTTATTAATGTACTCTTTCCATGGCCTGTTTCCCCGACGAAACAAGTGATGGAGGGATGCTGCGTTCCAGCTTCCATTTCAGTCTCTGATGCAAGTTTAACATAACGCCCGTAGTCATGGAAACAGGGCTTTCGTGAATTTTCGCTAAACTCCACTCCGAACCATTTGGTATCAAAGTTATCTCTATGGAGTTGTTCCTGTCTTTTGGAATCTGTTTCTGGATTTAAGATCGAGTTGATGATTTCCCAAAGCCTCATGTCCGTTTTCTCGTGATTTTTCCTCCCTCTGGCTCGAGGGTTACTCCTGTGAGCTGCCTGAGCGATCCAGCACTTATCGCAAAGCACAATGCAGCAAATGTTACACCAGGATAAGACTCCAACGCGTACGTCTGGTTCCTGACAAGCTTCGCATGTGTCCGACGGTAATGGATCATTGTCGGCTTCGTATGACGTTCTTGAACCACCATCTTCATCTTCTCCGGGGGTGCGAATATGAACTCCTTCAAAACTTTTGAACGATTCATTATCGTCGCCTTCCTCACCATCTTCATCTTCATCTTCATCATCCTCGTCATCATAATCTTCCCCTCCGTTGCTCGACCATGAATCAACCTCGGAATTCCTGACTGATGATCTAAATTACCAACCCTAAGTTAGCCAGGTGCTGCGCGCGGTTATTGCATTTAGCCAAGTGATTAGAATTGAGCCATCTACCTTCTTGAGCCATTTATTGATATTCTCGAACCATATTTTCTTTAATTACCATCGTGTCAGTAATCTGGAATTTGCATAAGGTTTTAAGTAATGGATAATACCGTAGAGATGAGGTTGTAGTAACTGAAGAGGATATATTGTCTTCAGAACCGCTTGATGTTCTATGTTCAAATTCTTCGAATGTTTGGCTAGTATCAATTGTTATTGTGCTATCCGCTCTCGCTCTTGCGCGCTGATTTGAAGCTTTCGTGGTTTCTTTCCATTTTTTGAATACATACTTGACAGATGCGTTCATCGACATTTCTCCGATTATAAGCTTTAAGATGGTCAACGGATTCAGAGAAGTATGAGAGGGCCTTCAGGCTTTTCTGCAATGTTAAAGTATATCCGTTCGACACCTGTTCTAGATAAGAACCAAAGGGAAGAAAAAGTCATGATTATACTAGAAAAATGCGCTGGCAGTCAGGGCATCCCCAAGGCTGCGGTCAACGGTTCCTGTAACTTCAAAACAACAAATCAAACAGCAGAGACACGTAGATCCGACTGAAAGCTGAGAGAACATCCTTCATGCATACGATGTATGCACAATACCATGCACAAACTGGGTTGGGTATTCTTATCGCCCAATGAAAGGTACAGCGATGTAGCCCCGCTCCCAAACTCCAATTATCATGGATGTTCTTTATTCCAAAACTCCGTGGCTTCAACATATCATTTTCTTGAAACACCCATCCTTACTAGTGGCAGAATAATTGTATTGATACTCCTCCCTTTAAACGCCATCAAATTTCATACAGTTGACTATTGTCCAGCACAGCGTTTTGATGCAAAGAGTAGGCAGGCTTTTAAATGTACGCCACATACATAGAGTATGTGATAGGTACTTGATGTCTCATATATACTCTACCACGGAGCAATCGATCGTGAGAATCTGATCAATGGGATATTCATCCGAATTGCTGAGACGGTGTCTTGAAGCAAAGTCGTGGGGTACATGCGGTTGGTAAACCCCACCCAGGAGGGGTACAATCTCGGAGGGGCAACAGCTACCTAGGTGCTCTGCCTCGCTGTTCTCGATAGCGGTACACACGTATCAGCACCGCAACCACCCATGTACTGAACCACGGTGTGACGCAAACTTATTAAAAACAACAGCTATCTTATGCAAAGTGATGATGTAGTTAGTTCAATGACTTCATAAACGAGATGGAAATTGTGTAAACGGATCCTTCTTTATTGAAATTTGGCGATTGAGCTCGGACGAGACTACTTAGGCATCCACCACGAGCTCGGAACACAATTGAGTGGTAGGGCCTAGAAGCACTTTCTGTGAGCAAAAATTCCTTTTTCTTAATGCACGTAGGTACAGACTGCAGGCAGAACACAATGCCCGTTCATCCCCAAAGGTGTGGTTTTGACCAATCCGAGACGAATCCAGCAGGAATAAATGGCCCCACGACATAGGCGCCTGCTTGAAGATGAGGATTTTTGACTTTGTCGTCATTCAACAGAACATAACCCTCATCTCCTCATCTCAGTCCGACGTTGGAATAAAGTGCGGCTGATAAATATTTCCATGACATCAGTAGCCGGTCAAAGCGCTTCCAAACATTTGTGCCACAGTAGACTCGCTCACGGGTGTGGGGATTTTTGGTTTATTTCCATCCACAGGACAGCTAAATCTACAAGAATTAGTAAATTCGAAATACCACATGAAACTCGAACAATCCATTGTCTTGAATTATATCCATTTGAAAATCGGTTTTAGTACTTTCGGCGTTGCAATAAAAAATCCCCACGCACCCGTGGTCGCCACACCCGTGAGCGAGCCTAACGTCAGGGTCCTTAAGGAGATACCAGGGCTAGGGCAAAGAATTGACTTGGCGTTTTATAACATAAAAACATCTTTGACGATAAACCTCCCTCCTCTAGTTCTAGAGATGACTGGCATAGAAGATTTTTGAGCTCTGTAATCATTGCGCATGAAGAGCTGGTTGGTAGATAGTTTTGATGCGCAGTTGATTTGCGCTGTCTCCGCAATCTACTGGAGGGTCTAAAATACCCTGGCCCATATTGTGACTCTGTCATTGCCAACAAGCACGATATCTCCAGTTCAATTTACGAGAAGTCATGCACGTTAATTGTTTTAGAATGCGCCATTACATCGGCACACGTGGAACCTAAGACTTCATCAAAATAGCGTTGTGGTTCGATCAATTACTTTTTTACTTTTTTTCTTCTGGTAAGTACTATGCAATATGCCGAAGCAATTATTCTCGTGCTTTTGTTTAGTGATGTGTGTGGTTAAAGGCTGGCAAAAGGTTTCCACTGGAAGAACAGCTCATTGCAATTCCTACTGGACGAACCAGGTACGGATGCCCTCTGAGAATACTCTACTCCATGGCCAATTTTGTTTGAGATTTTCGCCTATTTGAAACAACAGGGCTGTGCTCCAGCTCGTACACACCGGAACTGGTTTTCTAGTCTCTGGTAACATCAGAGTACCTACGTGGGATTTTGGACACCTGACCCACCGCAAATCTTTTTAATCGGCGTGTCTGCCTAATTATCTTCAACTCCCTCCACCCTGACTGGATACCCGACCGCGCCATAATAAACATAAACAACAGATTTCTGGAATAATCGAGACTCTACGTCACTGCACATTGCGAAGAACCTTTTACAGGTACGTACCTACCTTATTGTTTGACCTGGTCACGACCACGCAAGTGATCGGAAAGTGAGAAGAAGTGATTACCGATCTCGCAACCTATTCACATACCCCACCTACCTCGGACACTTTACTCTTCTTTTGCAAACTGTAGGTTGAACTTCCCATCTCTCTGAATTGGATTACAAGCTTCTGCAGGGACCATCTATTAAACAAACTACTCGGGACAGATAGGAAGAGTTTGATATGAAAGGGAAATAGGACTGGGCGTTTGCCCCAAGCAATGTCCATAAGTGAAACTTCCGAATTTTAATTTTATACCTAGCGCACCTACATGTGATTTCACAAAATTTCTGGCCCTGTCCATTCTGCATCGTAGTCCTAGCTCCGTGGGCTCATGATAGGAGGATATATTCGATTTGTAAACGTGGTGTGACCCTCATCTTACCATCTTGCTATCGCGAACTTGTAGGGAAGGCCAAAGGTACTACCAATCTACCATATAGAGGTCACATGGACGTATGATGGATGAAATGATGGATAAAATGATGGTATTGGTGGCTTTGTGGTGGTTTTGCGTGGTTTTTCCTAGAACCGGTACTACGGAGCTTGAACCTGGATAGCGTACCATTGGAGGGCCCTACTAAACGGCCTGCGAATGCTTAAATGCTCATTTCTTGGATAAAATTTTCAACGCTTAATTAAGGGACGAAAAATAGCGCAACATCCGGGGCTATCAATCACTGATGCACAGTTATGGTGAAATTTAAACTAACGTTTAGATTCTCACATCCCAGGCATTCATATCATAGAAAATCACTCGCCCACCTTTGAGCACCTAAATGTGTTTCGTTTCGTGCCAAAGACTACTACGTAATTCCCAAAACCTTGCCTTAAAAAGAAAAGAGAGGGGGAGAGGTAAACCTCAATCACGTTGACGTCGAAAATATAGGTACTTGTAATTGATATGCCCTTGAAAAAGACCAAAAATCAACAAGCAAAATTAATTACAATTACCCAGGTGTATACTCCTCATGTACTCGTACTCATACAGAACCTCCTTACACGTACAGAACATCCGGCCCAAACCTTCATTTTTCCGCCTCCATACCCATCAACCAAGCAAACAAGAAAGATTCCCAAACCACCCCGACAAAATTATGTAATGAAAGAACAGATGGGTAACTAACAGTGAAACATATGAAGAGAAAACAAGACAAATCCATCGCCAAGGGCCGGAAACAAATGCACGCATGCGCCGACCACTCCACAAGAAACCACCGAATTTTATATAAACCAAGATAAAATGAAAAAAGAAACTACCAAAAGTCATTATGAGTACTTTACTCCACCTAGATCAAACATGGTCATTGGCTCCTCTATCAGCCCCCAGAATGTATCGTGCATATACTCTCCATTTCCGGTAAACACAGGGTGTGCATAATCCATCGGCCCTCCAGCGTGTACCCCGCCGTTATCACCACCCAAGCCGTACCCCATGTGCCCACTTTGCCCACTGTGCCCGCTGTGCCCACTGTGTGTCATCTCATTATTACCCATAACCGGCGTTATGGGCCCATTTCCATGACCCATAGCATACAAGTCATGATCTTGAGGCCATTTTCCATACGAGGGCGGCGCACTTCGTGGGGTTGTCATTCCCATGTTCGACGTTGGGCTGGGCGCGCTTGCGTATTGCCCATGGTGCGGTGATTCAAGGGCAGTAGTGGAGAGTATTTGTAATGGTGTTGCAGCGTTCAATGAAGACGACCTTGGTGGAAGAGGAGGCCGCATTGTATCATGATGACCCTTGTCGTGTTCTGGAGTATTTGCTGCAGATATGTCGTCCATGCTACGAGGAGTTTCCATCCCTTCCATTGGAATGGCACCATAGGTGTTGGGCGGGTGCCTGCCTTCTGAGAGCCCAAGACGCTTGAATGTGGGCTCCGGGACGCTCTCCGCAGACCCCCGGTCGATTTCGGCCTTTTGATTGCTGTACCAATGTCGTATCATCTGGAGAATTGCCGTAAACCTACCAGCCTGCTTACTTGCCTTCCCATCTGCAGCCTTCTTGAGAGTATCCAGCAGACGATCCATGTACTCATCTACCTTCAACGAGTTTTTATCGATAACCTTTCCTAGTTCGCTCTGTGGGTGCGAAGCTGAAAAGTACAACTTGATAAGAATTATACATGCATACGATGTCCTGACGAATGTGAACACAGGGACCGAGCGAATAGCTTGAATGGTCATGCCCATGAAGGTTTCGAGGACTTGGTGAGAAGATGAGAGACATCGGGAAATAGCGTCGAGGTGAAAGGAAGAGAGAAGCTCGTTGGGTTTAATTGACGGCTCACGCATCATGGATTCAGTATAGGGCGGTTGGAAGTCGTCAACATTATGGTCGCGATGCAGGGCAATCTCATGTGCGTATATCATGATTATATTGTAGGCCAGTTGGAGTGACTTTGCGCCTGAATTAGATGCACTATTAGCTTTCTTGAAGATGGTGCAGTGTAAATCTATAAAGTAAGAACCATACCTTCCCAGATATCTTGTGGACATTTCGACTTCCAATCCTCCAGTTGTTTTGCAAACCCTTTTAGTGAGAACTGGACTCTCTGGTCGTCAATCGTAACATTTGCATTTGGGTCGTCAAACGCAAATCCAATTCCAATCTCATCTGCAATCTTTTGTAACTTGACCCATTGGCAAAATGCCTTATCAGACGCGGCTGCCTGTGGGGAGCTCTCAAGTACCTCAAGGCATTCATCCATAAAATCTGTAAATCTAAGTAAGTTAGGCCTCCTCAGTGCCATAGACACATTACAGCATGACCAGTAGCATGCTAATAGTGCTCTTCTAGTCTCAATAGCTTCAGGATCAGGGAATGGTGATCTGAGTAGTGGGGGCACTGGAGGCACCGGCGCAGGCGGAGGGTGGAGTGTTGAGGGACCAGTATCACCGTCAGGTTTCTGTCGCCCCCCTCTTTCATTGCCAGCCTCTTCATGCGCAGCCCCACCCCCACTTGAAGATGGTATTGAAGCTTTCTGTGTCGGGAACGGTGGCAATCCCCGTACACTTCCTTTAATAATTTTCCGTTTCTTTGTAATCCCGATATCCAAGGCCATGACCGCAGCCTGATGGATATACATGTAGAACTTCAACTCTTGAAAATGATCTGGGGTATAGTACCACATGCTACATAAAGTCAAAGATTGTACAAGCTCAAGGCTCTTCTCCCCATTTATCATGACCCTTTCGGCGAATGCACGAGATATCTCATTATACAGCGTTTTATGCAATGCCGGATCACTCACTCCAGAAGCTGCAGCAAGGATGGCTAGAAACAACGTTGGCTTCTCCCAGCGTATGTCTTCAGCCGTTGTGTCGGGTGGGAACACAACAGCTGGGAGGTGTGGGACCATATCTTCAACGTAGTGGTTAAAGATCTTTGTAGCTGTCTCCATGCTCAATATCCCTCGGTCGACTACGTCAATAAAGACGTATTTAGCCATGTCCTCATCCGTGGGTCGCAGATAAGAGGTTGTGGGTATTTTCCCACCCTTCAGCGCTAGCGAGGAAGTCCCTTTGAAATTTCCATCTCCCAATATTTGATGTGGATCTTCATGTCTCAGTCTCTTAGGCGGCCTGGAGATAGGCGAGAATTCAGCGTCCACTGTACCAGGAGTATCCCCATCGTCCCCATATTCTTCCTCATCATCTTCATCTATACCCCGTGCCTGCCGTGCACGTGTTGCGTTTAAACTTGCCGTTAATGCATCGATCTTTTTCTCGAGCTCTGCAACCTTACTGTCACTCTTCTTCTGCCGTTTCCGTGACGGTGCTGTGAAGATACACTCCCTGTTCGCCTTGGCACAACGTTTACATGTTGCAAAAGGGTTTGCTTCGCTCGGTTCGCAACGAACCTTAAGGCCTCGACATGACTCGCAAGCTCGGGGTCGTTTCTGATCTGCTAATGCAGCTGCTGCGGAACCACTACCACTAGGAATTACAGTAGTAGAGGCAAAGACCGGGGGTGCACTTTGGATCGGCGTGTGGTGGTGAGGTGGTGGTGGTAAGAACCCGAGTGGTCTTCCACCACCTCCACTTCCACCTCCAGCTCCGTCGACTCCATGTGGGTGTGCAGGTGGTGTAGCTGTCGAGACACCGACGCTACCAACAGCAAAGGAAGAGCTCGACCCCGCACGTGGGTCCGCCAACCGGGGATCAATGTCCATGGGCCGGAGGTAAAGGGGCCGTTGGTAAAACGAAGATCGATCTATCGATTAGATTTAGGCGCAGGGCGGCACAAATACGAAAGACGCTTGGCCGAGGATCGGTACACCACACTGGTACAGCACTTGGAGGAAGGTCGGGCTTCTGGACTTGTACGCTCCGATGTTGTTTGGGTGGTGAGATGGGCCAGTCTTGGGTTGACTGAGGGCGCGTAAAGGAGAACCAGTAGAATGACACCAAGAGTCGGGGAGTCGGTGAAAACACGTTTAGGATGAGAGGAAAAACAAAAGTAATTAACTAGTTATCTATATGTATTCCAGCCAATGGCTCAAATATGTCAGGCACAAGATGCGAGATATCTATCGGGAATGAGCTCAAAATTATAAGGCCTAGCTGCAATAGGTAGAGGGTATATTAGGTGACCTACATACTTGACATGCAATTATATGAAAAGCCCCAGGTCCCTTACAAAAGAGGTAACATACGGAAGCTCGACCATCCGAGACGTTCAAGCAAGCATTGAGTGCGACTGGGTATGTAATTTTGAGATGGGTTAATATGCAGCAGGGTTGATGAGATGCTGCAGTGGGATGGTGAAAGTAACGGCGGTGACAGCTGGTTTGGAGATTCGATAAAGGGGCGAGGAAATATGAGATCAGGATGAGAATGGATGGATGGAAAATTGAACATATACCGCTGTATTTGAGAAAATTCGTTGCGCTGCAGCAGGGGTGTTCTCTACCAAATCTTGCATATTGACGTCCAAATACTGCCTCTGGTTGGCCTATACCCCTACTGCAGCGCAACGAATTTTCTCAAATACAGCGGTATATCTAGCGAATCTGGGTTTATTTTATTCCACTAGCTAGCTTGAGAACTCTTGGACAATCGGTACCTACATGTAGAGAACAGGTACTAATGCATCAAGGTGTCTTCCAAGACAGGTCTCTCCTCTTCCTTTTCCTACCCCTAACTATACCCTTGTCTCTGCTAACTTGCAGTGATAATGACAGCCGTGGCTGTCTTAACCAAGGTAATACCAGCATCTGTGTTACACTATTCCGGTTCGAACAACCTCAGTCGCTACTTCCCCACACATCTCATATGGCGCAATTAATTCGAATCCCTTTCCACCGAAACCTAGGGAAATAAGCAACGGGCTAAATAAAATTTCTCACAGAGCAAAGGCTACCAAACTAATGTACATCAATCATTTTAATCCGATCAACCTCATCAATGTCACGCCATGTGGCACATGTTCTCAGCTCAGACCACATATATATATAAAACGGCTACAATAGAATATTCCAAACCCTGTCAAAGGAGAATGATCGACAAAAACCGCAAGCCTGCCGGAAAACGTGCTCATGCAGTAAGGATTGTTGCTGAAGATAAGTATATATCAAAAGCCAACAGCTGCAGCTGGCCTAGAATAGCACCCCATCGACTTTTCTTGAGATTGGCACACCCGCCTTGAAAAGATCACCCCGAGACTTAGTCCGGATAGGTCATCAATTTTGTGCAGCTAATTTGCCTAATATCACTTTGATAAGAACGTGGGTCCCGAGAACCCACTTTTCTGTCCATATAATACCAGGGGATGGAATCTTGAAAGATCTGAATACCCATGGTATACATCTCCCATCCAACGTTGACATATTATTACACGCTCACCCGGATCTGCATTAGTCTCATGCAACCTAAAGGTTATTCCACGGTATATATATGCACACATGAATATCTTTCAGGAACCGTATCAAATATTCGAATCTGGAGCTCAGGAATAGACTCATCTCTGAGGAGTTTACAACGAAGAAAACGCATAGCACAGAACCGTCGCCGGCTTTTGCGCGGCAGTTCAGTCTTAATCTCGGATTTGCTAGGATAAGGTGGTTACTTTATTGCAATTTCAATGTTTCCAGCACTTAACTCGGGAATCGCGGATGCGACATGACTACAGAACCGTCTTTTCCAAATCTACTATTTTACCGTCGGTCAATGGGAGAAGAAGCTGGAAAAACAAGATTGATATCTTCGCAATAGGATTATCGGCTATCAATTACATTCCTTATATGATCCTGGACGCTATTATAGGCCTCTTATACCTTAGATATCCTCATCTTGGCAAGTTCTGGCTAATTATAGCTACATACCGAAAAAGTTTCATCCTACCTCTATCTCCACGAACAATTTCTATATAATCGATTTGGGGATTAGGCTATAGCGATGGCTGTATAATAAAAAACCACTCATAAGATCGCGAGGTTGGAGGAACGAATTGGGTCATGAGACATCACCCGGTGTTGATTAGCACCCTCAGGCGCGCACTCGCACAAGGATTCCTACCGCAAGTATCCCAGGATCTGAATAAGAAAAATCCTGTTACAATAGAGAGCATGGTGACGATTCTCTACCAAGGAAGGAGAGGGGAGGGTTCTACTGATACGTATTTCTACATGATTAACCTAGCATATTCGGGTGCAATGTCTATTGTGTACCCTTACTACGGTTCAAGTCTGGTTATTGAGATGCTGTTTGTTTCACTTTGGCTTCCTCGACTAGGTTGTGTTAGGAACTTGCCTTGCCCCTCCTGCTTGTATTCATCAATCTTGATGACATGGCGGGAACTCTTGTCGGAAATACGCATGCTGCAAATAATCGAAGAAAGAAAAATTGATTTAAGTGTGCCCTCGACTACATACATCTATTTCAGACTACATATTTTCAAACGATCTACAATGTACGTAGTATCTTCCCTCAAGGTCCTTAATCCATATGAGAAATCTCCTATTAAGCAATAAAGCCTCTGGATTTGGACGAGATTGAACAGTGGTGTGTTGAAAAATTTTCTCTTCAAGTATGTACCGGGGGTTAACATTAAATACCGAGAATCTGATAAGATAAACACACCTATTTCACAGCAAGATTCTCTTATCAGATTCTTCGTATTTACCGTCAACGCCCGGTACATGTGTTGAGAGGTGATAAGCACTGATGGACGAGTAGGTTGCAATATGTTCTGCACAAACTATCACTCGGTGTTATATTGACGTCATCGCTCATGTTCGGGTGTGTTGTGCGTATTTCAATAAAGTTGGAAATCACCACCTAGGTTTAAGGTGTGGTATCACAATTCCAACAAAATCAATTAGGTAGAAAGCGAAAGAAAAATCAGAACCCCGAAAAAGAAAACCCGAAAAAATAGAAACAACATAAACACGCTTCCCCAGCAAGTCTCGCGAGCACTTCAAAATCAAAACCACTTGTTGAAATCCTCACTAGGCCTCCCACTACACCTTGCGTCATTTTATTCAAATTTCTTAACCAACCCGGATGATACCCGCCGCCATCAACTTCTGAATCTTTTGACGGATCATAGGGCTCTTCATGTGGTCGTTCAAGGCTTGTGGATTTGATTTAGCCTGTAAATATCTCATTAGCTTATTTTCTTTATAGTAGTGATGGGGTGGAGTTAAGGCCATACCTGTTGCAAAATGCTCTGCATGACAGGGTCGCTGATAATGCTGACGATTTCGGGGTCCTTCTGGATCCTCTCCATTGTCTGTTCTTCAGTCTCACCCTCTCTGGTAGAGTACATGGTCTCCATGCATTTTCTTGTCTGCTCTTCAATCTCCCTAGTGTGCTTCCCTTCGGTGTCCGCCTCAGTCGCCTGGTTGCAAGCATCCAAACACTTGTTGTACTCCTTCATGGCATAGTAAACCTGTGCCTTCCTGATGTGCGCGCGCATGAACTTCTTATCTCTCTTCAAGGCCTCATCGCAGTCCTTGATCGCCTCCGGGAAAGAAAGCAGTTTGATCAACGCCGCAGCACGGTTAGAGTAACCACGGGGGTCCTCGGGGGCACGCTTGATCATCTCGGTGTAAGCCTTGACTGCGCCAACCCAATCCGCGGCCTTGAAGCAAGCGTTTCCTTCTTCACGGGCCTGGTCTGCCTTCTCAGGGTCAATGTAGGACTCCCGCTCAAAGTCGATCTTGGCCTTCTCGGCGGCACGAAGCTTGCCGAGAACATCGGGGGTACGGTGCTCTGTAAGAGAACGGTTGTAGTATTCAATGGCCTTTGTGAGGTCACCTTGCTTCTGGTATGCGGTTCCAATACGGCCGAATGCCCTGAAAGTGATTTAGGTTAGTCTCTTGGCACAAATAAGAAACGGAGAGATGTTAAGTACTTGGCAATCAGCTTGAAGTCAGCACGCATCTCGCGACCTTCCTCAATAGCCTTCTCACACTCTTTGATACAGCCGTCATAGTCACCAGCCTCGAATTTGGCTGCTGCCAAATTGTTAAGGTATGTAATGTCCTTGTGAAGCTCCCAAGCCTTTGAGTAGTGCTCAATGGCGGCATCGAAGTTACGCTTTTTGTAGTTCTCTGTACCAAGAGCCTTCTCCTTATCAGCGGCCTCCTTTGCGTCCTTCTTTGCCTTTTCCTCTTCATCCTCCTGGGGTTCAGGAGGAGGGGGTGTGGCGGCCCTCGGCGGTGGTGCAGAGTTCCTCGCATCTGGCATCTCAACATCTCCATCACCGCCGGAAGCACTTCCACCTGCGCCAGAGAAGTTAGGCATCTCCATCTGGATACCCAGAAGCACACCAATAACCTGCATGACTCTAGGATCACTGATCTCGCTCTGGATGGCACTAGGATTGGTCCTGATCCTGTTCAACTTCTCCATAAATTGAGGATCTCCAAGGTACGGCGCGGTCTTGGGGTTGGAGGCAAGCTTTTGGAGGAAGCTAGGGTCCTGAAAGATCTGGCCAAGTCCCATATCGGGCTGGCCATCAGCGGCAGCTTCACGGCTAATGGCTTCATTGACTAATTTGGCACCAGACTTAGCCTGAGCGTTGTTTGGGTCCAGTTTAAGCGCTTCTTCGTAGGCCTCGAGCGCAGCAACTATACGGCAAATTAGAATGATTTATTTATCAAAATGGTCGTCATGATATGACTTACTGAGATCACCCTCTCCGTGAAGAGCAGCACCCTTTCTTGTGAATCCCTTGGCCCAGTCGGGCTTTAGTTCTATGAAACAAAGAGAACTTTAGCAACAATCTCCTCCATCTTGGAAGGATGAAACTATTGAGCCTACTAACCAGTGCACTTAGTGGCATCTTGTAGAGCACCAGCAAAATCTTTCAGAGAAGCATAGCAAGCCGAGCGATTTGAGTAGAGAACGTGGTTCGACGGGTCCACTTCGATAGCTTGAGTGAATAAAGAACTGTACCTGTCAATCAAATGCCATATGGTACCAAAGATGACGAAGACGAGGATGATATGCAACTTACATAGCCTTATCGAAATCCTTCGCAGCGAAAGCAGCGTTTCCCTCAGCTTTGAGCTATATCATTGTCAGCGGGTCCTTATGCGACTATCTAAAGGTTCAACTGCCAGGAATACCTTGTCAGCCATGATATCGATATTGCAGAAAAACTTTGCGAGTTTTGTAAGAGCGAAATGGAAGTATCGCTAGTATGCAAGAGTGGTGAACTTGATGGGATGTTGTGAGGTTGCGAAAAGCGAGCGGATGTCCCTAAGTACGAGGCGCGGGGCTTGGAGGAATCTTCGAGTGCTTTCTAGAATCCACCTGCTGCGGGGCACCCACAACGGCAAAGAACTCATCAAACACAAAAACAAATCAACACCGCATAAATAGATGCCATAACATGCGATTTTTACCATGGGCCCCAGAGATCTCAAAACATTTATACCATCAATCTCTTCACATGCGTGGTGGAGTGATGCTTCTAGGAGTATATTATTTTCGCTTTTCCCCGATTGGCCTTATCCGCCGAGACAAATAATAACAGAGCCTCACTGTGGGTGTAGCTAGACATAATCGTACCTGCAACACTCCGGCTTTATCTTGAAAGCTTGAAAGAAACTTTGACCACTGACGATCCGATCCGTCAACTTTCCCCGCAGGTTGAGGCCCTGAGTCTTGGACTTTGGGATGGTTCGATTTGTCTGGGAAACCTAACCCTACAACTTTTCCAAGTCTTGTGGCAGTCATCGCTTATCACTCATGTCTTTGCACACTACTAGTAGAGAAACTAGCTAGTAGAGACATGTATATTAACGTCTTCTCAACTTATGAAAACATTCTAATATTGATTAGATGGCTTATGATTGCGTGCTTTACCGGAGGTGACAGGATTAGAGTACTGACAGCATGGTGACACTGTGAATTTCTATAATTCATGTAGAGTATGACTTTTAGGTTCGGAATTATTTGATTCCGGGCGAGCCAAGGATAGCTAAATTGTGTAGCGAACTAAACTCGACACAAGAAGCTATGTCATCGAAGAATGCCTTAAGATACAAGTACAGGTTGCTCTGTACTCGTATTTAGAGTCGTGATGTCTCATATAAGAGCTTCTCTTGATTTCAGTGGTCCTAGCTTTATGGAAGTTCTTATTTGCCGGGCAATATTACATGTACTTACACCAGAACGTTACCTGTGCATCTTCGGGTCTCACCTCAGATATTGTCGATTACCTACATGTACGAGTGGGTAGTCGCTTGTTGATTTATTTCCGAGTGCTCAATGAGCCTTTGAAATAAAGTATCTATAGAGAACGACATGAGAATTCCTACCTCGTGCCTTACTTGCACACACATGTACGCACATATGACGGTATTGAGTACAATCGACGAACTGGTCATGGAGGTGTTTACTTGCATATATGCGATCCTTGCGAACCAACGGATCGGATATAATGCATTCCGCGATCATGTAAACACCGTAGGGGTAACAGATACATGTAGTATTTCATAAATCAGTTAATGCATCTCTATGTGTGGGGATTTTTTCTCTCGGTCTTTTGGCAATCCGGAGCATGCGTTGGTCAACGTGTGGACGGGCCCATGGCTGTTCTCACATTCGTTGAGTTACTCCCCTCATGTGGTAGTCGTCATCCTGCCTATCGTATCTTGTCAACTCTCTTGCCCCCCTCCGATACTCCGCAGGGAAAAATTCCAGATTCAGGTTCAGCCTTGCTTTTACTTTACTTGCGGGCCAGGCACCCATTCAACAATTTTCACCGCCCCTGCCCTACATTCCTTTGACCCTGCCCACAGGTTCTTACCAAGATCCCCTTTACTGCTCAACTACTTCTTAACTCTGTATATTCTATTTTCACTTGTCGTTCAGTCCACGCTTGGACCTAGACAGCACAGAAACTCCAACCACCGCCCGCACCCGAAATCAGTAACGCTAGGGGGAGAACGTTGATAGAGACTGGCACGGTTGATTCACGGTGAGTTGATAAGTTATCCCCCTTGGTACTGGCCTTTCCAGCTCGCCAAGAACGATGGCGGAAGAATCCAGTGTGCATGTGATAGTTGTTGGGATACGATACCTACATGTATCTGTGCTCTCTCCTCTATCACCTTCCCCATCCCCAGTTTCCACCACCACCACTGCTGGTTTCTGACTGCCTTTCTCCAGTCCTGTCCATTTCTACGGAATTCGATCAAATCTACACAATATCAATCTGAGCTAGCAGCCAGAAACTACGAAGCATAAAGTGGACGTGAGAAAAAGCATGTTTGGTCACAACCCGATCACTAGCCACGTATCCAAGCGACGGAGTTCATCCTTGTCGAGTATGTTCTTCTACTCTACCCCACCAGCTGGAAGTTCGAGTACCGGTAGTAAGTTGTTGAGAGTTTTGTAATGGTGGCAGTGGCGGTGAAAGGTCGCGAATGGAGGGAAAGGTTTTTTTTCGGAAAACCGAACTCTGTGCATGGATGTGATTGCTGATGCTTTTCATGAAGGTGATGCAGGAAAATCAACTGCCGAACCTATTGGAGAGGAGGAGGAAACTATTGTTGACGATGGGGAGAAGAACAGTATGCTTCCTAAAGAATACCCCTCAAGCTGGGCCCCTTGGTTCTAGAGGCTGTGTTGTGAAAATATGGCTAACGGTGTGTGTAACAGTGTTGTTGTCGATAATCTCGCAATTGAGGCCCGGAGCTGATTTGAGCCGCATTACCCTGCCGACATTTATCCTTGAACCAAAGAGCATGCTGGAGAGAATCACAAAGTACGTGATTTTTGGTGATTTGCGAGAATTTGGGCTTTCAATTTCATTATGATCCCCTGTGTGACTTTGCTGATGGAATCTTGGTCAACCATAGCTTTATGCAACACCCCGAGACCTTGTTACCAATGACAGCTGTTGACGACCCAACTCAACGGTTCATATCTGTTGTGAAATTTTATTTGAGTGGTTGGCATATCAAGCCTCCGTGCGTACTTGTTCCCTAGGAGCTTGTGGGTCTATTACTAACTATCCCACAGCGGCGTCAAGAAACCTCTGAACCCAATTCTTGGCGAATACTTTACCTGTCATTGGGATTTCAATGAGACACCCGGAACACAGGCATTCTACATCTCCGAGCAAACTTCTCATCACCCCCCAAAATCATCTTACTTTTATATGGCCCCCCACCACGGTATCCGGATAGATGGGACCTTGAAACCGCAATCTCGATTCCTAGGGAACTCGGCAGCATCCATGATGAATACCTCAGTTGTGGTTCTCCGACTACTCAACCGAGGAACTACTGCGGGAAAGCCGGATGGCGGGGAAAAGTATATCTTGACCCAACCTAACATGTATGTCCGCGGGATCCTGTTTGGGAAGATGAAGTACGAGCTGGGCGACCATTCGTATATCAAGTGCCCGGAGTTAGACCTGATGGCGGATATCGATTTTAAGGTCAAGGGATTTTTCACTGGCGCTTATAATGCTATCGGAGGGCAAATCAAGAGGGAGAGTACTGGTGAGGTTCTATATGAGATTACAGGTAGCTGGAGTGGGGAGATGTTCATTAAGGATTGCTTGGTATGTTTTCGTGAGCGGTTTGCCAGAACTAGGAAGCTTACAAATGTGATTAGACTGGAAAGAGAGATTTGCTCTTTGATGCCACTAACGCTGCACCTACGCCACCAATTGTTAGACCGTTATCTGAGCAGGATGAGCGTGAATCCCAGAAGCTCTGGGGGCCTGTGACTACTGCATTGAAGTCGAAGGATCAGGAAGGCGCTACCGATGCCAAATTCAAAATCGAAGATAGGCAAAGAGAAGAAGCTAGGTTGAGGGAAGCTGACGGTGTAGAGTGGAAGCCAAGATTCTTCCGTGCTGTTGACCCCTCGAGAGGTGAGGACGAGCAGCTGGATTGGATCATCTCAACCAACATGTGAGTTTTCGGGGTTAAAGTTGTGGAGAAGTGCCATTCCCAGGAGATATTAACCCAAAATAGCGACGGCACAACCCCGGAAGAGCAGATTAAGCAAATATTGAACATTGCGCCAATAATTACAGGAGCAAGGCGGGCTAGTAAATATGATATCCCGCCCCACCATCCTCACACAGAAACTGTTCCTGAGGGTGCCCCAAATGGTAAAATCACCAATGAAGACTTGGACCCGGAAACCGCATTAATGGACTTTGGAGAGGCTGATGAGTTTGGACCTGGTCTGATACCAACAAACAGGGGTGTAACGACGGCCGCAGGACATTCAACTAGACCAGAGGCGAGACAAGAAGTGCGGCATTCTAGATCGGGGTCCGGTGTGAGCACTACGAGCGCTCGCTCTGCGAGCTCAGTCAGAGCGCAGGGCAGAGGGGTTAAGTACGACGACAGCGACGAATTTGTGGATGCGGAGGAGAGGTGAAGGTAGATTTCTTTGCTTTTGTGGCGGCATTCGATTGCGGGAATGAAGGCATTTGGGGGCAAAATTCAACATGGATGTGGGAATATCGGCGTCAATGATTAATTTACGATTCAACGAGTAAAAATCAATACATCTATATAACTTTTAAGAACAAACGCTACTCTACACTATTTAACTTTGTTGTGCCCACTGTTTTTGTCGTTTCATGTTTTTGTTTACATTCATGGCTTCGTGCGCGGTATTAAGATGCGATCAATAGTAGATTTTTAATGATATGTTATTCTCCTATTAAATGGTGTGTGACTTTGTTCGTCACAGATTGTCACTCGGCGATATTGAGAAGCTCAGGTGGTCATCCAGCTTAGATCAATGCTATGACTTGAGATACGGGCTAATAGTTGGATATTGAGGTCATGATTGGTTTAAGTGCTCAGTCCGTTACCCCCTTCTGTGCTCTTCCATCGGGAGCGAGTAATAATATAACTCTTTTCTTTAATACTCAATAGCATCACGGCTGCCTGCAGAGAATTTTATATACTCAGCGCAGAACCCAGACCGGGTCTGTAGCTGTTGTTCGTTACCTAATAGTAGTGTTTCCCGGTGTAGGTAAAGCTTATTACTTTACTTGCACTAAGTATAGTACACAGTCGGAGAACTCAAGCCAAACAGACGGGTGGCATTAGAGGATTCAAAACCACCGGTATCAACAAGGCGCTTAAGCTAATAATAAGTACATAAGAGAGTGCAAAAGGTATTTAGAGTATTCGGACTCGATTTCTCTTCACCACTCACGAGGTCAAGCGCATCATGTAGTGCCTACCCTAGCTTGGCAGGCAGCTCTTCAGCCCACCCCCTGGATTCTGGAAGGAATGCCTGCCCCCTTTCAAGTTCGAGGCCGGGTGGTGGTGGCTCGATCATCCCAGCCATTTTGGGCGGTCTTAATTGAGGTGGCGCAGCAGGTCAGAACTGAAGAAGTCCTACGTCTTCGACCTGCCGTTTTTACATTTCTGCAGTTGGAAGTCGAAGATCTTGAAAAGAGAGAGAGGGAGTGAGTGCGTGTGAGTAAACCCTACCTGAACTACTACATACATGATACACTACTACAACAAGCCGTGTAAAGAGACAACGTGTACCTACGTTACGTTACCCACGACGACCGGAGCAACTGTTTTATTTTTGTTTTGTATTTTACTTTTTTTTTTCTTTCCTTCTACCTTTGTTGCTTTTTTAGGGCCGAGATCTGTGGATAGATAGGTGCTATTTGCTATTTCTCCTTCGCTATTTTGATTCACAGTCGTCTTGACGAGTTATTAGGCACCTATAGCATATCTAGCTGTTGTTGGACCCTGCAGACTCCAGCTCTCGAACACACACACTCTATAGACTCTCTCTCTCTCTAGATCTCTCTCTTCCCCTTCCCTCCCAACTCAACACGAACCTTGCTAGTTAGCACATCGTAGCATCCGTAGTAACCGTACTGAGCAGGCACCTGGCAGGCTTGACAGACAGGGCTGGCTGCTGGCTTACTTAGCTTTCCTTTGGCGCTAGCTACTACTGTTTTAACGTTGTTAACGTACCCTCCACGACTCGGGGCGGCTTTAGACCCGTTCCATTTCCATTTCCCTTTCCCTTTCCATTTCCCCTTTTCTACGGGCCGATTCCATTATTCTGCGATTTACGTTCAGCACCGAACTCTACGAACCTGAGCGACCCTCTGCACCGGCAACTCTGCACCGGCAACCCAGCATCCGTTCTTCGACTCTAACGGAATAATCCAGACTGGCATACGTACGTACATACGTCCAGTGTGTGTCTCTGTGCGCCTGTCCTGCCCTGTCTCTCTCTCACACTCTCACTCTGTCTGTCTGTCTCTCCCTCCCTCTCAACCCCCCCCCCCCCCCCCCCCTCTCTCCTCTCCCCCCTCCCTCAGATCACTCCCCTCCCTCCCCCTCACACCTACCACCTACCTATATACCCATACCACACACCCCCACCCGCCCCCCTATTGAGCAGGCAAAGTCTAGCTGGAATACTCCCGGAGATTAAGAGGTCCGTACGACGCGATATAGGGGAGGAGCTTTGCCCGGACTGTGGACTTCTACTATTCACCTGACATTACTGCCCACTACTGCCAGACGTGCTTCTGCTGCATTGCACTGCATTGGTATTTGCAATTACTGCTACTAAATTACTCCTACTGACCACACGCATATCTACCTACAGTCGCAGAACGGAATCGAAAAGCAGGAATAACAAGATCTACTAGACAGAGCTTGGAATTCCCCCAGACCCCCTTCTAGGACTGACTTGGAAGTGAGGATGACTAGCAACGTCAGCGTCCCCCGTACAGCACTCTCTCCCGTCTCTGTCGCCGGCAGTGACTGGTCCGGAATCTCGAAATACCAATCCGGCTCAGACCTCTACGGCCCCGGGGGTGCCCCTCAGCGCAACAACTCAAACAGTGGTATGCTCGGTGATGGGGGGAACGGAGGGGGCGGCAATCCGCGTACAGTGTCCCCGCCAGCATCAATAGCTCGCTCCTCTGATGGCGCAGGCCTCTACGCACAAAGCGAGACGTCGTCTCTCAAGGGTATTATTCAGGAGGAGGAAGTCGCGGTCCATCACTCTGCGCTGAAAAAACTGTTACAGCCGTACCTTGCACAGCAGCAGCTCAGTGGGCGCCCGAATAAGGCGCGCGACAAGCTTCTCCGGTTATCCGTGATTCAGTTTCAGGAGCTGTCGACGGACGTCTACGATGAGCTACAACGCCGCGAGGCGAACGCGCTTCCGGGCGGCGGCGATCAACCACCGCATCTCCTGCCCAAGGACAAGTTCCACCCTAAGCGGAACCAGGCTCGGCAGAAGCTCTCAACGCTCGCAATGGAGCGCTTCAGGGATCTCGCGACGGACGTATACTACGAGCTTGAACGACGATTCCCACAATTTGGAGACGGAAGCGGAAGCCCGACTGCTGCAATAATGAGCTTGAACGGACTTCCCCCGAACCGTGTGGGGAGCCCCGGTCCCGGGCGTTCCGGGAGTCCAGGGCCTGGAATGATGCCGCCAGGGCGAGTTGGAAGTCCTGGGCCAGGTCGTGTGGGATCTCCTGGGCCACGGAATGGACCGCCACCAGGCGGATACGCGGCGTATAATGGGGGTGGGGGTGGACCGCCGCGAATGGGATCTCCGGGAATGCCGCCGAGGAATGGGCCAATGTCCCCGCAAGGGGCGTTTGGCAGGCCGCTCCCAAAGACATACCAAGCCGGGAATCTCATCCCGAATAAGAGTACTATGGTGGAAGATGATGATGATGGGCTTGGAGACGACTCGGATCACGAGGGCGCTTTTGGACTCGAGGATCGAAGGTCAAATGGTATGAATGGTATGAATGGTAGGGCCCGGATGAAACGGGATAGTAATAGGAGTATGAGTAGTCTGAGGAATGGGGTTGGGGCTGGGAGTGAGGTGCGATTCAATTTCTTTTTTTCGCCTCCTTTCTTTACTGGCTGGTTGTGGGTTGGAAGGGAATTTTGCGTTGGGGGTACGAGCTAACTAGAGGTGTAGAGAATTGTTTCCGAATACAAGAGTAAAATTGAAACCCTGCAGGATAAAGTATCAGCGCTCGAGGGTAGGCTAGATGACAAGAACCGCGAAATCTCGGAATTAAAGAATGGCGAGAGACGAAGAGAAAGCGTATGCCCCCCTTCCACATTAATGAAGCTTATTGGTGAGCTAATTAGACTCGATTACGTAGACTCTGAATATCGAACTTGAGGGAAAACTGGCAGAGGCACAGAATCTCAACAAAAGCTTACAGGAGGAAATCTCACGTCTTAAGGGAGATGCCGCTGGTGGAGGCGGGGGAGCAGGCGGGGACAAGAAATATAGCGAGCTTGTACAGGAACATGAGCAATTGAAAGCGGAATTGCGGGAACAGGAAGAAGTAAGATTACCGATTATGAATTGTGCAAGAGTAACTGACAATGAGTGAAATAGGTCACAGAAGAAGTCCGCCGCGAGGCAATGGAGTTCCTGAACCAGATGAAATCTATCTCTGAGCGCGCCGACAACTTTTACGAAAAAGAAGAACGCATGCACGCCGACTACCAAAAACTACAAGATGAGGTCAAAGAATGGAAAGCCCGTTACGCTCGCACCAAGGCAACGCTCCGAAATCTCCGCACATCATCAATTGGCCTCGTTGTTCCGTCCCCAGCCAACATGACCAGCGGATTCTCAGACCCCAATGGACTTGTGAAGGATGTTCACATTACAAAATTCCAGATCGCGATAGATGAGCTTTTGCGCACCGCACGAGGCGCCAACTGTTCGCAGACCCTCGATTTTGTGAAGGGCGTTGTGGTGGCTACTAGAGCGATCATGGAGAACGTAGAAGACTCGCCGAATGACGATCGTGGGAAATTGAAGGCAAGGGTATCGGCCACAGCGAATAACCTGACAACCGCAGCAAAGAATCATGCATTGAGTCAGGGGCTGTCGCCGGTGTCTTTGGTGGATGCCGCCGCGTCGCATTTGTGTGCAAGTGTGGTAGAGCTGGTCAAGGTCGTGAAGGTTAGGACTTCGGTGGGAGGTGAAATAGATGAAGAGGACGATGGTGAGGACGAGATCAGGTCCCCGGATTCGCCAAACATGAATGGCATGTTTGGAGGCAAGCTACATCCTGAGAACGGCAACCAACAGCAGCAGCAACCAATGCAGAATGGAAATGTGAATGGAAACGTCCAACAACAACAGCAGCAGCAGCAGCAACAGCCGACACCACAAATTCAGCAAAACCGTCTCAGTGGTGAGAGCGTCTACAGTCCCCTTGCCTCCCCACGCTCCTCACACAACGGCGAGGAAGGCCTTCAATTCCCCCCGCAAGACGCTAAAGGCCGAAACGGCTCCGTCGGTGGCCGTGCCGGTGGTACATGGGGCGACATCGCACCCTCTCTTGCAGGTGTTGGCAGCCCGCCCCGTCAACCCCCATTCCACGGGCTCCGCGTCCCCGATAATAGCAACGTCGAAGAACTACGGGTGAGTCTGACCCTATTCCCACTCCCACCTCAATCTCAACGCACGCTGACCAAACACCCCTCACCTCTACAGGTCTCACTCGAAACGCAAACCGAGGGCATCGTCGAGAACATCCAGCACCTGCTGTCCTCAATCCGTGCCGGCGATAGCATGGAGACGCTGAAGGGCCACGTCGAGCAGATCGCGAGCGTGGTTGACAAGGTGGTCAAGAACACCGAGGACGCGATGGAGCTGAGCGGGAACGAGAGGCTCCGAGAGAGGGGCGACTGGATCGTGTCGAACCTGGCGGGGTGCGCGGGTAAGATGAGGGCTGCGACGAACGGCCCCGTGCCTGCGGATGGACCCGCGGATAAGGAGTTTAGGGGAGGGCTGGCGGCTCTGGCATTTGACCTAGCGAGGGAGACGAAGGATTTGGTGAGGACGGTGGAGGAGATTAGTGATGAGTCGAGGAGGCCGGGGGGTATCAGTGTGGATGATCTAAGGTAGTGGTAGTGTGTGTTGAGGCAATCGTATTTTTTTTTTACTTTTTATATATTTTTCTTATATCTTTTTTTATTGTACTTTTTACTAACATTTTTTTGATTTTCTGGTTGGCTGGCTTGGTTGGGGAGGGCGGGAGAAGGGGTGCCGGGTGGCGGGTAGGAACAACATATACTGAACTAACTAACTCGAACAAACAGCCTAGCTACCTTCCTATTTTCGTTGTCCTTGTCTTGCTTGCAATGTAGTAAATACCTGCGCATTGCTGATTATGAGATAGAGTTCTTTTTATTTGTTTCTTTTGACCTGCCCTAGGGACTAGAGGGAGGGGAGGGGAGGGAGGGGGAGGAGCCATGTATAATAGAGTTGACAATATTGAATGATACCTGTGCAATGACATTATTTGGGTGTGGTCCGAGTGAGAATTGGTGATTGTGGAGGCGCTGTGAAGAATCAATGAGAAGTGAAGGTTAATTAAGCAAGGTTGAAATTCAATTATGACGATTGTTTCAAATTGCGTATTGCACTTAATTACTTGTAGTACGTAATGTGTTACATGTGGTACGCACGATCATGAGCACTCATACTAATTGAATATATGTATTCTCTCTCGGCCCCGATCTCGTCTTTTGAAAGGGGAGAGTGTGGTGATTTACTTGGTACTTAAACTGCTTTATGTACACATGCAGGCATAAGTAGATGAAGCCTATCCCTTTGGCCGTTGTGGGGCAGGTTAGCCGGCCACATAACAGCTGCGTGGTTGTAAGCAGGAAAGAATATGTGTTCGTCTGGAGAGCCTATAAGTTGAGCTGTGGGAAACACACCTGATGCGATCATCGTTCTTCTCATTTGATCCGCTAATCCTTCTCATCCGTGCAATAAATAGAGCAATCTATCCAGCCCGAGCAATCCAGACCTCAGGTAGAGAGATCTCGATCACCAAAAGCTTGAAGACGGCCGAGGGGTCAATTAACTGCTCTGTACGCACGGTGGGTTTCCCTCCCCACTGCGTTGACGGATCATTCACGAATCAGGCTCTCTGAGTGAGGAGCTGTGGCCGGCAGCTTATCGCATCGCACTAAGGACTAGGGTTCGCGATAAGGCCTAGCCCCACGCCATCCCTTGGCATGAATTTTTTGACATTATTTTCGAGCACGCACAGTACTCTGCTCCCCTCCCCTCCTCCTCTCATTTTCTCACCCCCCCCCCCCCCCCCCCCCCCCCCAAACCCCAGAGACAAACAAGGATAACTAGTATGCTACTCCCTCAGGTCCTCCGCTCACGGACGCAACTCGCTCGCCCTCTTCTCCAGCGCTCAATTCGCCTCCACACACCACACACCGCGGCGGGCGCGTCTCCTCTGCGATGCTTCTTTGCCACTGTCTCGGAGGGATTGGAGGGAGAGGCCTCGGAGCCTGCTGTGCCGTCACCGTCTTCTTCGGTGGCGGCGGAATCGGAGAGCTCTGATAATACTACTGCTGATACCTCTGCTACTATTACTACTACTACTACTACTACTCAGGCTCAGACGCAGACACCGACTGAGACCCAGACACCAACACAAATTGAAACCCACACACAAACACAGACTGAATCCCAGACACAAACACAGACTGCGGGAGGGGCCCCAAGACGAATACGTCTGCGGAAACTAGCATCCGGCGTGGCCCCCATCCGCCGAGTCCGCTGCGATCTCCATGACCCCGACGCAATCGCCCGCGCGGGATTCAACATCCGCCGCTCCGGCGAGGAGGCCAGCTACCGCATCATCACGCTCGAGAGGCTGCTCGAAGTCTGCAGAGACCCCACAGTTGTGCCCACTCAAAACATCATGCTCAGAAAGCTGGAATTTAACCCGGAGAAAAAAACCTTGCTCAAGGAGACGACGTATAACATCCAGCACAGCGACCTTGCAGAGGAACGGAAGTGGGTGGCGGCGGTAACGGAGGGGCCGCAGGAGGCGGCAGTAGGGAGATCGCCGATTTTGGAGCTGTTGGGGGTGGCTGATGCGGAGAGTGATATGAGTAAATATGTGGTTGTCAATCACAATGTGTCGAGCCTGGGGATTGGCATGCAGCAATCGACCCCGGAGCAGTTGCGGAATCCGGTGGAGAGCTTTTTTCCGCGGCGGATAGAGGAGAATATGAAGTTTCTCAAGCTGGCGGGGACGAATACGCATGCCATAGTGGAGATCAAGGACGGACAGTTCCATTCCTACCCCATCATCACCGCCATCAAAATTGTCTACAATCAGATCAACAAACTCACCCACAATCTCGACAGGGACTATGTCATGAGATTGCCCCAAGTGCGCGGGGGTCGGGAGGGCAAGATCTATAGGTCAATGCTCGTCCAGGTCAAGCAGGCAACAGAGTACGCAAAGGCTATATTGCAAACCCCCATCAGCGAGCCCATATCAATCACCCGGGCCACCACCGGCAAGCCAGAAACCTTCTCCCGCTACGACGCACTCCTGCTCTACTTTGAAGAGTCCGCAGAGGCAATGCGAAAGCTCAGAAAGGTGGTGGCGCACTCCATCCTGGCACCAGGGGTCAACAGGGATATTGTAGAAGATAGAGCCGAAGCCGACGAGTACGAGACCTTCGCGGAGATGGCGCTCCTCAATAGAAGGATCACAAACAACATGGAGGCGATCAAGGCTGCGCCGGAAGGATATAGCCAGATTGCGGTCGAAAGATTCGCGGGCACGTCCCTCATGCGCCCGATCAACGCACTAGACGTGGTCACAAGACAGCTGGCGAATAATATCGAGAATATCCAGAACGAGATTAACATCATCACGAAACCCCGCGGTATCGTGCGCTTTTTAAACGCGCTCCACCAGCCGCGAGCTGCGGCGGCGGCCGCGCTGGCGCAGATACAGAAAGATAAAGAGGAGGAGGAGGAGGAGGAGGAGGAGGAGGAGAAGGCTAGACTGGCTATAAAGTTCGTAAGGTCGTCGTCGCCGGCTGCGGCGGGGGCCGTCCCCATACGATACATCAACCATGACAGTATGTATCGCCCAGGCGCCTCCTCTACCCCCACTACCTCCACATCCGCACCCGTCACAACCACTACCATCCCCGGCGGCAGCAGGGAATACTCAACCTCAAACGTCACCTTCCACGGCCTCGAGCCGCGGCGCAAAGACGTCAAGAAAAGGAACGCATTCGGCAGGATCATCCCCATGGACGCACCGCCGCCCAAGAAGTGGCCCATCGTTGTCAAGGAGGGCACTATCAGGCACAAGCTGCAGCTGGCAGAGCAGAAGAGGCTGGAGGCGATGCAGGGACTGGGGTATAGTCTGATGGCGGGGTCGCAGCTGGGCGGGTCGAGGACGGGCACGATGACGGAGGTGGTGGAGAAGGAGGGTGATGGCGGCGGGGTGAGCACCTGGGAGGGCACGGGCGAGATTGGCGGGCTTAATGATGAGAGCGGGTTGACGCCGTTGAAGAAGGGAGATTTGTGTGAGCTTCGGTGAGAGAATGACCCTAACCCTGGCCCTGGGCGTTTTTTTTTCCTTTTTTTATCTTTTTTTATTTTCTGCGGTTGTGGTTTGGAGAGCCTTTAAAGAGCACAAGAGGAGAAAAGGGAGGAGGGTCAAGATGAGATACAAGATAGGGCTTGTATTTTAGTGGTTAACCTCATATCAATCTACTCATGATGCCACGGTTTTCAATAAAATCAATATCCCCTTGGCTCTTCTTCAGACCAAACAAACCAATTTCATCTCTCTTCCTCATAGCAAATACCATGATATGAGCACTCTAGCTAACATCTCTCAAACAGAATTGGCAGCGGCACCCGCATCGCAATCTACCTCCGCCCCAGCCCCAACGGCCAACCCACCTCCGACTTCCTCCTCGAAAGCGGCGATCGGGCCATGTACGCGGCCGCACGAGTAGCATTCGCCATTCCGTCCTTCATCAGCGAGGAGAAAGCGGCCGAAATCATCACCACCGTCGACGTCATGCGCTCCAACAGCGACCTGCCCCCGCAGCGCCACAACGAGCTGGTGCTCCCCCGCTCGGCGATTGCGGACGTCATCCAGAAGATGCGGGTCTTTTACGATAAGGCGAGGGGCCTGTATGCGGCCGAGAAGGCCAACTTTGTGAAGCTGTATGAGCGTATGGCGCTCGAGGGGGCGGACACGGAGCTCACGCTGTTTGAGGCGGCCGAGGAGATCTTTGGGGAATCGTATGGCGACGAGCAGCTGTACACGACGCATCTGGCGCTCATGGAGGACGGCGTGCGCTATCTGACGGACAAGGGCGCGCACAGGGCCACGAGCACGTTCAAGGTCAGGGCAAAGAGGGACGTGCGCATGATTGAGTTTGTGACGGAGCAGGTGCGCGTGGGGACGGGCGCGGAGCAGGGGGACAGGAAGGGTGTTGTCAGGAAGTTGAAGCATGAAATGCCGCTGCTGGAGAGCTTTGCGAAGAAGGCGAGGGTCTTGATCGATATCAGCCGGAAGAACACGGCGCAGGACCTGAGTGCGAAGGGGGGACCGGTCACGAGGGTGCCCGTGAAGCAGGTGGAGTGGGACGAGAACGATATCAAGTTTATCGACTACATCAAGGCGGGCGTGCTGCAGTACGGATCGCAGTCGGTGCCCATGGACGGCCTGGTGCCCGTGATTCTTCGAGCGATGAACCGGTACGAGGGCGAGCTGGACAACATCATCGCCTACCAGTTCTGCACCGACATTGGCGCGTGGAATAAGTGGGAGGACCTCGCATTGCGCCAGAAGAACGTTGGGTACCCGGGGATGGGTACCTCGCGCCAGGCCGACGAGGACCAGAAGCGCCTCGACGTGGTGAACGGGCCGAAGTGCGTCGAGAAGCTGAAGCTGGTCGACTCGATGAAGCATATCCGCAAGGACTGGGGCGACATGGAGGTGTTTGCCATCGACGACATCACGGCGCACGAGATTGACGACGGCATCTCGCTGGAGAGGATCGACGAGAAGACGAACTGGGTGCATATGCACATTGCGAACCCCACGGCATGGCTGCCGCCCAATCATTGGCTCTCGGACTTGGCGTTCCGCAGGAAGCAGTCGCTGTATCTGCCGAACCAGGTGCTGCCCATGCTGCCGCCGGCGCTGACGGACAAGATCGGGCTTGCGTCGAACAGAGGCGTCATGACGATGAGCGCGAAGGTCAACATGGACGGCGAGGTGCTCGACTTCAACCTGCAGCCCGGGTTCGTGAGGAACGTCAAGCGCTTCACCTACGACACCGTCTCTGCGGCGCTGGGCTACCACCAGTCCGCGTACACAACCTTCGAGGTTGGTGAGTTCCCAAAGCCCGCGAGGAAGGACACGGCGAAGCCGAACCAGCGCCAGATCAAGGACCTCAAGACGCTCAACGAGATTGCGCTGGCCTTCCGCAAGAAGCGGGTGCAGAACGACCTCATCATGGTCGTGACCCCGCGCGTCAACATCGACGTGCACACGGGCCTCACGCCGTTCGTGCACCCCACGGGCGCCACGCCGCACCTCTACCGCGGCCACCCGGCAATGCGCCTTAGCATCGAGACGTCGACCGCGATCGAGGACGGCTCGCACTTCCTCGTCTCAGAGATGATGCAGCTGGCCAACAGCATCACGGCAAAGTTCTGCGGGAAGCACAACATCGCCGCGCCCTTTCGCGTCATGGAGTACGACTACGACCGCGCGGACCTCGTCGCCTCATACAAGAACATGATCCTGCCGGCGCGCAACGAGCTCGGTAGCGTCGAGCCCGAGCTCGGTATCCAGTACATGATGCTCATTGGCAAAACCCGCATCAGCGCCTCCCCGAGCCCCCACAGGCTCATGGGTCTCGACGACGGCTACATCCGCGCGACGTCGCCGCTGCGGCGGTACTCGGACATGATCACGCACTGGCAGATCGAGGCCTTCCTGCAGGGCAAGGAGCCGCGCACGCACAAGCAGATCGCGCCGTTCGCGCTGGAGCTCGAGCGCGGGGAGCGCCTCTCGGCCTTCACGATGAAGGAGAGTAAGCGCTTCTGGGCCGCCGTGGCGATCAAGCGCCTCATGGACCTGCAGGACCCGAAGCTGCCGAAGACGCTGACGTTCATGGTGATGGAGAAGGTGCTGTATCCGAGTATGAGTATTGGGCTGGTGTGGGAGCTGGGCATGGCGGGGAAGGTTGCATATGAGAGTGCGGCGCAGGAGATGGGGGTTAGGGCGGGGGATACGATCGAGGTGGAGCCGATGGTGGCGGTGCCTGGGGAGCGGATGGTGTGGTTTAAGTATAAGAGGGTAATTAAGAGGAGGCAGTTGGATGATGTGTTTTTGTGAAGGCTGGGTGGGGGAGTGAGATGAAGGAAAAGTTAGGTCTTTAGAGCGGGAGGGGGTTTGATATCTTGTATAAATATTTTCACCTGTAGATTTTAACTTTTTTGTTTGGCGTTTTTTTGTTTTTTGTTTTGTGGTTTGTGGTGGCTTGTACTTTTATGTAGACTGCATCATCGTGTATATTCATTCATATCCCCATCGATCCGGCTGGACAGCAATAGAACATCTCTACTACGTCTAGATCTAGATATGCTTTGGATTCTTTGCGGTTTCGTGGAATTGTTTTTCTGGACCCGGGGGGAGGTGGTTGTGGTCGTGGTGAGAAGGGAAGCGGATCATCTACTTCTTGGCAGATGGAACTTGTGCGAGTGATATCTGGTGATCCGATCTGGGCGGTATCACTTAGGACGTTGGTCTGAGCCGAAAGGGAGAAAGTGGGGGGATTTGGTGATGAGTATTGAGAGTGTGTATTCTGTGATGTTTATTGCGTTATATAGCACGATGGGGGAGTGGCCTTCACAGACTATGGGGGAATTGACTTGAATCGGGCATAATTCGAGATTTCGAGCGGTGTAAACCCTTGTTCTGTGTAGCGAGAGAGTTCGGATGCAGGGTGGTGTACATGTATGTATTCACGTTTTAGCTTTTTGGCCAACTCTCGTTTACGAATATGTTTTTTCGTCCTGTTATTTTGTACTATCATCGTGGATTCGTTTTGAAACCGAGATGTTTTTCACATTTATAGTACGGTGACCGGTCCAACCACTTCAGAAAAGAAGAACAAACTGTGGCTACACGCCTACACGCCTAGTCTAATTAAGCCCCACTCGAACCTCCCACCTCTCCCACTAAGCTAAGCCATTTACACCCGTCGGCGAAAAAAATCAGGGCTCGGCACCATAACCTAACCACCCGTCGGCGAAGAAAATCGGGGCTTGGCACAACTTCCCCCAGCTATATAAGCACGCCCTTTCCCCCCTCTCAAGGCTTTTTCTTTTCTTTCCTCAGGGAGCAGCTTCCTCCTGGCCTTGTGTGGCCAGTAAGGAGCTGCCCCTTCCCTCTCCCCTCTCCCCTCTCCCCTCTCCCCTCTCCCCTTCCCCCTTCTCTGTCTGGCTTTGCCCTGCTGGGTAAGGCTGGGAAAGAGAAGGGTGAATGGTGGGGGGGGATCTTCTTGCCTCTGCCCCCCCCCCCCCCTTTCTATAAGGGGGGGGGCAGAGTCGCCAAATTCTGCTCCCCCCCTCCTCCCCCCCTCCTCCCCCCCCTCCTCCCCCCTCTTCAACAAGGGAGGAGGTGGGGAGACCCAACCTCTGTCCCCTCCCCTCTGCCCCCTCCTCCTAGAGGAGGAGGCAGAGGTTTGATCACTCTGCCCCCTCCTCCTAGAGGAGGAGGCAGAGGTTTGATCACTCTGCCCCCTCCTCCTAGAGGAGGAGGCAGAGGTTTGATCACTCTGCCCCCTCCTTTCGGAGGGAGGGGGCAGAGGTTCGATCACTCTGCCCCCTCCTTTCGGAGGGAGGGGGCAGGGCAGTGATCCAGCCTCTCCTGGCTCTCGCCTGGGCTCACGCCCATGCGAGTGCTGGGAGGGGCATGGGTCACGTTGGTCCTCCCTTCCGGCTCCGGCCCCTCTTGGTCCCTGACTTTTTTGTCAGGGCCAGGAGCGGCCTGGGTTAGGTTGGGGGGCTTCTTAGGCCTCTCCTGGTCTCTGGGCTTCGGCCCGGGGATCAGGAGGGGCCTTTTTTGCGTTAGGTGGTTCCTTCGCTGGCCTCTCCTGGTCTCTGGGCTTCGGCCCGGGGATTAGGAGGGGCCTTTTTTGCGTTAGGTGGTTTCTTCGCTGGCCTCTCCTGGCCTCTAGGCTGTTGCCTGTCTTGAAATAGTACGCTCAGCACATTTCATAGTATGGGAGGATTCTCATTTGTCATTATGAGTCATGGGTTTTGACTCATTATTTCCTTGGTATTTATTAGTCATGTCTTTCTATTACTTATACGGTTATGATTTACTATGTTTTGTGTTACCTTTCTTTAGTATAAGTATGGGGTATTTCCCCTCCTTTAGTTAGCTGGAATACAACGCTCAATTACTACACTTCTCTACATATATTTTCTCTAGGTTATGAGCCCGGAGACCATCTACGCTTAAATACTCCAAACCATTTCTACTATCAAAAGTACACTCTATCGTTTCACTTCAAACATGTCGAACAACAGCGTAAAAATTCCCGCTTTACCATGCAAGTTGTCTGGCCAAGGCCATTACACTGTTTGGAGGGACCTCGCTTGTCGTATGTTAAAAGTTTACGATTTGTGGAATCTAGTCAATGGTACGAGTAAGCGTCCTGCGTTCACCACTACGGTTACAGCGGCACCACCTGCAGAACAACCAGCAGAAGGTGCAGCAGCAGCAACACCAGCAGAAGAAGACGAAGAAGAAACCACAGACAACGCCGAAGAAATCAGTGAATGGGATAAGAAAGATAACCTCGCGGTCGTCTTTCTTCAATCCAATATCGAATTTGAAGTCATTCTCACACTCACTCCGGCCAATACCGCTCACCACCTCTGGACCCAACTCGAGGACAGATTTGATCGAAAAACTGTATCTTCCCTCCACTCGCTTCTTGCCAACGTTGTAACCCTACAGTATACACCCGACAAAGGCATCAAGGAACATCTAACCCAGTTCAATACTCTTTGGTCATCTCTCCTCACTAGAACTAGTAACTCTACGGACAAAACCAAAGACCCACTCGGTTACCACCTCCACCAACTCGCATCAGTCTCAGAAGCGAAGGCATCTTTCCTACTCCTCTCACTCCGGCACGAATCCCTCGAATCAGTCGTTGACAACCTGCAAACCAAGCCCAACGTCACCTTCGATGACGTCTATGAAAAGCTGTTGGATCTGGACTCACGACGCAACAACGATGGACAAGCGACTGGAGAAGCCTACAACATCAGGCGAGGAAATCCAGGACATGGAAACAACAAAGTCGGTAAGGCACGGAACAACAAAAAGGATAAAAAGGATCTTACATGTACATGGTGCACCAAGAACGGTGAATTTGCAAAAGGCCACACGCACAAAGACTGCCGGAAACTCAAAGCTTTCAGAGACAAAGAGAAGTCCGCTGCATCTGGCAACCTTAACGTCGCGTCCGGTACTGCATTTCACACAAAACTAGACCTCTCTTGGATCCCTGATCTTTCTGGCCTCCCCGCACTCGAAGAAGCTGATGTATTTACTATGCCGGTCTCCTTCGACCTTACCACTTTCTTAGATACCTCGGATGTAACAATGGAAGACTGCTTTGGCTTCGTTGCAGGACCTTCCGCATCTGATAACAAGGCATGGATCTTTGACCCTGGTGCAACTAACCACATGACCGGAACTCAAGTTACCAACCCCTCACCTCATAGCGGAACAGTTACTGTTGGCGGAGGGCGAAAGCTACAGATAACCGGAATTGGAAATGTTACCATCAACGGATCACATGGCCCCATTACTCTGCAGAACGTATTTTTAATCCCAGAACTCGGCAATACCAACCTAATGTCTTGGTCATGCATTGCCAAAAAGGGATTCACAACGACAGGGACAGAAAACGGCTTTACCATTTACAAACCGAATAGCAAGGAAATCGTTGGGATCGCTAACGCAAACAGTACTGGTCTTTATATTTTTGAAACCAAGGAACTTTGCGCACACATCTCCATCGCTACCAGCTTCTATGACTGGCACCAACGACTCGGACATCTCCCCGCTTCCTCACTCTCACGGTTACGTAACATGGTCGCCGATCCCAAGTCTCTCCCCACAACAGGTCACATGGAAACATGCAACACATGTGAACTCGCCAAATCCACCAAATCACACCTTCCTCCTCTCACCTAACCGCGATCCAAACAACCAATAGAACTAATCCACTCAGATCTGAGCGGCAAGTTTTCCACTCCTTCTCTTGGCGGTTTTAGTTACTATATTACTTTCATCGACGATTACTCCAGGTACGCTCACCTCTACTTCCTTAAAAAGAAGTCAGATGCAGCAGCTGCCACACAACGATACATCGCATACATGGAAAATCAATTGGACAAAACGGTTAAACGGTTTCGAAGCGACAATGGTGGCGAGTACATCTCCAATAACCTTCAACAATTCTTTGCCTCCAAAGGCATAAAGCATGAATTCACTGTACCCTACTCTCATGAGTCAAACGGAACAGCAGAACGCTTTAACAGAACAATAGCAACAATGGCACGATCCGCCTTGCTCGACCACGATCTTCCACGGAATCTATGGGCAGAAGCAATCAACACAATGGTACACGTCAAGAATCGTCTTCCGCATAAAGCACTCCCGAACATGACACCATATGAAGCACTCACCGGCAAGAAACCCTGCATTGGGCATCTCCGATCCTTCGGTGAAACAATGTTCATTCATATACCTGTCGAAGCACGACCAGCTGGAACAAAGTTGGATGCTAGGGCAATTACGGGACAATTCTGCGGTTACGGAGACTCTGATAAAATCTGCCGTGTTTACATACCATCACAAAGGAAAGTAGTTCTCTCTCATCATTTTAGGTTTAAAGGTCCATCCGTAGGGGAAGAAATCGAAACAATGAAAACCGACATACCCCCTAAACCAAAACAAATCGAGATCAAACAAGAACCACCTTCACGTCCACCAACACCACCTGCGAAACTCTCAGATTCCGATATCGAAGACATGTTCAACCAACAAATGCTCCGAGAAACTATGGAACAAATTTCCAACGACGAATCTGAAGAAGAAGAAGAAGAAGCCGCTCCTGAACGTATCCAGCACGATGATGTTGACACAGACACTGATCAGCCGAGACGTAACCCACCACGGGAACGGAAACCTCCGGTCAGATACGGATACAACATTCAGTATGATACCACCATGGCAGAACCAACAAACTATCACCAAGCGATCAACAGTCCTGACTCCGAAAAATGGCAAAAGGCTATGGAAGTTGAACTCGACTCACTTGCTAGGAATAATACATGGAAACTGGTTGACACACCAGATCACCGAAAATTGGTCGACTGCAAATGGGTATACAAAATTAAACTCGGGCCCGATGGCAACCCTATTCGGTACAAAGCCCGACTTGTCGCAAAAGGATTCTCACAGGTACCTGGTCAAGACTTCGATCAGACTTACGCCCCCGTCACTCGATATGAATCCATCAGACTGCTTCTTGCCCGCTGCCTTCAAACCGGCGGTCAATGCGATCAGATGGATGTTACTAGCGCTTTCCTATATGGTGAACTCCAGGAAGAAATCTATATGAAATCTCCACCTGGCTACCCTACTCCTGGCAAAGCATGCAGACTTATCAAATGCATCTACGGCCTCAAACAGTCATCTCGGGAATGGTATGCTCGTCTCTCCAAAACGCTAATCAGAATGGGATTCAGAAAAGCGGACTTCGACCCTTGTGTTTTTATTCACAAAACAGGGGAAGTCGTCATCGCCATCTACGTGGATGATATCCTTATCTTCTACTGGTCCGTTGAACGCAAAAACCGCGTCAGCCTCCAACTCCACGCAGAATTCGAAATGACGGAAACTGGCACAGCCAACTGGGCACTCGGGATCCACTTGATCCATACTAAGACTGGCGTGATCCTATCACAGGAAGCCTATCTCAAGCGTGTACTTATCAAATACGGTTTCGATGAATCTAGACCTGTGGCAACACCCATCGACAACAATGTTCACCTACAAAAAGGAACAGAAGCGGAGAAAATCGACGATCCAACAATCTATCAGTCGATAATCGGTTCATTAATGTATGCAGTAATCGGTACCAGACCGGACCTCGCCTACACCATCACCATGCTCTCGCAATTTTCTTCCTGCCCCACTAAAGCTCACCTGGCTGCAGTCCATCGCGTCCTTCGTTACCTCAAGGGTACCCTCGATTGGTCACTCTTCTACGCCAAAACGCCACCCACTGCACTCATCGGCTTCAGTGATGCAAGCTATGCCTCTGACATCGACGATCGCCGCTCATTTACCGGCCACTGCTTTATGCTAGGGGAAGCTCTTATCTCCTGGCGCTCTTATAAGCAGCGCTCCGTCGCCACCTCTACTACTGAGGCAGAATACATGGCTCTCTCGGATACTAGTCGACAAATGATCTGGTTAAAGAATGCGATACATGAGTTGGAACGGAAACCGAAACTTTCTTTTATTCTTCGCGGTGATAATAATAGTTCTTTGTCCTTGGTTAAAAATCCTGTCTTTCATAAAAGGTCTAAACATATTGATGTGCATTTTCATTTTGTTCGGGAACGATACGAGGATAAATTGTTTGAGTTGGAATATATTTCTACCAATGAAAACGTGGCGGATTTACTTACAAAGGGATTGGATAAGGGCAAGCATGTTTTATTTTCCTCTACTATTCACTGTGGTTCACGAGGGGAAGTCTTGAAATAGTACGCTCAGCACATTTCATAGTATGGGAGGATTCTCATTTGTCATTATGAGTCATGGGTTTTGACTCATTATTTCCTTGGTATTTATTAGTCATGTCTTTCTATTACTTATACGGTTATGATTTACTATGTTTTGTGTTACCTTTCTTTAGTATAAGTATGGGGTATTTCCCCTCCTTTAGTTAGCTGGAATACAACGCTCAATTACTACACTTCTCTACATATATTTTCTCTAGCCTGGAGGTCAGGAGGGGCCTTTTTTGCGTTAGGTGTGCCTGTCCCTGTCCCTGTGCCGTTCTTGTGCTCTCTCCTTGTGGGGGAGTACGGATCTCACTTAACTCCTGGGCGAAGTCCGAGGGGTTGAGTGAGAGCTTCGTTCCTCTTTCTTTTGTCTTTGTCTTTCGTTTCGAGGGGGCAGAGGTCGTTGTTGGTCTCTTGGTTCTGCCTGGGAAGTCGTTGCGGATTTATATTCGCTCTGTTATCTCTGGGAATGTGAGCGAAGGGAAGGGGTTCTCTTCGATCTTTTAAGTTTTATAAATTGGAGGCTCGGGAGCGTAGGCTCCGTACAGTCCAGTACAACCCATCACTAGATGAGGAATGTAGGTGTAGATAGGTAAAAGTAAAGCAAAACCTAGCATAATTCCACCCCGAAGGTGGCCGAACTTTGCTGGAAGTATCGTAGGGGTGGAATTTAGAGAGAGGTATTTGTTAGCAAATCCGTTCCCTCCGAACGCTGGAAGTTTGGTAGGGATGGAATTTCGAGAGGGTGGAATTATGATAGATTTCTCTGTAGCTACGGACACGAGCTCTTACAGAGATCTGGAGGCAAGTAGATACAACTACCTTGAGAGTCAAGACGCGGTTGCCTTCTGAAGAGTAATAGCATACCTCTCGAGATCTACATATCCGTATATTCTGTCTACCTATGACAGTGCGTAATAATAACCATCATGAAGGAATCCTACAATCCACAGAGAAATGACGGTTAATAGACGAGAATCCATCTTCCAGACCCGTCTCTGTCGTTGCCTTGACTACGGTTACCAGGCAATGAAATAAGGTTTCCCGTGCCCTAGCTAACACAAAAAAGTACTAATATGGACAAGCCCTAAGATGGTTAAACCTTGGAATTTATTTACTGCAACGCTGGCCTTATCAAAGTAGTGACTGTGACTAGATCTGCCTCCCCAAATCTCTTTTTTCGAGAACAGCCTGTTCTCATCCCCTGACCTTGGGGGGACATAACCAACCTTTCTTCTGCTTCATCCAACAGGAGTAAAGAAGCCCCTAATTTATGTAGCTGGCGAGGCTCTGAACGAATTGAATGCTCCTGGCCGTTTTTTTTGTCAATACGCCATCGTGCTCTCCCATTGAGCGGTAACTAGAGTGGATCACAAAATATCACTCGACAACAACATGCCACGTCTGGGCTGTCTGCAGGTGTGCTGGGTATTCAATCGTTTCTGGGGTATTTTGGTAGTTATTTTTGGAAATATGGTGGATTCGAATCTGGGTTAGGGTTGGAAACTAGGGTTTGTAATTGTATTTCTCTCAAGAAAAGAATCAGTCGTAGGGTGGGTGGGACGATAATAGGTCGTAGTGTGTGTAATAAGAATTTACAAGTGTGGTTTTCTTGTTTCTAGTGGATTGTATTGGGTAAGAAGGAAATCAGCTAATACAATATCATATAACTGGTCGTTAAGATACAGTAACAAGAAATTTCAGAGATTTTGATAGGCCTGAGGTTATACGGGCTAGCCCGGGCCTCGGCCTGTTGGGCCGGGCTTGGTCCTGATACAAGTGCGGCCCGGGCTTCATGCGAAGTTCACAGAGGCCGAGGTATGGTGTGTTTCAACTATCGATCTCTGATTTGACTTTCTGAAAAAAGGCCTTGGAATAATGATACAGTTTAGCACCGATTTATAGCAAAATATCTTTTCTTACGTCCATAGATATTAAAGAATAAGCCTGTATATAGAGGCTAGGCTTGTCTTGGGTTCTGTTTTGTGGGCTTGGGTTAGTTTAGGTTGGTGTGGGCCTGGGTCGGCCTATCAAAACCTCTGACAAGAATTGCAGAACCATAGATTGATAGGAAACGGTTTTACTACAGAACATCAATCAAGTCATCATAAAGCAACGGATAAAGGATAGATCTACGAAAAGGGCTTCAAGTAACTAGTCAATGCTTTCACAAGGCATACGTATACTACGCCCCATATCTACACCCAACCACACCACAAGACCCGTCTAATCAACAAACCACCTCCCCAACATCCAGAATCAGATCCTTACAATCCGCTCTACTGATTCCATACCACCTCACACTTAAGGCCTTCCCCCTTAACCCTTCCACCCTTATAACCTGCACATCCCCCGGCACCACATCCAAGCAATTATCGCTCCACGCCACCCCCTCAAGCTCCGCAAACACAAGCCCCTTCACCGGTCTCTCTACACTAACGCGCATCTCTTCCCTCATTCCATCCCATTCCAGTACACACCCCCGCTTATCAAACACATAGTGCTTTAGCGGCTGTGGCCAGTCCGTCTCGCGTGCTAGTAGCAAACCGTCTTTGTCCCACAGTCGCACCTGGACTGCAGCGTCGCCGACAGAGACGCCGAAGTCTAGATCGACGGCGCTGTTGGGCGGGATGGTGAGTGTTGTTTTGAGGAGAGTGGTGGTGTCACCTGTGGCGATGTTGATGGTGCGGACTTCGACGATGACGGGGGTGGGGGTGTGGGCGTCGGTGGAGGAGATGCTGACATGGATGGTGCTTTGTTTGGGAGGGTAAATATGTGGTGTGGAGTGTAGGGGATGGGAGCCAGCGCCCCGGGTTGTCTTGGAGCGGACGAGGGCCTCAAGCTGGGAGTTGGGTTTGGGGTTGGTGGTGGTGCGGGTTATGATTGGGATTATGGGGGAGAGGGCGCGGGAAATGGTGTAAAAGGCGAGTTTGGGGCGTAGGTGGAAGTCGACTATGGACCAAGAGGTGACAGGCCTGGGGTTCGTTAGTACATATAGTTTTGGGATTCTATTACGAATTCTGCAAAGTAGTCAGAGAGATTCCCATACCAGACATCATTCAACTGCCACACAAGCGCACCGCCACACTCACGACTCGCCCACCTACGCCTCCAGCCACGGTATGCATAGTTCATTGCCTCACTCTGCAGCAGCTGGCTTAAATATACACGCTCCTATAATCATTGACATCACCAGTTTTAGCAACATGTTTATCAATCATTGACCCTTGATGCCAAGACTAAAAAGTAACCACCTACCTCCAAGGATCCGGATACAACCCTGAAGTTCTCGCCTAGATACCCAAGTAGACGCTTCTGAAAGCTATGAGCCCTAACGTGGTGCTCGATGACCTCAGACTCAGCGTTCCAGTTATTTTTGTCGAAGGGGATGGCTGGGTCGAGGAAACCGTTCTTGATGGTTGATATACTGGGGTAAGAGGGCATGCCGAATTCGGATATAAAGCGGCCGCCTAGGTCCGGATAGCGCTGGTAGGGTGCTTGAAGGCCGCCCCAGACTGTATGTGTGTGTTAGAGGTGTTTAAATTGGGCTCTCGATATAAGGATGTGCCTGGAAAGGAGGGTTCGGAGGAGCTGGGATGTGTAAAGCCTTCTAGTGCCTTCTATATACTTGTATAACTCCCCTTCCAAGCTGTATCTTTATATCGAGAATTTGGAGTAATATTACTTGGACGAGGTAAGGGTAGAGCGGTATGGCCGGGTGAATATCAAGACTCGATTTGAATTACATCCAATCTTGGTACTCGCCCGGCCGCACCGAGTCCGCTCGGCCTTACTCCATGCCGAAGTAAATCCAGTACACACTGCAATAATCCAATCATTAAATAGGAAGGGTAGAAACATACTATTCCACTGATGTATATCCCCCACTGTCCGATCCGTACTATCCTCGCCTCCCCACGGACTTCCAGGCCAATACACCACCCCCGTCCCAGCCGTACCCGCCTGCCCAATCTCCGCGCCCGTATTTCCGTTACAAACCTCCCTCACAATACCCGGAAAGATCTTCTCATACAGCCACCTACTCGGAAACGAACTCTTTCTCCACTCTCCCTCCGGCTGCCTTGCGTCATACCCTAGCTCCTCATCCGCTACCTGGTAGTCTTCATTGTTACCCGCCACAACCACCAAAGACGGATGACACCGCAGCCGCTCCAGGTTTTCGCGCACCTCCGCACAGATCTCGTCGGCAAAGTTGTCCAGATGCGCAGGGTAGTCGCCGCAAGCAAGACAGATGTCCTGCCACACGAGGATGCCGAGCTCGTCGCAGAGCGTGTAGAGCTCATCGCTCTCATAGACGCCACCGCCCCAAATGCGAAGCATGTTCTGGTTTCCGCGGTCGCGGAGTAGGCGTAGAAGGCTGTGAAGAGTTTGTGTCCGTACGGCGGGGAGGAAAGAGTGCGCGGGGATCCAGTTGGAGCCGCCTATGAAGAGGGGGGTGTTGTTGATATTGAAGTAGAATGTTGTGCCGCCGGAGACGGGGGTATCGGGGAGCTGCGGAAGAGAATCCTGAACGAGGAGGATTCGGCGGATACCGATGCGTTTTTGGGTGGTGTGGAGGGGACCGGGGGTGTCAGAGGTGTGTTTGCTGAGCGTGAAAGTGATGGTGTAGAGGTTCGGGGGGCCGTGCTGGTGCGGGTACCATAACTCGGGGGGTGTTAAGACGTACCTAGTCCTCCAGGCACCTACAGTGGCAGGTAAGAGGGTTAGCTCAATTTCTCGCCCGGAGGGAGAGAGGAGCGTGGCGGTGAGGGTGTAGTTCTCTTGAGCGTCGAAAGTCTCGGTAGTAGCGGTAAGATCGAGGGTTGCGGTTTTGAGGTGGGAGCTGAGAGTTTGCTCGATCTTAACGTTGGAAATGCGGTCTGTGTAGACCTGGAGACGAATAGGTTTCCAGGGGCCACAGGTTATGAGTGACGGGCCCCAGTCCCAGCCCTAGAATCATTCAATCAGCTCCACTTCTTGTATTATAAAGAAGTAAGTCGTGAAATAATGGGTAGTTAGCTGTATTAGTACTATTAATGTATATCATTAAGCATTGATTAATTATTAGTATTACCATCATGAGCAAATCACAAAATTAGTACCCACATAATGATACTGCGCCTTCCTCACAAACACCCTCGAATAATGACCATTCCACGTGACTCTCTCCCCGCCATTCTGCGCCATGATTCGATCCCCCTCCTTCAGTGCGCTCCGAAACTCCATTACCACCTCATTCTCCCCCGCCCTAACGATTCCCGTCACATCGACCCTGTAGCTGCGAAACATGTTCTGGCACTCGAGGATGGGCGTCCCGTTCAGCGAGACGGTCGCAAACGTGTCGAGGCCCTCGAACACAAGACATACTTTGGCTCCCACGGGCGGAGAGCAGCTGAAGGTTGTGGTGTAAACCCATGTGTTGTCGTGTACCCATTGCGTGGTGCGCTCGTTGAAGCCGAGGTGTGGGTCGGGGATAGGGAGATCGAGGTGAATGTTGGTAGGAAGGGTGGTGGCCGTTTGGGGGTTGTGCGGGGAGGCGGCGAGATGTCCGGCTGTGAGGGTGCTTTCGAGGAACTGCATTTGTGCGGGAGGGGTACAGAGGTTGGTGCGGGAGGTGGTGGAGGGGTTCTTGGTCATTGACTGCGGTGCTGGTTGAAGTATTTTTTAGACACTCTCCGCTGATTTATGAGGTTTTCACTTGAACGGAGGATTTTATATTAGCAATTGACTGCGGGGGACAGGCATCCGTATCAATACGACCATGCGTGTACTTGCTGCAACCGCATTTTCACGTACATACAAACTAGTAGGACCACCTCGCGACCGCGAGTTGTACTTTGGATTATGGGTAGGTCTTTAATGGGGGCCCTTCGGCCACCCCCTCCCCTTCCACCCCCTCCCCTTCCACCTCCTGCTCTCTCGAGTTCAATTCTTCCCCTTCCATCAATTAGATTTCGTTCAGTCGTGAGTGCTCAGTACTTTGATGGGTCGTGCTTACTAAACCACCCCTGTCGCTCTCAACCAATCAGGAGCCAGAGAAATCAGAAACTTATTCTCGCCGCAAGCAGTCAGTTGGGGGCGGCGGGAGGTTTTCCTATTCCCCGGTTGCTGTTGGGCTAGCTGTTTTGGGCGGTTGTAATAATGGCAAACCCTAGCCCTGAGGTATTAATATTAGTAGTGCTAAGTACTCATAACTAGCACAGTGTCAATGGTACCTCTCGAGACGATATCGACCACGGCGCGACAGATAACATGGTCTCGATATATACGATAGCCCATGAATCTCTTTCTCCACGGCGGCTATCTTTTTTGCTCTTCCGTCACGTAACCAACCCCACAAATATTAGTGTCTCTGTTACTGGAAGTGGAATGTATACCATAGGGCTGATCAACATCGACACCAACATTCCGCAGTCAATTCCTTCTCTGCATTCTCTGCATTCCTGCCCCTTTGTTGTGTCTCTGGTACCTGGATGTGGCCCAGCCATTGGTATATATGCCACCCCTATGGCCTACTATTAGTTTCGATAGTGATGGTGACCCAAGTAGTATCGCAGCCACCACTATTAATTAGGAGATCTACGATCTTGTACCGCCGCCAAAATGGAGATCCGGGATGAACTAGCCAGCCTTCTGTACAAGATACCAGCCAGCTCTTCATAGCACTAGATAAATGTCAGCTCGAGTATCTCATAAATACAACCATCTACTCCACAATGATAGGAACCTTTCAGCAAAGCAATAAAATATCGACACTGGTTTCACCCCATAACGGCCCAAAATGAATGTCCTACTACTCTACCTATCCCTCTCCCTCTTGCCCCCCACACGCGCCGTCGCAGTCTGGAATTGGCTCTTCCTCATTTTCCCACACACCACCACCGCCGTCTCCGGCCCGCAGCCATATACCCACACAGGTACTATCAGCCCTAGCGCCCTTTCTACTATCCCTCGCCTCTCCCGCAATCTCGCCTCCATAATCTCAAACACTTCCGCCGGCATGGCCACTTTCCACACCACGCTCGCTACCTTTAACACACCGCTCACCTACGTCTCCCACGACTGTCCAGACGGTCCTGGAATATGTTATTTTCCTGAGCTCTCTGACCTTGCGCCGTTCATCGCGCGGGTTGCCGCATCAACTGGCGAGCGCTACGACGGCGTAGTAACCATAAATCAGGCTGCCAATGACGGGGATGGAAGGTGGCTCGGTGGAAATGTGAGAGCCGCGTGTGGATACAGTGAGGGGCAGGTCGAGGGGGACGTATTTGGCGACACTGGATTCGGGCACTGTTGGATTCCAATGCCTGGCGGAGACGAGGGGTTTAGAAAGTTTGATGAAGTTTTTATTCATGAGATGGGCCATGCCGTTGATATGTTCTACCAGCGCCATGGGCCCAAGGAGTGTCAGCGGCGCATCCCGCCGGAGGGGCATCATATACTGGATCAGGTGGACAAGGCGCGGAATACGTATAAGCGCTGGGAGGGTGAGGAAAGCGGGTATGAGAATTATAAGTGGTGGGAGGAGTATGTTTTCGCCTTCCTTGAATCTTTCTATCTATTAAACATGCATGTTGTACTTTGGAGTGCTCGTGCTGACTTGAACGGTGGATAGATATTTCACGGGTAACCGCCCGGATGAAAGAATTCCGGAGGGATCAGGCATATCAGAGAGCTGCTGGAGGCACGGTTCGCCGACGAGGGACTATGATTTCGGTGAGGTGAGAGGGAGTGTAAGGAGCTGGCCGGGGGAAACTCCGGAAGGCCCGCCGGTGGCGGATGGAAGTGGGAGGTTAAATGAGGAGTTTGTAGATGTAAAGTTAGGTGGGAAGGATTGGTGTGGCTTCGACGGGATACAACAGTCGAGCCGGTAGTGAGTGATTTGGTGTTTTTTCTTTCTTTTGAGGGCGTTCTGGCGTGCTTTTAATTGGCGTAATGGGGTTCTTGCTTTGTTTTTATATAATATTTATAGTAGTACGTTACTGTGATTAGTTGTAATGATAGCAGACTCGTTAGTAATAAAAGTTCCAAATAGCGAGATGTTTGACTCTGTTTCACTCACTAACTCTGGCTCTCTATAACACTTGCTAGCTAGTCTTATCCACAAAAAAAGAGCAACGTGAAGTCCTAATCACGAGCCATCACTCGTTTGATTTCTCGGCTGATGCCGATGTAATAAAAAATCCCACTAGAAACCACCAATACCATCGATCTCACCATGAACCATCCACATGGCCTTAAAGCTGGTGTGAAGCCATTCAGTGATGTGAGGAGGTCTTTTGTTTATATCAACGTAGGCATAAAGAATATATATATGTGCATATATGTGTTATAAGATCCTATCTAGAAATAGAAAGTACACAGGTACCAGTACTGCCATCACCATAACTATTGGCGGAATGCTTTTCAGATATATCCATTTTTCGCCAAGACCGAGCTCATGGTAGCTCACTCGATGTTCTCGAGCGGAGGGGAAAGCCCCTCTCTTACATCCTCTCCGGAGTAAATGGGGGTACTGGGTTCCGGCGGGTTTGTGTGGATAAATGTAGTCGGCAAAGAGATATCTGCACTTCCAGCCCTGGGGTAAGCTCTTAAGTGTTTTCTATTCCATCATCCACATTCTTCGAGTTCATGGACTCTCGTGTTCACAGCGTCCGGATAGGTGTTGCGTTGACTCGAGCTTATTTTTCATCTTCGGGCTCGGATGTGTCTCTTTGCCGGCAAGTTGTAATACTGCCCGAAGACGTATGCAGAGGATGAGATAAATCCATCCCGGCCATCGAGGTGCTCTGTTGCTACGAGAGATGATGTAAGTCCGTTTTACTGAACGTTTCAGACTCTCTATGTTCTGATTCATCTCTTGAGGGTGTCCCTTATTTCTCCTGCGCTGGTTGGAGGATGGAACAGATGATGGTTGTATTTCTCGGTAATAGCATGTGCTCTACTCTAGGCTACGTACATGTAGCTACATGTACATGTGTCTTGACCTTCTACCTACTACGTGAGTGACCCTTAAGAGAAAGCTGCGCCACAACGGGTGCATGGTCGGGGGTAAGTTTAAATTGTTACCAAGTAGATGTAGGTTTATCTTGCTACTTTGAAATAGAGCTAGAGAAATATTGCGGTCGGTATATGTGATGCCACTTTCATCTCTCATGCCCGGCAGCAGCTACGCCCCACCCTCCATAGGATTCGCTCATGGAATGCTTTCCAACATCTAGCTACTACATAGAGAGACACCCCTACAATCTTACTTCTTCATAGTGATATCAAAGTAACGGGGCAGCTCGTACATCGGGGATCCTGCTCACAGTTCCTACTCAGCAGGCTGTATGTGAGTACGGTAGTTTTTCGCTCTCTCTCACCTGCTCCTAGGGGGGTGCATAATTCTACTCTGCGGTCCTTTCAACCTGGGGGGTCGGGCAAGAAGTGTTTACATCTCCCCTTCTGCACCATGCGCCTTAATTGCAGCTTCCTCCCTCGCTCTTGGTGCTCTCCTCTCTTTATGGGAGAGATCTAAAGCACAGGCTCCTATCAGCTTTTTTTGGCTCTGTCCGTGTTCGGAATGGTATTTCCAATATCAATTTTAATACCTCTCTTCGCTTTCTGGTGAAGGCCCCTATTAATTCCTAGGGTCCATCCAAGGGACCAAGGGTGGTGTTGAGCACTCTTTGTTTCCTTCACATTTGTTCTTTCGGTCCTTTAATTCTACTGTAACACGCCCCCCCCCCCCTCCTTCCTCCATCTGGAGCTCTAATCGTGCTTTCTGAGGGATTGATAGAGTTCATATTCCACCTGCCCGCTCCTGTTTATACACATATATTTATCAGGATCATACATGTATTATATCAGTGCACGTGGTTAATATTTATTAGTATCACTCATTTGAGTAATATAAACCTTCACAGCCCCACTTACTTACCCCGCGATATATATTCCCGTAGAAAAGAACGAATTCCAGTCAATTCGGATACCGGGCTTCCTATCAGTCTTACTTACTAAGATTTGCGCCGTAGAGACGCGCAGCAGGGTATATGTAGTATTATGGGTCATGCTATGCAATAATTTCGAATTCTCTCCCTCGACTGGACAGAATCGCCTTCAATAATACTAATCCCCATCTCATGCACAGCTCGGAAATACATTCTCATATTCTTGACCAACTCTGAAGTTGTGTGGGTTTTCGTTATCAGTATGTACGCATGATCGAGGCCGAGGTCTGACTCGATTCAATAAACTTAGACGACGTCGTTGTGAGCATTCCTACTATTGGTTAACCCCAACCCCAACCCTGTGCCAATCCCAACCAAATCCTATGGCAACTAATATAATTATAACTGATCCGATATATCTCGATAAGCAATACACCACTTTGCACTGCCTATCCCCACTTCTAAATTTTCAGTGGATTGGTAATGCTTATTGACTTCTGTAGCAGCGGTGTTTCCTCCTCCTTTCAATTCTCGCTTCTAGACTCCTTCACCGAGGTATGGTCAACACGGAGGTATGGCCAATCTCTCAAATATACGCCGAAGTGATATATGATACGCAGTGAGCTGATCGAATACCCCTTTGGTTTCCATTCAAAATCTTGGAATTGACCACACCCCCGTGTTGACCATACCCTCGTGAAGGAG